GATGAATCCTGACCCCAATATCCCTTTGACAGGGGGGTAGGGGCAAATATTGTAAACATTTGAATTATCACAACTTTCGGGCCGAAATTGTAAGGGCCGGGGTGGTTCAGCATTTTGGAGGAAAAAATTATATTTTTTTGAATAGGCTAGTTTCCCCACAATGAATGTACATACTTGCCATTAAATGGATCCTGACCCCCATATCCCTTTGAATGGGGCAAGGTGGTAAATATTGTAAAAATTTGAATTATCACACCTTTCGGGCAGAAATGGTAAGGGCCGGGGTGGTTCAGCATTTTGGAGGAAAATATTAATTTTTTTTATTAGGCTAGTTTCCCCACAATGAATGTACATACATGCCATTAGATGGATCCTGACCCACATATCCCTTTGAAAGGGGCGTAGGGGCAAATATTGAAAAATTTGAGTTATCACAACTTTCGGGCCGAAATGGTAAGGACCGGGGTGGTTCAGCATTTTGGAGGAAAATATATATTTTTTTTAATTGGCTAGTTTCCCCGTAATGAATGTACATACATGCCATTAGATGGATCCTGAACCCTATATCCCTTTGACAGGGGGGTAGGGGCAAATATTGTAAAAATTTGAATTATCACAACTTTTCGGGCCGAAGTTGTAAGGGCCGGGATGGTTCAGCATTTTGGAGGAAAATATTTCAAAAATTTATTAGGCTAGTTTCCCCACAATGAATGTACATAAATGCCATTAGATGGATCCTGACCCCCACATCCCTTTGAAATGGGCGTAGTGGCAAATATTGTAAAAATTTGAATTATCACAACTTTCGGGCCGAAATTGTAAGGGCCGGGGTGGTTCAGCATTTTGGAGGAAAAAATTATATTTTTTGAATAGGCTAGTTTCCCCACAATAAATGTACATACATGCCATTAAATGGATCCTGACCCCCATATCCCTTTGAAAGGGGCAAGGTGGTAAATATTGTAAAAATTTGAATTATCACACCTTTCGGGCCGAAATGGTAAGGGCCGGGGTGGTTCAGCATTTTGGAGGAAAATATTAAATTTTTTTATTAGGCTAGTTTCCCCACAATGAATGTACATACATGCCATTAGATGGATCCTGACCCCCATATCCCTTTGAAAGGGGTGTAGGGGCAAATATTGAAAAATTTGAATTATCACAACTTTCGTGCCGAAATGGTAAGGGCCGGGGTGGTTCAGCATTTTTGAGGAAAATATTTTTTTTTTTTAACTGGCTAGTTTCCCCATAATGAATGTACATACATGCTATAAGATGAATCCTGACCCCAATATCCCTTTGAAAGGGGCGTAGTGGCAAATATTGTAAAAATTTGAATTATCACAACTTTCGGGCCGAAATTGTAAGGGCCGGGGTGGTTCAGCATTTTGGAGGAAAAAATTATATTTTTTGAATAGGCTAGTTTCCCCACAATGAATGTACATACTTGCCATTAAATGGATCCTGACCCCCATATCCCTTTGAATGGGGCAAGGTGGTAAATATTGTAAAAATTTGAACTATCACACCTTTCGGGCCGAAATGGTAAGGGCCGGGGTGGTTCAGCATTTTGGAGGAAAATATTAAATTTTTTTATTAGGCTAGTTTCCCCACAATGAATGTACATACATGCCATTAGATGGATCCTGACCCCCATATCCCTTTGAAAGGGGCGTAGGGGCAAATATTGAAAAATTTGAGTTATCACAACTTTCGGGCCGAAATTGTAAGGGCCGGGGTGGTTCAGCATTTTGGAGGAAAATATATATTTTTTTTAACTGGCTAGTTTCCCCATAATGAATGTACATACATGCCATTAGATGGATCCTGAACCCTATATCCCTTTGACAGGGGGGTAGGGGCAAATATTGTAAAAATTTGAATTATCACAACTTTTCGGGCTGAAGTTGTAAGGGCCGGGGTGGTTCAGCATTTTGGAGGAAAATATTTCAAAAATTTAGTAGGCTAGTTTCCCCACAATGAATGTACATACATGCCATTAGATGGATCCTGACCCCCACATCCCTTTGAAATGGGCGTAGTGGCAAATATTGTAAAAATTTGAATTATCACAACTTTCGGGCCGAAATTGTAAGGGCCGGGGTGGTTCAGCATTTTGGAGGAAAAAATTATATTTTTTGAATAGGCTAGTTTCCCCACAATAAATGTATATACATGCCATTAAATGGATCCTGACCCCCATATCCCTTTGAAAGGGGCAAGGTGGTAAATATTGTAAAAATTTGAATTATCACACCTTTCGGGCCGAAATGGTAAGGGCCGGGGTGGTTCAGCATTTTGGAGGAAAATATTAAAATTTTTTATTAGGCTAGTTTCCCCACAATGAATGTACATACATGCCATTAGATGGATCCTGACCCCCATATCCCTTTGAAAGGGGTGTAGGGGCAAATATTGAAAAATTTGAATTATCACAACTTTTCGGGCTGAAGTTGTAAGGGCCGGGGTGGTTCAGCATTTTGGAGGAAAATATTTCAAAAATTTAGTAGGCTAGTTTCCCCACAATGAATGTACATACATGCCATTAGATGGATCCTGACCCCCACATCCCTTTGAAATGGGCGTAGTGGCAAATATTGTAAAAATTTGAATTATCACAACTTTCGGGCCGAAATTGTAAGGGCCGGGGTGGTTCAGCATTTTGGAGGAAAAAATTATATTTTTTGAATAGGCTAGTTTCCCCACAATAAATGTACATACATGCCATTAAATGGATCCTGACCCCCATATCCCTTTGAAAGGGGCGTAGTGGCAAATATTGTAAAAATTTGAATTATCACAACTTTCGGGCCGAAATTGTAAGGGCCGGGGTGGTTCAGCATTTTGGAGGAAAAAATTATATTTTTTGAATAGGCTAGTTTCCCCACAATGAATGTACATACTTGCCATTAAATGGATCCTGACCCCCATATCCCTTTGAATGGGGCAAGGTGGTAAATATTGTAAAAATTTGAACTATCACACCTTTCGGGCCGAAATGGTAAGGGCCGGGGTGGTTCAGCATTTTGGAGGAAAATATTAAATTTTTTTATTAGGCTAGTTTCCCCACAATGAATGTACATACATGCCATTAGATGGATCCTGACCCCCATATCCCTTTGAAAGGGGTGTAGGGGCAAATATTGAAAAATTTGAATTATCACAACTTTCGGGCCGAAATTGAAAGGGCCGGGGTGGTTCAGCATTTTGGAAGAAAATATTAAATTTTTTTATTAGGCTAGTTTCCCCACAATGAATGTACATACATGCCATTAGATGGATCCTGACCCCCATATCCCTTTGAAAGGGGCGTAGGGGCAAATATTGAAAAATTTGAGTTATCACAACTTTCGGGCCGAAATTGTAAGGGCCGGGGTGGTTCAGCATTTTGGAGGAAAATATATATTTTTTTTAATTGGCTAGTTTCCCCATAATGAATGTACATACATGCCATTAGATGGATCCTGAACCCTATATCCCTTTGACAGGGGGGTAGGGGAAATATTGTAAAAATTTGAATTATCACAACTTTTCGGGCTGAAGTTGTAAGGGCCGGGGTGGTTCAGCATTTTGGAGGAAAATATTTCAAAAATTTATTAGGCTAGTTTCCCCACAATGAATGTACATACATGCCATTAGATGGAATCCTGACCCCCACATCCCTTTGAAATGGGCGTAGTGGCAAATATTGTAAAAATTTGAATTATCACAACTTTCGGGCCGAAATTGTAAGGGCCGGGGTTCAGCATTTTGGAGGAAAATATTTTTTTTTTTAATTGGCTAGTTTCCCCATAATCAATGTACGTGTATATGCTATAAGATGAATGCTGACCCCAATATCCCTTTGACAGGGGGGTAGGGGCAAATATTGTAAAAATTTGAATTATCACAACTTTCGGGCCGAAATGGTAAGGGCCGGGGTGGTTCAGCATTTTGGAGGAAAATATTATATTTTTTGAATAGGCTAGTTTCCCCACAATGAATGTACATACATGCCATTAAATGGATCCTGACCCCCATATCCCTTTGAATTGGGCATAGTCGTAAATATTGTAAAAATTTGAATTATCACACCTTTCGGGCCGAAATGGTAAGGGCCGGTGTGGTTCAGCATTTTGGAGGAAAATATTATATTTTTTTAATTGGCTAGTTTCCCCATAATGAATGTACATACATGCCATTAGATGGATACTGACCCCCACATCCCTTTGAAAGGGGCGTAGTGGCAAATATTGAAAAATTTGAGTTATCACAACTTTCGGTCCGAAATGGTTAGGGCCGGGGTGGTTCAGCATTTTGGAGGAAAATATTATTTTTATGCCTCCGCCACCGAAGGTGGTGCCGGAGGCATCATGTTTTCGGGTTGTCCGTCCGTACGTCCGTACGTCCGTCCCGTTTGACCGTTATCACAATATCTCAAGAACCATTTAAGATTTAAACTTTAGACTCGGGAATAGTATTTATCACCATAGGAAGACGATCTGATTAGATTTTCGAGTACGTAGGTCAAAGGTCACAGGTCACAGAGGTCAACTTATGAAATTCCATACATTGAGATTGTTATCATAATATCTCAAGAACCACTGGAGATTTAAACTTCAAACTTAATGATAGTGTGTATCACCATAGGAAGACAATCTGATTAGATTTTGGAGCACGTAGGTCAAAGGTCAAGGGTCACAGAGGTCAACTTATGAAATTCCATACATTGAGATCGTTATCGCGATATCTCAAGAACCACTGGAGAATTTTCGCTTCAAACTTAATGATAGTATGTATCACCATATCATAATATCTCAAGAACCACTGGAGATTTAAACTTCAAACTTAATGATAGTGTGTATCACCATAGAAAGACAATCTGATTAGATTTTGGAGCACATAGGTCAAAGGTCAAGGGTCACAGAGGTCAACTTATGAAATTCCATACATTGAGATTGTTATCATGATATCTCAAGAACCACTGGAGATTTAAACTCCAAACTTGTTTAAATTGCTCTATGGCGGAGGCATAATTTTCGATTGCGCGCAGTCAAAATTCCATCTAGTTTAACAATATTGTCTGGCAAAGTACCCTGTTGTGTGACCAAGATCTGATCAATATGACAAATTAGTACAAGATACAAATATGAACAGGCAGATGTAAAACCAAGTGATAAGTTTGAGGCTGTCATTTTCATGATTACCGGTGTACATCATTAGAAAAGTCATTCATGAATAATACTGAAGGATGGTATTGCATGGCAGTATTTATCTTTTTTACATATATTTATATATATATATATGTATCGAGAGAACTATTTACATGTATGTGATTTTTAACGTGTTCTTCATCCGAAGACCTTACTTGGATATTAAAGTACAGCTGGAACTCAGGTATTTCAAACCTAGAATGTGTTATCATATTTGCATCAAAATGATATTGTTTATTTGGAGCATAGGCATACTTTTTTATCTTTCTGTTTGATAGATTGTTTTAGGATCTCTTGGAGACAGAGTGGGTGCCAGAAAAACGTTAGGCTTCTGCCTCATATTATCAGCACTTTCAATGGTAAGAAGTTGATTTGTATTTAAATTATATATTTTCATAATTCCAAAAAGGGTTGCTGAAAACTTCTCTTCCAGTGATCATATATGTTGAAAATGTTTTCAAGAAATAACTAACATATCACAATTTAGAAGAAACTACTCTACCCTCTATTGGTGCAGAGAAATGTTACCACATAATATATTGATTTTTTTAAATGATGTAATTTATAAGATAAATTTTTTTAGATTGTGGTATTAAGCAAAATAGATATAAGTTGCAGCTTGATGTTACGTGATATAACAATTATTGAACATGAATATATAATTATTAACAAAATATATTTCTTTATTGATTTTATGACAGGTCAGCTTTGGTTACTGGCCAAACCTTTACATTCTTTGTCTTCATCTGTTGCTCAATGGTGCAGCACAGGTAAAATAATATAGACAACAAGTATATCCTGATATTTTCTTCCCTTGTATTTACCGGTAGTAATTATAGTATATTCTCTTAAAGCCCATCTGCACTAGTTTGGCCAGGAGGGATTAGACCACCCAGTGTGGTCACTGACATGTGGTCATCTCATCAACTCAGCTCTAACATAATACAAAGAGGATCATGGGGGAACAACGGGCACTGCTTAGGCATTGTTTTCTATATAGAGGGAGAGGGAGCAAGTAGCTACAAGTAGCGCAGTGGGGTTTTAATAAGAAGTACATGAAATCTTTAAGGTGTCATAGTTATTCTAATCCAGGTTATGTTCTTTTGTTCTATTATTGAATGCACCTGTTGATGATTCCTGAGTTATGAAGCAGGCTTCTTCCTTTTAAAATACTATGGGATTGCAGCTTTTATTTCTATCAAGAGCTAACCATTAGGGACACTGATGTCATGACTTAAGTTTATAGTCTGGGATCTTTCGGAGAAAAGACTGCCCTGTGGGATTATTCAATTATGGATTTTTAAATGAAAATAGTGATTGTAATTCACTTATTGTTGATTATGTTTTCAGGTTAAATCTTGTCCTTTAAATGCTAAGTATCACTTATATCATAGCAAAATTATAGCATACCCTGCACAGTGATTCTCATGTTTGTTTCTGATTCAGTCCCAGGCCTGGCCTAGCTGTACTAAGATCTTAGGTCAGTGCTTCAGCACCCAGCAGAGGAATAGTCTCTTTGGGATCTGGGGAACATGTACCTTTGCAGGTGGAATCTTTGGAACTGCAGTAGCTGTAAGTTTCTCCTTATTCTCCTCCAGTCCTTGATAGGCTTCTTTACAACATGTTTTTGTTTGTATATATATATATATATATACAAAAAGAAAAACATGTTGTAAAGAAGCCTATATATATATATATATGCATTGGCATTTTTTCACTTCTTGTTAGCTAGTGCCCCCCCCCAAAAAAAAAAAAATAATAATAATAATAATAAAAAAATAATAATAATTATAAATAAAAATAAATAAATAAATAAATAAATTAAAAAAAATAACAAAATAAAAAAAATTAAAAAAATAAATAAATAAAATGAATAAATAAATACATTTTTAAAAAATGAATAAAAATAACATGAAATTCAGAAAATATCACCCTCACAAAATATTAAACTGAAATAATATAAAGTAATTTAGTGAATACTACAGATTAATACCCCAATATAAAAGTTTAGAGCTGATAAAGCTTTCTACACCTAAATTATGATAAATGAAAAACATTGGTTCAATTTTTGTTTCCAAACACAGGTGTACCTAAGGGCAACATACAACTGGCAAATGGCTTTCTTCGTTCCATCTATATTTGTGGTAAGCAAGACGTATTCCTTTATAGTCTGTTACAGCAAGCTGAGATAATGCATTGAATAAGCAAATACTGGTTCAGTGTAATCACTTTATATCTAAAAATGTTGTTGAATATGAATAGATCCTCAAATGTCAAATCCTTTGTGGGTCAATGAGAATTCATTTCATAGATGTTGATTTACTCCCAATTTTTGTTTCCGTCTCTTTCCACTTTGTCTGTCTTTCTCTCTCTCCTTTGCACCCTCCCTGCCCCTTTCCCTCTCTCTCTTTCGTCCCTCATTCCCTCTCCCCCTCTTTTTCCCTCTCCCCCTCTTTTTCCCTCTCCCCCTCTTTTTCCCTCTCCCTTGCTCTTTCTCCATATCTCTATAACTATATTACAGGGTTTTGTAGGTATCCTAGTAGTCGTGATGCTCATAGAGCCTCCAATGGGGATTCCCCTCACCGAAATAGCACAAGGTAAGGGGATCACATTATTATTATGTTACTAATCAATGCAAATATCAGAGATTAAATCATGACTTTTTGAGAAAGAAAAACAAAATAGTTGATTTAAAACCAAGTTTCCTTTCTATTCATTTGTTTTGGATCACAGGTTTAAACCAGTGGTTTTCTTGTATTTAACAATCCTTACTTTGACTGGGCCATATTATGGGTGAGAAGTGCACCACTTCATGCAGTTTTGTCAGGGTGATGCCGCATCATCTGTATTCTGTATTTGATGAAGTACTGCAATGAGTGTGTTCCATAAGAGTTTAACCTGAAATATTATTACATGTATTAGCAAACCTCCAATACTACCACTCTATTATTGTATTTGAAATTTAAGTAGCACACACTTTGTGTTATTTGCATAACAGGAAAACATCTGTTCATGAAAATTGTTTATGCCACATTTGCATGACTAACTACAGTCAATCCAGTCTTTGCAGCAAATTCTCTATATAATGGCCACCTGTCTGCAGTGGCCATGCATTTTGTCTCCCTCGAGAAAAAAATGTGTGTTGTAGAACCTTTTTAGAAAGTCCACCTGTCTACAGTGGCCACTTTTCTGTTTCCCTTGGGTGACCTTAATGGACAGGTTTGACTGTAATCTACACTGTTTTTGCTTAACTTCTCTCACAGAAGCACTACCAGGTCCTCATCCCAAGCCATCATCTAATACACTACCATGGATAAAACTCTGGGCATTACCGTAAGTATTTCATTCCTTCCCCCATTCTCTTGTAAAGATGATTGTGAAGTTTATTAGATATGCAACACCTATGCTCTGATGGAAATCGCTCTACAGTCAATTTCTTGCACAAATCCAATTCCTAACTTTAATCCTGGATCTAAAACATAACCTTAATCCAAACCTTAAACCTGAACCTAAAGCCCATTTGCAACCCTAGTCTCAAATCTTTTATCTTTGATTAAACAAAGCTGGAAATAATGCCACCAGAGCAAAGGTCTGATCACCGATTTATTACAAACTCCTAACAAATAACTACCGGTAATGATTATCAAATATTTTAGCTAAAGTCAGTATGAAATAGCTCATTTGAAAATCTTAGATTGCTGCTCTTAGTGGTAATCTATTTTATGGTCATAATTCAGTCTACATGTACATGGTATATCGTTGTCTCTCTCTCTCTCCCTATTACAGAATGGTGAAAGAAGCAGCCATAGCAACATTTTGTATCAAGATTGTCAGATATTGTATGTTCATGTGGCTGCCATTGTATCTTCATCAAGAGGTGTGTAATACGTTTTTTTTTTAAGTTTTAAAGTTTTACATGAAATTATCAAGAATTTTTTAATTTTTTGAATGGAAAAGAACAGGGTTCATATAATGTTGCAGAGTACTACATCCCTGCTCACAAATAGTTTATAAATACCATGAAAAAAATATTGGTTTAAAAGAATTATTAGATTGACAACATAAGAAAACAAAACAGCTCTAGCAGTGTTTTCAAACATATAGTATGGTAGCTGTCCCATTTCTTTTGTGGATTCCACTCTGTATCACTCATCCAAAATCTCTGTTATTGTATTATATTTTTGGATGAGATACATATTTGTATTTTGAAAATGTTTTTCATGAGATATGACTTATATCTGACGTAAATAAAGCCCCACACCCATCCCCCACACATACACAAAACAATAATATATTGAGAGGTAGAGGGGGGGGGGGAAGGGTTTCAAACTGTTATGAAATGGATATAAGAGTAATAATGAATGATTTATGTATTTTTCTATGCAGCTTCATTACAGTCAAACAGAGGCTGGATTGCATTCGACCATATTTGAAATTGGAGGAGTTATAGGGAGCGCATCAATGGGATACCTAATTACAAGGTGAGAAGAAGAAGAAACATGAAAAGAGATGGTCCATATGAATCATATATACTGGTACTGTGGAACCACATGATAGAAAATCATTTCGGACCTTGGAAATGATCTTGATGTATTGAAACATTGTTAGATCAGGGACGAAAAAAGGGGAATCATACCGGTACCATTCACACAAGTATTGCTAAGTCACCTTGTATATAATGAGCATTTGTTTTAATATTGTTCTAACAACCTTCCACTGCATTTATAGATTATGTAGTTTATCCAGATCATGAATGTATCAAGTGAATGATAAATTTGTTATTTGTTATTTCTTTAGTTAATATGTTAGTTCACTTGCAACAAATAATGAGACAGTTCTGTAAGAATGAAACTCAAATGCATAATGCAGACCTGACATAAATAGTAGTTTCATAATGCCTGTGGATAGAGAGAAAAACAACTCTTACATGTAAATTGAAGTCATGCTCTTCTTTATATAATTAGCTTGATTAAAAAAACAAAATCTGGATTTTGCTACAAACTACTGAAACAATACAGTAATCATTCTGCTACCCACATCACATAGTTGCAAGTCTTAATTGTACCAAGCCCCTTTTTTAAATTTCATTCTAATAATCATTCACCAGATTCCTACATGACAAGGCCTTCAAAGGGACCAGCCTTGGTATCCTCCTCAGCGCATTGAGTTTCATTGGATTCTACGCCACCACCGGCCATGGGGTGTTCCTCAACCAATCCTTCATGTTGCTTGCAGGGGCCTTCAACTGTGGGGTGGACCCAATCCTCACAGGGTCCATCCCCTCTGCACTGGGGGAGCAAGGGGGCATGGATATCCAAGCATCAGTGGCTGGTTTTGTCAATGGTAAGAAAGATTATCTGCTCATGCATGTCTAGACAGTATCTCTCTTTTATCACTTCTTCAGTTCAGGTGAAATACAGTGATTCAAGATTATTCTAAAATGTTACTTTTTGTTTCCCTGTCGAAAGTTTCTTCTCTTCTGATGTACAATGCATATTTCATATGTATGTATATCATTTCGTATTGCTTTGTCGACTACTAATAGAACTGCATCATTAATCCTTCAAAGAATGCCTCAAATTTTGGATTATAATTGAATTAAAAATTGTTTTTATATACATTTGGTAAATTTTATGTACCGTAATCTCTCATGTTCGATGAGAAATCTATTCTGTTATCTTCATTTGGCTCCTTCTAAAACAGAGTCCTGTACCTTTTCTGTTCCTTTTTGAAACGGTCTTCAGATGCGTATAAAAAATGAAGACCATATTTTATCAAGCAATATGAAATGTTTGTAAAATCCCAATCCATGTATTTATATTAAATTTATATGTTCTCTTCCCTTTCCAATCGTTTTATCCTAGGTATAGGAACAATGGGCACCATCATAGAGGGACCTATCATTGGTTTAGTGGCTGAGCTGTTTGGTTGGCAAAGCATGATTTATCTCATGATTGCTGTCTCACTTCTGGGTGCCATGGCAACTTACCGAGGTCACATGATCCAGTCAAGGAGATGACACGTCAACCTAATGCCGTCTTTATGACTCACTGCCACAGGGTTCATTATGTCCATTGATACTGAAATATTGCATGTGTTTATGATTATACCTTTTGTATGCTTTAATTCCCAGTTAACTTTTCATCCTGTTGAACTTGCAAAGCCCAGCTCAGTCCTTTCCATACATTATACACCTCATTTTAATTGCTGAGAGGCAGAAGGATGTTAAGTCATATTTGTTTGTTTACACAAAGAGGTAATGCCATTCTGGCTGTCAATGGACTTAATTCAAGATTTTCTTTTGTGTTCATTACTTTTGCATTATTCATTTTAATGCTGTCCCAAATATATATAGTTTACACTGCAATCCAAGTGCCTTTATATCTTAAAATGGCTAGCGACCTGAATGACTGATACTATCAATACTTTGAAGATGTTTTTTTGTGTACGCATTGAAGATGACATCCTTTATCAATTTCTGTCTGTTATTGAATGTGCTGGCCCATATTACTTGCCAGAGTGGATTTTTTGGTAAAATATATTGATAAATCACTCAATCATGCCAAGTAGTATTTTGCTACATGATATATGTACTTTGTCTCTATTTATGTTATGTGTTTTATGAACCCATACATGATGCTTCTCTAACAATACATTCCTTGATTTTTAGTTTTTAATGTATGTCATGTACAGTTATATTATGAATAAATAAATATTCCAGTATATTGGAGTATAGCATATTGCAATCAGATCTATAGCTGCAATAAACAATTATTTGTTTTGATATCAAGAATAGAGGAGGTACATGGTCGTGATAAGATACGGAATAAGATACAAGCAAATCCTGTTATAATGAAATTGCCCATATTTGACAATATATTAAAAACAAAATTGCTTTACAATATGTTTGAATTGCTTTGCTTAGTCCCATGGGCTTCATTATAATAGGACATGCCTTCTTATGTAAAAACGCCTGACACTCACAATATAAAGAGATTTCTAGACACACACAAGACAACAAGCTCATCCCACACAACTGGATTTTCTTTTAGACTATACTTTAATGAAGCATGATTACATGTGTATTCCGTATTACTAACAAGATTTGTGATAGTACACAATTTGTGTGCTTACATAAAGCAACAACAATAGTAATTCATTACACCTATCCAATCATATAATACTTTTGTTTATACATAAGACAGGCTTGATCATTTATATTGTAAATTGGTAGCTTAACAATACAATAACAAGAAGCTGTATTGTTGTGCCAAAGTCCAATGTGAATAATTTCTGATGGGGAAAGATCAACAAAGAATGAAGATGAAGACAGAAGAGAGTGAGAGAAAAGGGCAAGTTTATCATTAGGGGGAGGGGCTTTGGAAATGAACATTTAAACATGTTAAATTTAATTCACCTAGTCTCAGAAAATCTTGAAACTTTCACAGACTAAAATAAATAAAGGACCTTGAATTTTGCTTTTCTTAGGAATTGAGTTAAAGAAACACTATAAATAATTTGTCTAAACCTTTGGTTGAAGTTTCTAATCTGTCACATTTAAACTGCAGATTTTTATGTCATTCTTTTCGAAATGAAATAAAGGGATAAACAGACATGTCATGCACTCATGTACATGCACTGTTTGCAATAAGATAATTGTTTTTATCTTATATCACCTTTATATTCAACATAAATATAGAGTATATATCACAGAAATAGAAAACCAATAATGAATATCTGCTTGCTATTTGAAATGTCAATATATATTTGTATGTTGACCAAGAATTGACTCAATAACAAAACAACAAACAACATAATTCCCAAGTTTCTGCTGGGGCCACAGATCCATAGGGTCATATCTAAGCCATTAATACCATCTGAACTTTCATATAATTCACAAACAGAATTTATAAAGAGTAAGGAAGTTTGGTGAAAGAACTTTACACTTAAGAGAGTTCCTAACAAGTCCTCGATCTATGTTGCAACAGAAGAACAGCATCTTGTTTCTGCAGAGCGACTGTGATCACACAACAAGCATTTTACAATCAAATGGGAACTGTGTTGGCCATTAATTTTGTGAGTTTTTTAGAATATTTTCAGTAATTGTAAGGTCACAAATTAAGCTACACGCTAGAATGAGCCAGCAATGAAAATGCAAACATGTACTGTAAGTAGGAAGGTGTTAATGATAAAAAAAAAACTTTAAAAAAACCTTTGTGTCCATGTCGTACACAAAAAATATTGGCCAAGGCCAAATCAGTATTGAATTTCAAGTACACTATATTACCATTTTACATATATCTCTTGTATGAATATCATCGTTGACTTAAAATCATAAGATTCTATTCTACCCACAACGCAAACTTCTCGACCACGACGAAATAAATATTAACCTACTGATGATGCGATGAGTTCACTGACCCCCGAGTCACTGCTCCTCACCGTGATGTGCATGGTGATGGTATCCTGGAGGGCAAGGCGTGCCCGGACGAGGGTGTCATGGCCGCCGCGGAACACACCAGCAAGGTAGAGGGTATGAGAGCTCTTGCCTTCACTCACCTTGTCTGATCGCTCACAAGGCTGCATGCCCAGGAAGGACACAATGTCCTTTATGGCCTCTGTGGATGGAGATAGGTTTGGAAATAAAAGGCCGTTAATTTGGATGGGACCAATATAATAGCGTATTTTCAGCAAAATATGAGAAATAACCGCCATTTATGATAACTATGTTTACATTTTGTTCATGACACTGTAAATATTAAAGGTATAGACCAGTTTTGGAAATGCCCTCCTCTCAAAAAATGAAATGGAAGCTCTTATTACCAATCATGTGAAAGAATATGTTTTGACGAATAGGTGATGATACAAATTTTGCCGGAAAGCGCCTACTAATTGATATATTTGGTAAATTATCATATCAATCCGGCCATGATAGATATCGCGAATGCACATTGAACATTTGGGCATATATTTCTGTTTTTTTTGCGAATTTATATTAAAGTATAGCCATCTAGACCTCTAAAGGCAATATTTAAACAATATTGAATGGACATTTTGCACCCAATACCCTTGATCGGAATTTTACCGCTACTGGTCTTTACCTTTAAGTACAATTTCTACTTACACAAAATATATTTACAATTTGTTGATAAGACTGAAAATAGTTTTCTTTAAATATTGTTTATGTTAATAGGCACTATTTCCATGCCATTTTATCAGATACCATATCACCCAATTATCAGTCTAAGTATAAAATACAACTAGATATACTTGTCGCAATACAAATTAAACTGGCGAAGTCAACCTGCCATATTCTACCCACAGTGGCCTTTTTTTCTCTCTCGATGTTACATTGAAACCTGTGTATAAAGAATGCTAACGAGCAAGCGAAAAGTGGTCTATACGGGCAGGTGTTCTTTCAATAGGTTAATTCAGCACTGGTTTCAATGGTCTTAAGAGACATTTGGTATTTCTATACAGGTGGTCACTAAAGCAGGTTTTACCTTCAAGACTCTTGGATGCCAGGCCATAGGTCTCCTCTGTCTCATTCTCGTCTCCTACTTCTTCCCACGAGGCCATGAAGTTGGGTTTTAGTACTCGCTGCATGTGATCTGAAAGGGCTATCTCTATATCCTCCAACTGAAAACAGAATCAAGCATTGTATGTATAGTGCATTATTTATATATACCGTATTATAACCAAAATTCAAAAGGAAACCGTTTTTTCTTGCACTGAATCCACTGGCTGTGTTTAAATTTGTGTCTGTTTACTTGAATTGCAGTAGTCTCAGCATAATAGGATAACAGATTAAGGGGTACTCTTTTTAGTTGGGATATGATTAGAACAAACACCTCTCATTCAGTTCATGCAAATTTCTCCACTTCACCAGGTACTCCTGTTAATTGGTTACCGGTAAACATGCCTCGTTCAATTTTGGCAAATTACATGTGGAAAGTACTATTAAAATAGAGTAGCATAAGCCACGCTCAAAGTTCAAAGCTCCATGGGTTCTTCAAACGGATTGCAAAATAGCATATTCCTTTACACAGCACTTTTCTCTTTAAAAAGAGCAAAGGTATTTTATCGCCATATTATTGTATAACATCCTAGTAGAAATTGATCCAGAGGACTCCATTTTAATGGTATTTACCTCTACAATGATGTAATTATTTAATTATAATTAAATAATAGCAAATAGTAAATAGTATTAAGTTTCAAAATAGAATTGGGGTCAATAAATGATAATATGGTTAATAATTATAACTGTCTTTTTAAAGCTCTTTACCAGTTACAACCAAACAAAGAGCTTACAGTATTATTATAATCAGGGTCACTGGATTAAATTACTATTCTGCACACTACAGTGCACACCCTGAGAGAGCATTCCAGCTAGTCGCCCTTTTACGAGCTTGCACATGCTTATCCAAGTAAAATCACTCGGTTTCTACATTTGTACAGATGTTAGAGATTTGAATGTTTGTAATACTCAACCACATATTCATCTTCATATCCATCGTCATCAGGCTCTCCTGTATTTGGATCACAGTCCTTCACGGTGAACTTCAGTGTGTTGCTAAATGCACTGGATACTATGGGAATAAAAAAAAATGTATAAATGTATAAATACTCATAATTCACAGCTGAACATTACAAGATGTATTTCACCTCTTTGAAATACATTTTCAGTTTTCTCATAGTGAAATTGACAAATGACTTCATAAAATTTATTCTTTTAAAACCTGATTTTGATACCGTAAAATCAACAAAATACATGTGGAATCACATATCCGATACTTCACCTCATAACATCTCAAACCAAAGAAATTACAGCAAGCCCTTCCATATCTTTCTAAAGGGCTGGTTATCATGGTAATTTTTCCATACCATGCATTCTGTTACTTTAATGCCTCAATCGCACAACACGGGCCCCAATGCCAATTTGCTTCATGTTTAATTTATAATACCAACCAAATTCCTAAATTCTAACTCCTAAACCTTAAATCTAACCTAAAAGCCCAATCACAACACAAGGCCTAACTAATAATCTTTTGTGAAATAAAGTCTGGAGGCCGTGTCTGTCCACTAAGGCTTCACTTGAAGAGAAGGGTAAACTGGAAGACATGAAGAAGGCGCGATAGCTCAGTTGGTAGAGCAGTGGTCTTTCATTCCGGCGACCCGTGTTCAAAATCAAGTCGATGCGCTAGTGCCCTTTGGAAAGGCATTAATCCTCATCACCAGGTCCCTCGGAGAGGACCTAAAGCAGTAGGTCTTCTGGTTCCTTAGTAACAAGCATTTATGCTTGCTTAGCAGTCTGGTAAAATAACAACCACACACGCACATCATGACAACTTACCATCAGAAGTGTCTTCTGGCATCTGTACCACGGTGTATGTTATGCCTGGCTGGTTATACTTGAGGACAGGAGCGGGAATGTAATGCTGGACTTCAAAGCCTTCAGCCGACTCCATCTGTACTGTTACATTCTCCAGCTGCTGGTCGTTAAGCGTGTTGGTGCAGTCAAACTGAATATTGAAGGAAATTTCATTGTAATAATTTAATAACATTCTGTTCTTGTTTAATGCACATCACATTATGATATAACACCCCTATGCGTTTCCAAAGAGCTTTACCCCTGCTGTGAAATGGTTTGAAAATATTTAGGGAACAGTTAGAGTGGGAAGATTTTCATAGGTTCTAGGACACTGTTCACCTCAGTAACTATCTTAGTTGGAATGTGTAATCAAGCAGTTTGAGATCTGTCTCCAGTCTTTTGTAAAAACCGGTGATGATAATAATTACAAGGGCACAAACTAGCATTATAAGCTACTTCACATAAACTTGATGTAGAGTGGGAGGAGGGGGGGGGGGACTACAGGCTAAGTTGTGTTTACTGCATGCCATTGCATTTCAAGAGAAAAAAATTGCTTTTTGGTAGTGTGAAAGAGAAAATCAAATTTAGCATCTAGTGCAATCCAGATGTAGATAAGCACTCCCTAGCATAAAATGTAGATAAACATTAAACAGACATTACCTGGAAAACAATGTGCTCTGGGAATGTATGTTTGATGCACCTGACCATGTACTCCGTCTCTGACTCTGTGAGCTCAGACGGCTTCACTGACGACTTGAACAGCGCCCCCAAGTCAGCAATTTCGGGAATAGCTCTCAGTTGATCTAAAAATGAGGGTATCAGAATCGAACAAAAATAATGAGCCCTGTGACCTTTGACCTTGTGACCCACAAATATGATCGGTTCATTGGCTCTGCAAGATACATACATGACCCAAATTTGGTGGAATTTCATCAATCCATTGTTGAGATAACGCGATCACAAGAACAGGAACGGGATGTACGGACAACCCAAAAACATAATGGATCCGGCTACTTTGTAGAGGAGGCATAACAATTGAAGCTAAATTTGTGTAAGAGTAACCTTTTGCTGTCATAAACCTCAAAATGCAAACAGAAATATCTCTCACTTTTTTATACGATGTATACTACAATGCTTCAGCTTAGGTTTTACCACTGAAAAGGGACTTAAAAAGCTTCAATATCATCACATGACGAATAACAAAAACAAAGCATGAATGAAAGTTCTGACAATTAGAACATTACATAATGTTCGAAAGGTATTTATACATTGATACTATTCCCCATACAACCTCATGTTCCTTAGATGAATTCTATGATTGGGTTGAAAACATTAATTGTAAACTTACCAGCATAAATATCTTGAGTAGGAGGAGCCAGTTTCTCTGGTTTTGTCGCCATAAGAGGAGCAATGTCAGCTAATGATGGGAGGAAAACAAACAATCAAATCATTAAAAAGGAAAATGTTTTACATTGATACACCACAGCAACATCTAAAAACCATGTCATTACTAAAGTCGGCTGTGACCCACACTTCCTATAAATCATGCTACACGTTTGTTCATCAGCATAGGGTTACACAGTGTGTTCTTTGCATCAGAGAATTCCATTTTCAATAGAGGATATAAAGTAATCTTTGTGCAATGATACTAATTTAAGCTTATGGTAAGAATTCACTGGTGGTATAGAATAAACCTTTAAAATCTTGATGTTTTAAAATGTTAAATGGACCCCAAGATCATGACAACATGTAAATAGAACTCACAGACTGGTTTCTGCTCTGTCAATGGCTGTGTCTCGATGGGCACAGTCTTCATGTCAAATGGAGTCTCAGACGGAGATAGGGTGTAGTGGTGAAGAGCCCTCTCCAGTCCAGCGATGGAAACGCTCAGACCTGGAAGAAAATGGGAAGTGGAAACATCTTAAATCAAATCATTGATTCAATCAGAGTGAATATCAATTAGTACTAAAAGCACATTTGGGGATGACATACAAATAAGACACCAATACATTTCAATAGGTACTTATGGTGACGTTTCTTTAATAGCTCTAATATAAGGTTAACATTGAGATAGATTCTTAATCGACACAGCTGCCAATAAATGAGAGGACACAAGATTTAATATTTCTTATCTAACATGATATAACTTAAATGCAGATAGGTTTCAAAATATGTGTTGAATCCAAGATCAGTGGGGTAATTTCATTCAGCAATAACAAAGTAATCATTTTGAAAATGAACTTCCTTCGATTCAGTGACTAAATATAGACATCACTGCATCTGAACAAGGTGGAGGCCATTTTTCATTACACAAATCACAGCGACACATTTATTTACCAGAAAAATGAGGAGGAATGGGTGAGAGTGAAAGAGAGGTGTAGATTAGAACAAGCTAGTGTTACTTACCATTCAGGATGTAGGCAGAGTTGAGAGCTTTCTGGCTGTGTTTCAAGACACTCAGGTAGAACGTGGCTCTGTCACGAACCTCGTCATCTGAGTCCAGCAGAGATCTGATAAAAAAAAAAAAAAGGAATACGAAGGTCGATACAGACCGTATTGAAAGTTGTAGAAATCCAGTAACATCATTTATTTGATAACTTTAGAACAATGTGATGTGGGAAATTCTCCCAATGATTTGAGTATTGGACAATGTCTTTGACCCAAGAATGACTACATCCTTCTTGAAAACAGTTTAGTTCCATAGAAGATATCTTATACCTGAACCTAACAAAGGAGCAAGGCAAATCAGTTAAAAAGTATACCTATGTTTATTAAGGATCATCATTAAAAAAAAAACAAGGGATTAGCAAGGGACTTGTTGCTTTAAATGGGTATAATAATGTCAGAAAAATATTGGACAAGCCTTGAGAGACTTACCTTTCAAGCAGGACCACAATACTGGGTAGCAACTCCTCACAGTGGGCTCCAAACTTGGCCAGGGAACTCACAGCAGCTGCAAATGGACAATTAGTGAAAAATTGTTGCTATTATGTTATCTACGTTGAGTCACACAGTATTTTTAAAACTAATGGACTGTTAACATCCAATACATAAATTGTATCTCATTACATTTTACTTGTATTTTTTTGCCCAAAGTCAATCACACATTGACCTTTTTGAAACGTTTACTGTTAAATGCGGTGGACTTTCATGTCAAAATACATCAAGTGACTACTTTTGTCAAAATAAACTGTGACATTGTCACCCAAATGTCTCATATTTATTCAGTCATTCAAATAATAATGGAGGGGAGGGGGGGGGCAGAATTTGAGCTTCTTAATGATTCTTCTACAGATTTCAATGACATATGAGAAGGAACTGCAAAGAAGCAATGGTGCACAAAATTTGAAAAGGACAGAGAAAATTCAGTGAAGACATTAAGTTTGTGTCAAAGTACAACAGTCATAGCCCTTCTATCTCTATTGGTATGAAATGTTATTAGGAGGGAAGATCTTACCAGCCCTGATGGCAGCATTCTCCAGGATGACCCTGTTGTAGATGAATCGGATATACTTAGCAGGGTTGGGCGAGCGTGGGCCCTCACGCCCAATCAGATGCAGGATACGTGTAGCTAAAGAGGTGTGTTCACAGTCCTCGATGAACTCACACAGGTGGGACAGTCCCGTCTCCTTGCTCTCCGGGTTCTCCTCTATGATGGCGATCAGACTGTCAACGATGGCTCGCTTGTACTCAAATCCACCCTGAGGAATGGATGGACAGAAATGGAGAGAATGAATGCAAACATGTTTCTTAACCTACTGACTACTGAATTACCTAATTTCCATAGGCTTTACACAGGGACCACAAGGTTACAGTAAGCAATGGGTTTACATCTTAAAGTTTGATAATTGTCTATATAATTTAAATGTAAAATCTTACTAAACTGTACAGCAATATTTTGACTTGAGCTGTCATCCCAGGAATTAATTCCTGATACATTCATATCCAAAGGATTCAGGATTACACGATATATAGCATAATCATATCATCATCATCATTTAAAGGGATCTGGTTACTTTGTCTAAGATTCTGAAACAAAATCCTGGATTTAGCTCATGCTGCAATGATAATTATAGACCTTTAGGTAAATCAGGACCCCATGACTTTTACAAGCCAATTTACTGTCTGACTATCAAGATATTTATGATTGGAACTTGAAACCAAATTTTGCGTTTTCCTAACGGTTTTCATAACACTACAGTCTATTGGGGAAAACGAGTACGGTATGGTGAAACCGGTAACTCAATTTTTTTTTACTTTTTTGAGGCATTTCTCGATCATGTTGAAGTGCAATTTTTTAGGGCTTCAATATTACACCATATCACAGACACTGATAACAAGTAGGGCCGTGCATCTCAGATTTAACATTGTTAACGATGCCTTCAAACAATTTACGGAAGTTGACATCATACACCACCAGTAGCCATATATTATTTCTATTACTCACCTCATCTCGGAGCATGTTGGAGAGGAAGCTCATCATGACGGAGTGCTTGCGAGGGAACTTGGAGCAGAGCGACCTGACGGCCGACACCACCACCACCTTAAACTCGTCAGAGATCTCACTCATGAAGGTACCGATCTGCTTCATCAGCCTGTCCACACTGCTCTCACTGCCAGTCTTCAGCAAGGTGGTGATGGCCAGGGTGGCAATGCTGCGGTTCACGTCAGTGATGAGGTTCTCCAGGTCCAGGTTGCAGGCGGTGACGGCGGCGGGGTGTGTCATCGCAACCTGACAGGAGAACAGAGAGCAGGTGAATTCCACTATGCTTTAGGAATGCTTGGATGTTGCATGTGTATAGATCAAATATTGAATGCAGAAATGCTGTTTTCCCAGCTGCATCACCTACGTCTAGGGAATAGAATACCTGTTCATAAATGCACCTCACCATTCAGCATTAAAAAAAAATTATAAGTAGATTTTTAAAACAAAACAATTACACTCAAATTGTATGTAAAACTTTACTTGCCAATACAATGCTTGAAGTTTTACTAAGTACAGTGACTGTCAACACTTATACAAACCACATTAAAGTATACAGCCTTGCAACATCTTAAAGAAATATTGCATACTTGTTCTCTTCTTCTAATGAATATGAATTCATCAAGGGCAGCTCCTATAGAAATTCACTCTACTAAGGTACGACAAAGTAATATTCTTAGCCATCTAGCTCTGCCTGCCTCTCACCTTGTTAAGGGTCTTGGTGGCAGCAAAGCGAAGCGTTGGTTTGGGAGAACTCAGGAACAGCTGAAGAACAGACACAGCTGGGTTCAGCTCACGGGATGTAGTGTTCTTCATGTTGACAATGGCACTGGCAGCTTCGTAGATCACCATCTATAAGAACAATACACAGAAACAAATGATAGGGACTGCAATGTAATACATGCATTAATGAAAGGTTGGTACTCACGATTTGGAGAACAGTATCAAATAATGTTTAAGGTTTAGTTTTATATTTTATTTATATATTTATTTTGCACATATATTTGTATCTGTGTCTTTGAATAATCAGAATAAAACCATTTACAAAAAAGGAATTTAAAAACATTAAATACCATTGAAGCCATCTGCAATCATGCACATACTTGCTATTATATTGACTTTAGTTGGGATGCCATTCGAGCTGAAAAGATAACCTACACCTAACCAACCTTACATTTTTTTATACGGAGGTCTCACCGAGATACAAGATCCAGGATGCCAGATATCAAGATGGGAACATAATGTTTCATGTCAAGCACATGAACTACTAGCCTATGATCCACTAAACCACATGTGCTCTCACATTTATCATGACATATATAGTATTACATATTCCCTTTGTCTTCTTTAAAGGTAAAGGCCAGTTATGGTCATGCGATTGCATTGTGAAAAAAACGTTGTGGAATCAATCAGAAAAGGTTGATCATCTAGCATCTAGCATCTGCAAGGTTCTGGAATCATCAAAATGATAAGAAATTTGACCCATTCTTCGTAAAGTTACAAGCACTATACACAGAAAGATGTATATGGGACTACCCTATATCTCTCACAGACCATGAGAGAAACAAATTTACCAAATATATGAATTAGTAGGCGGTTTCCCGGCAAATTTTTTATCATCATGTATTAGTCAAAACATATTTGTTCACATGATTGGTAATGAGAGCTTCCATTTCATTTTTTGAAATTGGGGCGTTTCCAATACTGGTCTTTACCTTTAATAAAGGCCTCTTAATCTGCAAGTGATTGGTTTTGTAGTTTACATCACATAATGAATACAGAGTGCACTCACCTCACTCTTGTGTCTCAAGCAATTCTCAATGAAATCAAACAAGGGGCTGTCATGACTGCAAAAACAAGTAGATGATAGAGAAATATGATATAAACATGAGTCAACGTTTGAAGAGGATAAAACATTTCATGAAATTGGAAACACATGTGCCAATCTACCTTCTACACAGGAAACACAACATGTAATCTAATTGTTTCAAATAGAACATAATCGTACACAATTCTTTCCACATGAAAAACATGGCACATATAAAAGACAATTAGGACAGGAACAAAAAATATCACGTTTCCTTCATAACCATTTTGCTTGGCAATTTTTGTCTCCACTTTTCTCTAATTCATATGATATTGGGGATGGGGGGGGGGGGGGTGGGGGGGGGGGGGGGGGGGGGTGGGGGGGGGGGGGGGGGGGGGGGGGGGGGGGGGGGGGTGGGGTGGGGGGGGGGGGGGGGGGGGGGGGGGGGGGGGTCTACAAAATCGGATGATGTGTATTTGCAAACGTCTTTTTCTAAACCGACATGCAGACTGTACATGGATAGAACACAACACTCAATAACATTCATTTCATTTTTTTACTCAATGACATGGGTATCATTCATTTCAATTTTCTACTGAATGACATGACATTGGCACCATTAACCATACATCTGAACTACTCACCCAGCATCCTCATCTGCAATCAGCTTGGCAGCAATGCGAATCTATGAAGGAATGAAATTTTTAAAATATTACTTCCACATAAAGTCCTCTAATGTAAGCTTTGCTTTTATTACACAACTGATTCTTGAACAGTTTTTACATTATTACCTGTTGAATTCTCAGCCTGAGATTAATAGAGTTAAATGAAAATAAAATCCTCTTCAGTGGGTTAATAAGGCAATCTGCAAATGTATGAGAGCCAGCTGAGGATTACTGTGGATTGCTACACATCAGGGCCCATCTTATAAAGAGTCCATATTAATCGCAACTTATTTGTGATTTATATCAATTGCAACAGTGTACATAAGAGATCGATGTCAATCGCAAATAAGTTGCGATTGATATCAACTCTTTGTAAGACGGGACCCACGTGATGTAATACAATGCTGAGGACCATGCAATGTCTTATTTTCAACCCCCTTCTCCTTTTTCCTCTTTATCTTTATCATGTACCTAAGATCCTATGATGTCATATTTTACCTTTCATTCTAAAGCTATTGCCTATAGAAACTGGACGGCTCCCGTACTAAATCTTTGAGGGGGGGGGGGGATGTGATAATTCAATAGTCAGCAGGTTAATAGAAAATGGAAATGTGAATGTACATACCAGCAAACAGGTGGCATAGGGGGACTTGAGTCCACCCCTGGTGTACTTGCTGACCATCTTGGATGCAGCCAGTCGATCCTGCTTGCGGATGTGGTAGAGTAAGCCCAGGGCATGGTACTGGACCATGACGTTGTCATTGGACGCAGCTTCCTGGACCTCGTTCACCCATCTCTTGACCACCTCGGGGCTCTGCTTCAGCAAGTGCTAAAAATAAAAACAAAGAACAAAAGTAAAGATTCTGTTACTGTCTATTGTAAACGAATGAACTCAACAAAACAATACTTCTCTGTAGTAATATATATATATATATATGCCATACATTAGATATTTTGAATGTGCTTAGAAGCATTGGATTCTTATTTTGTAGCAGTGAATGATTTTTATGTAATCAAAACAAATTCTTCTTCTCCTTAAATTTCGTTTTTGTATATGTACTTCAGAATTACATCCATCAATCGATAAAACATATTATACTTAATGGCAAGTCAAACTGTCAAAGTCTCATGCATGTATGTGACAGCATATCATGGACATAATTGACATCAGAAATGTAACAGTTTCCCCAATTATTTGAGAAGTTCATCCATCCTTTAGCAGGACTATCAAGTTAATGCAATCCTCAGATTTACTACAACTTTATGGTACTTTCTATTCTACTTGACAAATATGGGACACTAAATTGGACTTGCCAAGTTGTCCTTAAAATAATCATTTGGGTTGATATTACTTCTGAAATAGACGTTTGTGATATTAAACAGCTATTGATATACTTTAAAAAATCTTTTAAAAATCTTTTCTTCGGGAACACTAACCAAGGAAGAGCAGAGAGCTGCAGAAGATACACCAGAAACCTTATCCACAATGGCCTGCTTCATGTAACGCTCTATACCTTGCAACATTGAACTCTGTATCATAAAGAGAAAATGAAGATAAACTAGGGGTTAGAGCAGGAAAGCAAATACATATGTATACAATTCAGATTCATTACATTGGCAGATATACTAATTTGAGCTCTTTAAAAAGAATAAAATGCAATAGTAAAAAATTATTCTCAAATAAACAACTGCGCTTGTGGTAAAACTACTACTTTCAATAACCTGAGTACTATTCAAAGTGAAATTAATTTCATTAAAAACGTCACAAAACTTACATGAACTTGTTTTTTCTTTAGTGTTTAAATAGATTCCCTGAACAGACAATAAACCAATTCATTATGGCAATGCGACAAGTACTACAATAATTGAGAGGATAAAACACCATTTTGCCCAGGACTTACATCTGTAATCTTGCAGAGGGAACGTATAGCAGCAGCCCTGTAGAGATCTTCCTTGCCTGTCATATCCTTGGTCAAACTACTCGTCACGATGATCACATCCTCAGCAAGGTTTGCCATCTCTTTAATCATCAAGTATACCATACGACGGAGCATGACCTGGAGAAATTGAATGGATTGTTGTAAACATTACTATTCTAACCTATAATATTGTCTAAAGGAGTTTAAAAATGTCTGATTATGGGGGGAAATGCCCTTAAAAAAATAAAAGAGTATTGAAGACAGCACTATGTAGTTTAGTTTACTCACTTGTAGGAATGTACAGAAAAGAGGCCTTAAGAAAGAAGAATATTTCAGGATCATCCTGCTGAAAGTATATTAACATAAAACCTCCTTTGCCAATTCAGAATTACTATTCTGGTGATACATTCCTTCACAGAGGGTACATAAAAGGAACAAATATGATGAACCCGTCCAACAACTTGAACATGAACATTTCTAGATTTAAAGAATTCAAATGGACATAAAATTTACACCCGAAGCACTATTCTGGTAAAACAATCCTTCACATAGGAGACATGAAATGAACAAATACACTGGACATACCAGAAATATATCATGGATTTTGCTAGATTGAAACACATTCAATTGAACATCGTGTGTTTGAAAATCAAAATGTATACTTACATCATTTGACTGAAAGAGCTTTGTCATGGCAAAGAAAGTCTCTGTAGCTTCAGTAGTCCCAATAGACTCGCCCTGTAGCATTTAAGACAAGGTTGTAATGTCAAGTTTGCTTTTTTAATAAAATAACAGTGATAGTAGTATACAGTTTTAACCTACAGCAATTAACTCATCACAAGAAATTATATTGCCTAGTAGTTTCACTAAAATATTTTAAATATGAGGTTCATTCACTTTTTACTGAAACCAAATATCAATTAAAAGAATTCACTCACTAAATTTGCATTATTCAAGTTCTGATATAATGTGTAACACTGCAAACAGACTTATAGCTACATTTTGTCTAATATACACAATATATTTTTGAAAATTCACAATGGAACATCATTGGATTGAATATAAACATAATACTTATTCTGCAAAATTTTCATACTAATAAAATTGTGGAATATTACCCCAAAATACATATCTTTGGTATACCTCCTTTTACAGTAGAAAATTAAAATTTGATGACTTTATCAAATTAAAGAAATAATTAATTAGTTGTTCACACTGATTACAATTCAACACCTTACTTAGTCTTACCTGGTTTATGATGTACATGATCTTTGTCAAAATATGACAGCATTTCCTGGGATTTATAGGAGTAGCATTGAACACGCGAGCCTAAAAGAAATAAAATAAACAGCATAAAACACATTAGCTACTGAATACTAAATAGAGTGATAAACAAATGAAAATATGTTAGAGTACCTAATACCTATGTTCATATACAATCTATGTAAATATATTTATTTCTCATTATTTTTTTTAATTTATTTATTTACTTTTTGTGTAGGTGTGCTTAAAGATAAACTTGAGTTCTGGTACATATTGAAAATAAATTCTCACAGAATCCAACGAAACTTACACTGAATGTTGAACATTCAAGATTACAAATAAATGAAATGTGCCAAACAATTTTGGTAGAAAATTTATTGTGGCTGAGTAATGAGCATAGAAAGATAAAGAAATCCGGTGAGTAGACCTGACACCATGTGCTTAACACAGGTCACTATGTGCAAATGGGAAATGTAGTTTTTTATCAAAATGATACCAAGTAAGTTTTTGTGCTCAAGATTAGCTTTCATATCTGATGTTTTCTGCAAATGCATTCTGCAAAAATGTCATAATTACCTCCTGGAGGACCACGCTCCTGTCCAGATTTTGGTATGGATTGCCACCTCCTGTTAAGAAAAGAAGAAAAAAAAAGAAGAAAAAAACATGATGAAATTAGATCTCGGAACTAAGAAAAAATGACAAAGGCCAAATAAAATTAATATCTTCTAGTTTCTCATTCTGTCCTCATTGCTTTTTGTAGACCCACATCTTGTTTTTATTTCTTTACTTTGGGGGGAGGTTTTAATTTATTAATATATTGTAATTTTGCCTTGTTTTTAGTACATATACAAATAAAATTGAATTAATCTGATTTTATATAAAAATGTCCAAATGGTCCAAATATTTGAAATATCGAATAAAATGGAACCTCAACCAAACTTTTTTTAAATGCAGACGAGGAGAAACTAGGAAATTAGTTTCACTTGGCCTAGAGTCTGTTAACACTATTAATGGAGAGCCCCTATCATTAGAAATTGAAATCATAGTTGACAATTTGCACTTGTCTGATCATCACACCTAAATAACATTTTTATTCTCTTACACAAAAGCAAGATAGACATTTCTGAATCTACTTTTCTAGAAACTCTATAAATTACGGTATGTCAAACATATATTTTATGATTCTGATTCATGTAAATTTGTTAAATTTGTTAATTTATGTCAGACGATGTCAATGCAGTTTTATTGCCTTTTTTAAAGGCAAGTTCACCCTGATATAATATTGGTGTAATAAAAGCAGAAAATGAAATAGTGAAAGTTTGAGCAATATCCAATTGTAAACAGGAAAGTTATGAATTTTGTTAAAGTTGTCATCAGTGAAACACAAATTGGGAACACTGCACTATGCCATCACATATCTTCCTCTCCAATTTGCTCTGTACAGAAAATGACATAAACTTTCAAATTTTGTAGTTATTGATGACAGAATGGACTAGATTTGCAATAATTATATTTATGGAAAATGTATGATTAACAATTTTTTTAAGAAGTTAAGGAAAATTACAAATTTGTGAAGCTTTTTTAGGACAGGGACGGATACTTACAAGATTTGTGACACCACAGAGTTGCCAATCTGTGTTTGATTGACCGCTCCTTCCCATATTCATAACTTCTTATCATTTTTAATCGGTTTTTGCTCAAACTTTCACTGACCCGTTTCTCTCATTTTTATGCTTGTATTAAACCTAATTTAATATCACATTATCAGGCAGGGTACACTTCCCCTTTTAATTTAATTCTATTTACATTCATCAGTAGGGGTGCCAGAATGAGAATGAGGATCGTCCGCATAAACGAGGATATCCTCGTAAAGGCGGACAAATTGCATCCAAAAAATAAGGATTGTCCGCATTTTCGCAGACATATTTTTTCATCGGAGCTCTGCGGGTTTCGGGTTCCCGAACTGCGCCCTGGACGATGCGAGAAACGGATTCCACGTAAGAAAATAACCCCAGTTCACCGTTTACTTTTATGGGTTGTAGGGACACTGATTTTCCGTTTCAAAAAATTGCCTTTTCCGTTTCAGAAAATCTGGAATTCCGTTTCAGATGGGCTGAAAAACGGAAATTCCGTTTTGCCATAGACTTTGTACACATGCAAAAACTAAAATTCCGTTTACATAAGATTTTCATTAAAACATGAACTTGTAGGGTACAAATGTTCTATTAAAGCCGCCACCTTTGACAAGCCACTGATAACCACTCAAAAACATACGGACGGGACTGGATAAACTTGATGCAAAATACTAGTGAAAATATAGACCCCTACGGGCCCTAGAGTCTAGGCTAGACCGACGAAAAATTATCAAATGTTTAGATTTACCAACTTCAAATTCTAACTTAGACAAGCAGACTAAAGTCAGCGGAATGTGTCAGAACACGACATATTCCTGACGGAAACGATGAGTACCGACGTCGACGAAAACATTTCAGTCTTAGCTGCCATGTCCGCGATCGATCGATTTTAGGCGCACATGCCAGCCCCTTTTTCGAACTGTACAACAGCGTGTGTACAATCTCGCCGGACGTAGCGCCCGCTGCTGGCGTGTGTGTGCCTACATGTAGTATTACGTCTACGTAATACTAGGCGCCTAGCTGGCATAATAGGATCGTTTCGCTGCTATTTGTACCGTGTTTTGTGTCACGATCTCTATTGGTCCAGCGAAACAAAATGGCAGCGCCCGGTCTCCTAAGAATCTGACGAATATCGCTAAATATTTGGAATTATTAACCATGATTTGAGGTCCTATATTTTTTCACTGCATAACGAGTCACAAAAATAGTGTAAGTTTTACGATTTTCTTCTTGAAAAATGAAAAGTCTTGAGGTAAAAGGGGTTTTCCGCGATTTTCCGTTTCAAATGGTCAATTCCGTGAATTCCGTCCGTTTTCCGTGATCGCGGAAAATCAGTGTCCCTAGGGTTGTCCGTCTTCCCGAGGATTTAAATCTATCACTTATATAACGTGAAAGTCTCTGTACAAAGTCAATGTGAAATGCATCAAGAAAACCATTGCAGAATCCGTTTTTCGCATCGCCAATGTGCGGATCAGATTCATGAAACGTCTGCAAAAATGTTGATCCTTATTTTTCAGATGCATATGTTTGCGTTTACAAGTTTGGAGCTACATGCAGAATGACCACTCAGCCCAGCTGTACACAGGCGGGATAGAGCATCAATGTGGCTCTACTTCATCTATAAATTAGATGATGTCTACAACCCACTCATTTTATGAGCACCTTATTATTTTGTTTTTTGAACTTTGCATCAGTTGTGATGTTTGTTGACAGTTTGCGATGCCACGGAAATCTGGACGTATATACCAATTGGTCCTGTCCAGTACCACCTTAGATGTAGACAATACAAAGACGATCCTCGCTTACGAGGATCGAGGACGATCCTTATTCTCGGACCAGCGCCCCTACTGTTCATCAAACCAAATTGTCTCTAACCATTAGAAGAGTTCAAACAATCCTTCATCACAGACTTTCTGAGATTCTAACTTATATCACCATTCAAAATCACACAACACATCATTGGTGAAAAAATACGAACTCGCACAATAAATTAGTAATAGTAACACCGATTACATTAGATGGGGATACGCAATTATTTACCAAACTCGGTTCCACACGTTAAACCGTCAACGAATTCATAGTTTTAATATAATATACATATTTAATGTTCTAATTTGTATGCTCACCATCTTCTTCATCCTTTTTATCACGTCGAAGCATCATGGTGAGCTGGGATGATCAAAATATTGTAAAAATATTCTGTAGATTCTAGGTGTAGTTTTCTTGAACACGTAGATAGTCCACGTCACATATCGTATCACTGCGCAGTTCATTGCGCATATTCAGCTAGCTAGCTAGCTCGCGCGCACATCATCATCGTCTTTGATACACGTCTGTAAAAACCCAATGACACACACACACACACTCACCACCACAAATCATCCGGCCTCGATGTTGTATTGGTCTATATTACGTGACAATTATTTGGGTGAAAAGCATGATCGAGAAGGAAAAGGGGCACTTTTTAGAAAGGAAACGGGGGCAAGTACCACATAAAAGGGGCGCTTCATCAAGAAAAGGAGTACATATTCAGAAGGGGAAGCAATATTTATTTTTACAAAGGAAAAAGCTAGGGCACTTCTCAATCAAGTAAAACGTGTAACTGTCAGATTTGAATAGGGTCAATTATCAATTACCCCCTGGGCACTCACCCCCGGAAAATTACCCCCCCCCCGTCCCCCCCCCCCCGAGGACAATTGCCCTCCAAGGACAATTACCCCCTCCCGGAAAATTACCCCAAGGACAATCAGCCCCCCCCCCCCCCTCCCCACCCGAGGACAATACACCCCCCCCCCCCCCGAACTTATTATAAGGCTGGACTTTCCCTTTAACGAACAGGGGGGGGGGGGGGGGATTTCTGGGACGGGGGGGGGTAATTGTTCTAGGGTTTTTGTCAAGGCGTGGGGGTAATTGTCCTCGGGGGTAATTTTCCGGGGGGATGATAGCCCAGGGGGTAATTGTTCTGATACGGTGAAGGGGGCATGAAGGGAAAGGGGCGAAAAGAGACATTTATGAGAAAGTGAAGGGGATCTTATGTTAAAACAAGGGGTGCACTTATCAAAAGTAAAAGGGGAACTTATTAGAAGGGGAAGAGGCAGTTCTTACAAAGTAAAAAGGGCACTTGTCCTATGTAAAAAAAAAAGGGGGGGGCACTTAGGGGTACCTGAAAAGTGGGAGGCACTGTGCTCTATGGAGAGAGGTCGGACTAAGAACATATGTAGCCCCTCCCTCCCCCGCCAGTCCGTAATCGGCCCCGGGCTGCACCGCCAGGGAATAACGCATGATATAATCTGACCTTTTCTATTACATGATCGAAGATAGTACATCAAATACACCACAACATGAACAAAACAAAAAATGTAACAAAAACAAACAAATCTATCCCTTGAAACGTAAATGCACACAAAATAACGTTTATCATTACGCAAGGCGGAAATACTTTGTGATGTTTTGCCACTTTGCCATATGCTTCTCAAATTTGTTTTTCTTTTTTTGCAATATCTTCTTCAGTGGATCTATAAGACGAAATATAATTATTAAATTGTTTCAAACTAGGCATACTCTCTTGATATTTACAACGTAAAATGAAATGTTTACCAAGTAAAGTAAGAAAATTAAAAGCTGAGGTGGCTTGACTTTTTGGTTTAGTAATTCCAGGGGCGGCGCCACAGGGGGGCAGGTGGTCGCACCCCGCTATCATTTTGAAAAGGGGGAAGAGGAAGGGAAGGAGAAAGATGAAAAGGAGAAGGAAAAGGAAAAGAAAAGAAACGGAAGGGGACGAGGAGGAGGAAGGCCAGGAGAAAGAGAACTATCAAAATGTAAATTATGACGTATGGGAGGGCGGGGGGGGGGGAGGGGGGAATAAAGATTAAGAAAAATTTTAAAAAGGGAGAAAAAGCAAGCCAAATCAGGCCATCAGATTTTATTAATAGACGCGTCATTATTACATTCACATTAACGGAAGTCCAAACATTGGTTTATGATGAAAAACCTTTCACCAACTAACAAAAAATCAAATTAATCCCTTGTATCTCTTAAACCTTATGGCTGATTGTTCAAAGGAAACGACAAATTCATCTGTAAAAACCCTTCTGAAAAATATGGTGACACCCCCCCCCCCCCCCCCCCTCTGCGTTCTTGTTCTTGTAAGTTGAACTTAAGACTGTTTCCTTTTTTATTTGGCAAAAAGTATGCACCAAATCAAGCCATTTATGCATCAATTTAACTCCCCTCAGACACCCCCTGCGTCCTTGTTCCTTGTTAGTTGAACTTGAGACTGTTTTTCTTTTTAATTTGGCAAAAAGTATGCATTAAAGCGAGCCATTTAAGCATCAATTTTTAAAAGAAAAATCATCTTCTGAGGGGGGCACATTCCTCAGACACCCCATGCGTCGCGCCCCCATTCGCCCCCCTAACAAAATTACTTGGCGCCACCCTGAGTAATACCAAATATAATGCCCCGAATTCACAAAGGAGGTTTGTCGACAAACCTAGGTTTATGTGCGTCATACGACGCGTTTCGACGCGTTTTTACAAACCTTGTAAAAAACAAAAGGAGGTTTGTCGAAACAAAAGGAGATTTTGTCGACAAACCTCCTTTGTGAATTCGGGCCAATGAGTTTGCCTGTAAGAAAATGATCGGGATTAAAATCGTCACTCTTCTGCGTAGCGCATTCCAAAGGCTGCAATCTTAGGACATGTAAAAAAAAAAAAAGATCCATTGTCTCGGGTGTCGCATTGCAAAAAGATCACAACTCATTTATAATGATATTCATGATTGATCAAAAATGGAACTGTCATGCAGGCAGTGGTAGGTCTATTATCACTCCAGCCTGGAACAATAATCATAATACTTAAATTTCTTTCAAAAAAAAATTATAATTATTATTAAGTTTACAAAATGTTTTGTTCTTAATGTTCAGGGACTGTTTTAGAAAATCATGATAATGACATCCTTTCCTCATGTACCCCTCGGCATCGTGGGTGTCCCCATAATGGCTCCTCAGTGAGGAGGCGCGATAGCTCAGTCGGTAGAGCAGTGGTCTCGTAATCCGGTGACCCGGGTTCGAAACTAAGGCGATGCATTGGTAAGGCATTAATCCTCATCACCAGGTCCCTCGGAGAGGACCTAAAGCCGTCGGCCGTCTGGTTGCTTTCTTACAAGCATTTATGCTTTCTTAGCAGTCAGGTAAAAATAACCACCATTCGATGACTTTATGCTTGGTCACATCGTACGGCATATCGAATTGCTTATTATACGAGTCACGCCCACTTAATTATGGCCTTTTCGTGCCAATCAACATGGTAGTCACCTGATTCGAAGTGAGGTAGGTCTAAAGTACCAGTTTGTTTACAGTCAAGGGCCATTCGAAGGAACCTTGACCACAATTATTGCCTTGAATGTCTGGCATTGTGAACGTAAGCTAACGAAACTAAAGTCGAACACTTTAACGATGTATAATAAACCTTGATTCCTCGTGATCACTAATTAGTGCACCGCAATGAAATAGGATGACTACTTCGAAAAGTTGTGTTGGAAAGGAGTTGATCTGCAAGCAAGTGGGACAAGTCGGCTGCACATAGAAAGATCATGAATGTACTCCAAGCAGCATCAGATCTATTCATATATAACTGTGAGTATCTATATTATGTTGTTGATGTGTACATACTAAGTTATTAGGACATGAGACAAGAAAATTGCAAAGTTATTCGGCGACTCGCATCCAAGTATTTTACCCATGCATTGAGGAGAAGAAATATTGAACGGAAATGGGCATAAAATTACCAAAATAGAAAGTTGGTCGTGTTCATAAACTACCCTGTAATTGGGCAAAATATTGTATGCAGTGTTCTTTGTGAATAAAAGATTCAGAGGGATGATCGACGCAAGAACGAATGAAACTCATGTAGTGCATGGTTCTGTCGGAGCAATTATCCAACTCGCTGCATGTGTTTAGTAATTATAGAGACCTATCATATCGCTGGGTCGAATCAATACTGTGTCATAGTTTTTGTCGAAACTTTTCTCGTAGTTTACCTATTCATTTAAATACCAAGGCACATACAGCATCGCTACAAATACCCTAATTTAGAGTGGTTCCGTAAGGGGTTAACATCTTTTCGTGACTACATGTATAGGAGAATGTGCATGTTAAAGAATTGTAACTCTATACCATTAATTTACAGAACTCGGCTTTTTCTATATACACCAAGTGATTTTGCACACAACAGAGGTGAGCTACTAAAGCATGACATATAGTGCGCATATAATTATGCGAGATAAAAAGCCCATCGAAACTAACATAGAGCCATTATTCTCCAACTCCCACAAAAAAAAATAGAATTAGCATTACAATAGCAATGTTTGAAATCTTATTTGAACAAGACTGGCGATATAATTGTCTGTACCAGTGTACCCACACGTGAAGAGGATGTGAACAATAAATTGTCATGTGAGTTTTGATAGTGCACTGTAATACAATGCGTCCAAGAAAAAACGAAACCGAGAATTATCGATGCTTATCATAACTTAATCACAATTATTATAATAAATAAATGACACATATTTATAAAGCTTAGACCCTCATCTTGCATTAAATGCAACTCATATGATGCATATTTCACGCATGAGTGATTAAAAACAATGTGAAGAGAGGGTGCCAAAAAGTCATTTGGAGGGCGGTATATGAATTTCAAAGAGAATATCACATTTCTAGAAAGTTCATTTTCTGCCCTTTCATAATTATGACACCTCGTTTTTACAGGCTGCCTGCCGTAGCAACAAACAAAGTTGAAAACAATCTTTCGTTTCGTTGACGATCAGCCATGCATCAAAAGTCTATCGTCTTCTTTGTGTATGGCTGATCGTCAACGAAACGGAGTTAAGTCTTTTGTCAACTCTGTTTGTTGCTACGGCAGGCAGCCAGTGAAAACGAATTCGTTTAATCAAATTATGGAAATCTAAGCATTACTTTAAACAAACATAATTTTTTTTTATGGCTCATTTTTCCTGATTGGGGTGTCATTATGAAAGGGCAGAAAATGAACTTTCTAGAAATGTGATTTTCTCTTTGAAATTCAGATACCGCCCGCCAAATGACCTTTGGTATCCTCTCTTTAAATTGGCTTTTATCACTCGTGAAATAGGCATCATATGAGTTGCATTAAATGAAAGAAGAGGATCTAAGCTTTAAAAATATGTATCATTTATTAATTATAATTGTGGTTAAGTTATGATAAGTCGTCGATAATTCCCGGTTTCGTTTTTTTTCTAGGACGTACTGTACATGGATAATTATGTTCGCCTCTTGTAAATAGATAAGTTCTCATCGTATAGGCCCTATAGGGTATGCTCAAGGGTAAGTCAATTATATAACACTCTAAAGTATAATATATTGAAACTTTGCAGGGACGGATCCAGGGAGTGGCACAGGGGGCACGTGCCCTCCCCCCCCCCCCGGCCCCAAAAAACGTGTTGAAATCAGCCCCAAATTCGCCAAAAATGTACTTGCAAACAGGGACGTGCCCCCCCCCCTGCCCCCCCCCCAATAATAATAATTAGTGCGCACTCCCCCCCCCCCCCACTGATTTTAAAATATTCGGGAGCAAAAAACAAAAACAAAATGTGCTTTTACCACCCCCCCCCCCCCCCCCCCCCCCCCGCTTATTCAGCCGGACTGGCTGAGTCGTTGCGATATTTTTGGGACCAAAAAAAGATAAAGTGCTCTTACCCCCCGTGTGCCCCCCTGTGTGCCTCCCCCCCCCCCCCCCCCCGGGGGGAAGAAATTCCTGGATATTATCAAACATATCGTACTTTTGACAGAAATCTATTATTTACATAATGGTGATTTCTTTTTCAATGCTTCTCAGTAGGCCTATATAGCATTATAAAGCGTAAAATCTTCATGGTCAGAAGATTTAGCACTTTACGTTCTATTAAATTTACAGAATAAATATCAAAGGACTATATTCAATTATAACTTCCAAATTGTTCTTTGAATGAGGAAGTTACATCAAACCTCTCAATTTTCCATCGTTATTCAGTGCTTAATATCGTTTATTTTTAGAATCATTAAATGTCGTATAATTACATCCAGTATATAGTACGTGATGGCCGTTGTTTGTCTGTAGTACTTTCACTTTCATATATTCAATACAAAGTCACATCAATCATCAGTCCACATTATTCCTTTATGCTATATGAAGTATGTTCTGAAACTATTGCAGTCTCATTACAATATTAAATGTCATGAAAATCATACATCAATATCAAAGTTTGATTTATTAACCATGCAGAAATCAAATGAATGATTTAAAAATAGAAAGGTATAAAACTGTAATTAAAACACAAAACAAAATCAAAACACAAAACAAACGGACATGACTATAAAATGTGAGGCTATTATATTCCAACTGAAAATGATATTAAGTATTTAAGAGTTATACACGTATATATATATATATAGCTCACAATAATATTAATCAAAATTAGGCCTGTATTAATTATAATCATCGTTTCCGTTGTATTGTATTCTGATTCTAGATTCTTTGTTTTCGATTCCAACAATTTCCGCATTTCATTCCTGAGTTTTTACGTCGGCAAGAATAGAAGCAAAATCATTTTCACATTAACTCTCTTTCATGGTGCTGTATTTTGTCATCAATACTGTCTTGTTGTTCTGGTATACATAATTATCTTTTCATAGACCAGATCCACATGACTTTGCCAAACTGATAATTGTGGATTAGGAGATCTGTACTGCAATCATGGATCACGACAGTGCGCCATTGTTAGCTAACTGCACCGACGTCAGCGTCCCCTTCGAAGAGAGGCCACCCTCCAATGAGCCCATCATCAACGGCATCAACATCCAAACACCACCTTCCGAAGATGCCCCCGCCACCAGAGATCCCGCGGAGTACTACGAGTTCAGCTTACGTGGTCGATGTTCATTTCGATTACGGCTGGTGTTCTTCAACGTCTTCCTCACGATCATGACCGTGTTGAGCAGCTTGATGATGGCGACGACCCTCCCGCTCTTTTCGGGGTCGATGGTAACGGAGAGCTCGACAGACGAATATCCGGTGCTTTTCTTTACAGCACTCTGGTTCCCCTTCTTTTTCCTTTGTCTCGTGCTCATCAACAAGCTCATCGATCCCGCAATGAGCCTCAAATCGACGACCAGTCATCGCGTCATGGCGCTTGTTGGCGGAATGAATTCACTCAATGGTGTCCTGGTGGTGTATGCCAGCGACCCTGACAGGACTAGCCCTCAGCTACAGGCCATCCTTGGCACTTCTGTTATCCCGTTTACTGTAATCTGCAGATACATCATTCTACGAAAAGGTGACAAAAACAACAAAATCATTTCATAACATTATCATTGCGACAACAGCAATCGTGACGAAATAATTTTTGATAAAAGCAGACGCTTTCGATCGGTATTTTCCAGACACTATAATAAAAGCTGACAAAAAGTACCTACGTGCAATACCCAGGGTCATCGTTCGTATAACGTTTTGTGGCTAAAGTGGCTAATTAATCAAGGTTGGAGGTTGCCCGGGGTCAGTGCAGGCGTAGCGTGAGCTCAGTCATCTGGGGTGGGGGAGGCACCAATACAGTCTTTAGTCGATTTCGACGGCAACCTTTATTTAGTCACGGCACTCTTTTCGGAGTTAAAAGGTTTCTCCAGGGCATCCCTGGTTTCTCGTCACCCCAAACCAAAATTCACCAAAGATGATTTTTTTTCCTTCCCTGGTACACATAGGGATATGGGCACATTTTAATTAGCCTGAGGGCCGAGAGGGCCCCTTGCTCTAACTACCTGGATCCCATATAATTATTGCGAGCGAGCTACTAAAACATTGCAATTTTTATTATGGCAAAAAATGTTATTTAGTCATCAGTATACAGTAAATGAAATTATGTATTCGGTAATCTAGTTGCCATGAACAGTGGCGGATCCAGGGAAAAATACAGTTAAAAACACATTAATTTTTACCTTTTTTGGAGATGGCCTCCTGGCGCTCAAGGGGGGGGGGGGGGGGGGTGCGATTTTTCCAATTTTCGAGGGCCAAACAAAAAAATTAGTTCAATATCCCCGTTATTAATATTATTATCGTATATATATTTGTTAAACTATAATGTACCTCATTAATTTTAACAGGGCCTCATGGAAGACCACCATTATTGGTGATAATGAGTCACCCTGCATCTGAAATAAATAAATAAATAAATAAATGCATTTCAGGTGTAAGTCGAGCTCGTTTGGTGTGCACGGGCATCGTCCTAATCGGTCTCTTCATCTCCCTCGAACCTGTCATTTGGAGCATCGACCTACCTGGTGGAGGTGGTGACAGTAGTGGTGGAAGACACTCCAAGGGGTTCGCTCAGGTCGTTTGGCCTTTCGTTTTCACCCTTGGGTTCCTCCCATTGGGTATCCTCAACACTCTGATCGAGAGGGAACTCAAACGAGATCAGGTATGGATACCTCATGATTTGAACGCCTTTTTGTTTCCACTATTACGCACCATTTTCGGTCAACACCTGTAGCATAATTATAATATTATGTTCATTTAGAGAATAATCTGACGTGTATTTCGTATAACTTGGCTATAAAGGAATTAAATCAAGTAGATGGGGCTGGACACAATGCAATGTACAAAATATGCCCCCCCCCCCCTCCCCATGGAAAAACACAACATTATCTAATTTCGTAATCAAAATATGCCGGGGACACCCGCCACCTTCATCCCTGGATATGCCTCTGTCACTATATCTTTTTTACGTTGATCATTTTGTATCCCTCTTTTTTGCATACAGACAGAATCTTTAGTTTTTCAGGCTTGGGTTCAACTCTACAGCACCATAATAATTTGCCTTCTCTTCTGGACAGATTTCATTCCTGGCTTTGGAGGGGTATGTTGTTTTTAGAAATATCACACTTATATTCTTGTTGTTACTTTCATGTTTAGGGCTTGATTGACATGTCACATTGAATTTCAAAATTTGACTTTTCGTATAGAGGAGGGGGAGAAAGAGAGAAAGAGAGAGAGAGAGAGAGAGAGACATCGACAACAGTGTTTATTAGCAGGCACATAGCCACAGGGGGGGGGGGCACGTGCACCCCCAAATTTTCAAGATCGGATGAATTTTTTTAGACCCATTTTTTTTATCTCGATCGATTACATGTATGTGCCCCACCCCCCCCCCCCCCCCCAAAAAAAAAGAAAGAAAAAAAAAAAGAAAAAAAAAACATCAAGCTCCGGCTACGTGCCTGTTTATCAGCCTAAAGGGCTGGGCACATAATAATCGCCATTAAAAAAACGATTACTATAATCATTGCAAAGTTTTGAATTTTTAAAGGGGTGGAAAAGTTTTGATGATGATTAAAAATGTATAAGCAAGTTCACTCTAATCGGAAAGGTTCTCCATTTTCAGGCCAGCAATCCATCGGAATTCTGGGAGAACCTCAAGTACGGCTTCAACTGCATGTACGGCCAGGATCCCGCGTGCTCCGATGCCGTTCTCTATGCTATCCTCTTCATCATCGGCTACTGTCTCGCAAACCTCTTCATCTTCCTCCTCGTCCGCTTCGCCGAAGGCGCGGTATATGCCGTCATCGTTCAGGCTCTCGTTACTCCGCTCGGCGCCATATTCTGGACGCTCTTCAAGGCCGATCCATCATTTCATTGGGAACCCGTTTTCAACCTGGCCACGGCGTTCGTTCTCGTTGGTCTCGTCATCATGGTACCGGCTGTCGTATTTTATAATTACTTCGGTAGCCAAGAGGCCAAAAAGGCGGCTGAGAAGCAGGCAGAGAAAGATCAATATTAATAAAATAAAAGTTCAAAAAATATATTATCGTACTCATTTTCATAACAGTATTTATCATGCTGTATACTTTTTTTATTCAGAATTATACAGTACTATACTATTATATATTGAGTCATAATATTTTGTGAACCTATAGTCAGTACTGACACTATTACACAACGTGCAAATATAGAACATTATATCTATACTATATTCGTTTATGATAATGCTTCATTCAGTCTTGCCTGATACATTAGTTTATAATCTTGTCAGATCCACTTGAAATTCAAATTGGGTTTTAATTCCGTTTTACCCTTTCGCATAGAATGATATCCTCAGATTGTGATGTTACTGAATGGATATACTTATCTGAGATGTAATAAATGATGTAGCCTTTCATGTGCTTTATTCGACTCTTTCAAGTTCATTTTAAGGCATTATTATTGATCCCTAGAAGTACATGTATAGTTCTTATTTGGTGATATTATTTTGCACAAAACAAAGTTGCTATAAAACACTTCGTTTGTCATGATTGTATTTTGCTGTTATGTCTTGAAACCATGCGTGGTTTTATAAAAAAAAATATAACAATAATAACAGCAATAATAATCTGGATTTATATAGCGCTTAAAATGAAATACTGTCTCTAAGCGCTTTACATTAATTATATTTTATATTTGTATGATATTTCATGTTTTTCTTATAAAGTTATCAAAACTATGACCTCGATTCAATTCAGATGTTTTCTCGAAAGAAAATGCGTTCTATGATTGAGAAAGATATATATAAATAAAAATATATAATAATATTTGAAAATATACAGCGTCTTTCACTCTAGGCCGTATAAGAGACAGACATACAAAAAGAGAGACAAAGAGGAAGGGAGAGAGAGAGAGAGAGAGAGAGAGAGAGATAGAGAGAGAGAATGAGATAGAGGGGGAGGGGAGTGGATAGATCGAGGGGAAACCGGGAAACCATAATAAAGAGATTAGGGAAAATCATTATGAGAGAGAGAGAGAGAGAGAGAGAACATGGCCTGGGAGGGGGGGGGGGGGGTAGGATGGGCATGGGGCCGAGGGGCTAAGATGTGTTGGTAATATTATTTTGCTCATAATACAGTCGAACCTGCTTTAGTGACCACCTGTCTACAAAGACCACATTGTTGTTTCCCTTGAAAACGGTTTCTCATTGAAACATGTACTAAAGGAACCTGTCTACAAAGACAACCTGTCTACTAAGACCACTTTTTATGTTTCCCTTGGGCGGTCGCTATAGACAGGTTTGACTGTATTGAGAGAAGACGTGTACGTATACCTTATTAGAAAATTATGAATCGTGATTCCTTTTCTACCACTATGTTGGAAAAAATATATTTATATTAATTTCTTTGATCCTCCTATTAGTTGATTTTCTGTATACACGCTATTTTTAAATCAGGTTCATGAGCGGATACAGGAAGCTCATTAAATGCGTAATTATATCTATTTCCTGATGATGATTCCAAATCATAAATAGACTTTTGTCATGTACAGGCAAGTATTCCTCTGTATATATAATAATATGACTCACCATCTTCACGAGAATACATAGGCCTATATAGGCTATTATATAGCCGTGGATCAAGATTTTTCACCCATGATTTTTTTTATCTTTTATAATTAAAAAAAAGAAGAAAAAAAAAGGGGGGGGGGGGTTTAGGGGTTTTTTCCTATAAAATACACACATAAATATACCAAAGGAGGGGTTCAACCCCCAACCCCCCCCCCCCCTGCGCTTGATAATGTACAATAAGTATGAATCATAAATAATCAAATAATTATGATGTATGTTTATCAAAATTGTTATTTTCAAAAATGAAATGATAAACTGTCATAAATACTAAATTTCCTCAAACATTATAAAACATATTATAACAAAATTTGCGGAAGATGGACTGTCTTTCATTGTAAGCAGATTGCCTGATAACACGACAGCCCCGGACAAATAGTCGATTAACACATTTATTAAGCAGAACGGATAGATAATTGAAAATACATATTTTGTTGATGGTGATATAGGCAATTTAACTTTCAGCAGGTTTTCCAGCTTTTTTTTCTAGTCCCGTCAGGTGGTGGGGCACGTGCCCCCCCCCCCCCCGTGTTCTGCCCTCTCTAGCTCCCAATGACCATGAATCATTTTTTAAAATTACAACATGTATCTCAATTTTTTCTTTCTTTTTGAAAAAGTCAATTGTCATTTATGTACTGCTGTACATTAATAGTTCTTTTTTCATTGATGCTGGTTTCAGAAGCCCCCACCAACATGAACCCATAAAGGAACATTTGATTATTAATGATTTTACGCAAGGACAATGAGTGCAAAACCCCCAAATGCCCCACCCCTAAGCCTCACCCTCCGCTCCCCATATAGAAGGCAGAACTGCGTCTGCTCACCACCTATCCCTGCATGGTCAGTCTCTTTGGTCTGGCCAAGAAAAACAAGATAATGAATGCATGTAAAAAGTTTACGTGCAATCGAAACTGTCGCTCTTGAGCAACGACTTTACGCGCGGAGTTCAACCGCGTCTTCCCGCCACGAACAGCTGACTTTGCACATGATGTCTGAGCGAGGGGCGTTTGTGTAGTCCCGTTATACTGAAAACTGTGTTGGATACAGAAGACCTGAACCTTTCTTCGAAAGAAATTTTGTATTAATGGAATTCTTTACCATTACTGATCCATCAGACTGGCCATCAAGCATGCCGGAGTTGAATGTAAGAAAGCAATTTATTCCAAAATGAATGTCTACTTGTAAATTGAGTTGATTTGGAGTCGATTTGTCAAAGGATTTCTCACCATTTTTTTTAATTAAAAAAATTGACAGTTTTCTAAATAGTCTACAGATTTAACTATTAGGTCTAGATAGAGCTGTTGAAAAGTGTAAACTATTTCTATTTTGTACCTCTTAACCACGATAGAAATAATGACTTGAGTCTTGACTAATGTTTTCATTTTGTTGATGGTGATTTACTTTTATTATTTTTACAAAGTCAAGTGACAGTTTACACATCTCAATGACAAATATTCATTGTTTTCTTCCTCTTATTCTTCTGTTAATCTTCAAAGGGTTATGCGGCCTATCTAAAAATATCTGTATAGGAAGATTATCAGTTGTGTATACAGGCACACTTGACAAGTTTACACCCTACTCTTTGCGAGAAGCATATGAACGTGCATACAGTGCAGTGTGACTCTCCTGAACTCGACCCTGCATTGAGAACAGAGGAGAGGGGCGCGCTTATACACACAATGTAATGACAACCATTTTTGTCTGCTCATCAGGAACTCAAACCCACATGCGTGACAAAAGTGATGAGAGTCAGCAGATCCGATTGCGCCACACCGCATCGACCTCTTAACAATTTTAAAACTTAATTTATGAAAGAACAGGAGAGAAAATTATCTATCGTTTACTGATTGTTTCACTATTATTTTAGATATGAGACTCTATTTTTAGTCACAAGAAGAAAAAAATCCTGAAAAAGTATACGAGATGGATGATCAAGATTATTGATTCTATTGAATGTAGTTTGGAATTGGATCATCACAAGTTTTAAAAATAAGCAAATATTTTCAGATTTTCCTTTATTTTTCCTGAGTATTTCTGCTGCAGTAAGTTTAATTCTGGCAATTTATTGTGGCAGTCACTGACACTGGCCCATGTACATGCACACTCCTTCTGGTTCTGTGAGTGGTCGGATCTAGACCTATATGCCTCGGCAGAGCTGCCAACCAGTACGATTGTTAGAAGTAAATATACAACAGTAAGATTTTTCTCAATAAAATAATAAGAACGTGCTTGTGTATTTTGTGTGTGTGTGTGCCATTTTCTCTCCTGTAAAGTATCCTGCAAGCATCTCACATTGACAATTTTGTGATGTTCCATTGTCCATCGGTTCATCGAACACACCAGTCATCACTCATGATGAAATCATAAAAATACATTTACATGTCGCTCATTGGTCCATTGAACAATCATTCATGACAAACTCTTGCATGGTTACTGCTATTTGTGGAGGGAGGAGGTTGTGTGCTAACATGAGACAACAGACAACACCTAGACCGGCTCATACAGGAGGCTTGCATTCTTGTTATACTTAACTTTACTTTACTTTAATACACGATGTTGTAGGTCTAAGCCTGTTCATCGATCCAGGATTCTTCCATGGTTACTGCTATTTGTGGAGGAAGGAGGTTGTGTGCTAACATGAGACAACAGACAAAACCTAGACCGGCTCATACAGAAGGCTTGGATTCTTTGACCAGTGACTATCAAGTCGATTCTTAAATGAGTTGACCGACCTAGCTGCCACAATGTTATATTTGATGAATAAACTGATAAATATTAAACCATGTATCGGTACATCAAACATTACCCTTGGAAGTTTTCATAATCTCGACTTAATTACTTTTCTTCCTTTTCTTTTTCAGACCATAGACACTCTCCTGAGATGTGGCATCTGCTATGAGTTCTTTGACATAGCTATGATCCTTCCAAAGTGCTCTCATAATTGTAAGTATTCATCTTTGTAGAGATGTCTGATTTATTTATAGTTCTTTACTTTTTATAGTCTTGTGAAAGATTGAAGATTAATCATCTATTGATGGTTATGACTGTCAAAGGTAATTCTTGCTTATTTATGATAGATGTATCTCTATTGTGCTTTACAATTTCCATTCAAATTTGTGTAATTTGAAAAGTAAACTGAATGAATGCAAATTTTGGCAACAGTACATTCTTTTATTCAATACAAAGTTATAGGTTCATTATTGTAATCTTTCAATCAGATTGTTCCATATGCATCCGCCGCCACATGAACTACAAAAACCAGTGTCCTACTTGCAATACACCTGCGGAAGTATCACAGCTATGTAATAACAGAGCTCTGGATGAGCTTGTCTCCAATTTCAAGGCTGTCAGGTAGGAAGAAAAAAAGGATAACTAGGCTAAAGCCAGGGTAATAATAAATGCGCCTCGGATAGATAGACGGTGCTATAGAAATGCCTATTATTATTATTATTATTATAACAGCAAGACTTCACCCTGATTATTTTCTTGATTGCATTTTGGTGGTCTGCATGTATTAGCCCCGTTTAAGATATTTAAATATGCGAGTTTGTACTTGTTTTTGTTTTTGTTTAGCCATGCATAACTAAATAACACAGAAGAATAGTGAACTCAATAGACTAGTGTATCATGAAAGTAAAGTAGAAGTTCAACTATTCAAGGTCATGCAGTCATAATCAAACAGTATAGTTCTGTTATGGAATACTATCGAATTTCTGACTTTAATATGCTTTAGCGAGTAATCATTTGCAGCTTTGCCTTCTATTTGTACTGTATGTTTACATTTATAATGAGGAAAAATGTCCATTTCCACTTTTGCAGACCTCTAATTCTCAAACTTTGCAAAGAGGAGGCCAAGAAGTCTGACAAGGTTATTTTACAAAGTCCTTCAAGTGAACCAGCTGGAGGAAAGAAGAAAACTACCAAGGAGACCATACTGAGTCCCCCTAGAGAACAGTATGGAGGAAAGAAAACCAAGAAGACCAGCCCTTTCTTCAAGGAAACGAACCATGATAGTGATGGAGACTTTACAGTGGAATCCAAGGGATTGGCAAGTGCAGAAACACCCAGGAGCAAAGCACAGGTGATTTGTTGTTGTTGTTATTGTGACTTGTTGTTAATGTTGCTAACTGCGTAAGTATAAACATCAGTGATAAACCACATGTCAAATATATACCCGTGGAAGAAACATTTATTAAATTCTGCAAGTTTCCATGAGAAAGACACAGCTCAGATGTTTCACTGTGAAGATGATTAAACGTCATTTCAGGAAAATTGAAACATGCTTGTGCCCTTTGCCAACAACTTAACCCCTTCATCCCATAAAGATGATGTATTATATATTCTATGTATGTTGAATCAGCTGAATGGTTGAGTAATATCCAGCAGAATTACAGAGTAATAATAATTTTGGTCAGTGGAAGGAAATTTGGAATGTATAATGTTTAAGCGAGAAGTTTTTGAATGTTTAGCTTTTATTTTTCATCCACAGAGGCGATCAAACTACCAGAACACCAGAGACAAAATTGCCTCCCATGCATCAGAGCTTGCATCATCATCTGCAGCATCTCCAACGAGAACCGCTTCATCAAGTGAAGAAGATCCGTTGATGGAGCCTGATGCATCCAAAGGAGCCTTGTCCTCGTCTCTCAACAAATCCAACGAAGAGAACATTGATCCCACGTACCAGATACCAGCTGATGGTGATCACAGTGACGAAGACGTTTTTGCCCCCGTAGTAACACCATCCAAGCCTTCCACAAGTCGCGGACAAGCTGATGGAGGACTGCCCGGCGAGAAGAACCTTACACCCCTCACTCGAAGCGAAAAAGGTATGATACCATGAATTTGAGAAAATACATGTATCATTTACCGGTACATTGTTATTTCTGCATGCCTAATTTGTAATTTATTTGTTAATCATTTTGAAGGAGAAAGGTAATAGATTTTGACCTGACCTGTACAAATATGCTTCAGTGATGCACAGTAAGATTACTGATTAAAGTATTGGTTCATGTTGAGATGACAATGATTTGAAAGCCCAAATATGTTGTATAAAGTTAGAGATAAACATAAAAAAGAAATGAGAACTGTAATCCCTGTTTTTAATGCATATATTATCACAATGAATAGTCGATGATAAGAAACTTTGATCAAATTTCATACTTTGTAACTGAACAAAGATGATTTCTCCAAAGGTCAAATCTTCCTTTAGTTCTTGATTCCTGAGTTGTTTTGTTTATAAATCTCTTGAAACTTTGTTTGAATTTTCTGCATTTATTTTTTAGGGGGGAAAAAAATCTGTCTTGGCACCAGCGTTAGACATTCTGTATTTCTTTACCAGGGCTCAACATTTACAGGCACCTGGCCCGAGTCACAAGGGTGCCTGAAATTTAGTCAAAACACCCAAAATGTCAAGATTTTAACATAAGCCTAGGCATACAGATTCTGGAAAGTTCAGTTTGGACCCCCTTCACATAGATATTATGTGGAGCCATGCCTTTGCAATCACTTGTTTTTCTTCTTTTCTTCACATTGAATTCAACCAGTTGATTGCCCTGTATGTGGAGTTCCTATTTCAACCAAGCACATCAATGTTCACCTTGACTCATGTCTTACTAAGATTGAAGAGAAAGAAGCCAAAAGAAGGTAAGAAATAAAGCTCATATTAGTCTGCCAATTTTATATTTCATAGACTAGAATCCTATACCTAACTCTGACTACACCCCAATATGAACCCAATCTACATCTAAGGAAGTAAAAAACATGTTTAAAAAAACAAGTGCTTGTAGGTTCTTGATCACAGGGACCGATTACTTTTAGTCCCATCTGAGGGACTTGGCAACGAGTATAAATGCCATACCAAAAGTCTTTGAAGCTTTTGACTTTCATTCAAAATGTGGACCTCTGTCCTGGTTAACAATACCACTGAGCAACCTCTTTACCTCTCCATATTATGGTGTGATATGTTTGTTTGGGTTCAGCCCTAGCATAGAGCTAGTTGTATCAAATTTCTAACTATCTCAATCTTTTTTTTAGTGAATCCCTTGTGTATCGTATATTTTGAACATCTGTTTTGAATGATACGCTCATTTTTTTTCTTCACATAGAGAAACTAACCTATTTACAACTTGTATTCCCTAGTATTTCTTATTAAATCATGCACGATGTTCTTTTATGAAATCTCTTGGATTTAACTTCTGTGAGCAGAATTCCAAAACGGAAGCCTCTCCCTAAGATCGTCTCTAGTTTGCTGTCGGATAAGGAGATGAGGAAGAAGCTCAGAGAACATGGACTGAGTCCTCAGGGAAACAGACAGGTAAGAGACATTTGGTTGCTATGGAAATAAAGTAATGACCCAGAGATTGATCAGATATCGTTTTATTGGGCCTTATTTCATCAAAGATATAGGGATAGGCAGGGCTCCAAACTAAGTTTTTTGGAATGGGGTCCGGATTTAAAATGTTTGTAGTCTGTTTGCACAAGCCCTATCTACAAAATTTGAAATGTTAGGTGTTTGGACCGAGATTTTGGGTACCCAAGAGTCCTAGGTGTCTGTTAGTGTCGAGCCCAGGGTTAGGGCTTGGGTTGGAATTGGGGTTAAGGTTAGGTACACTGTGGGGTATAGGGTTAAAATAGAGCAATTCCTGCTAGGAGTATGGAACATGTGTCAGATAAGCGATCAGAGGGGCCATCTTGTCTCTTAACCCATTAATTTTATATTGACCTTTGTTGTGCTTGGTCACGAAAAGCTACTACAGTTAAAACAAGTGTATAAAGACTGCTCAAGGAAAAAGGAAATGTCTTTGTAAACAGGGGTCTTTAAAGTACTTGTTACTTTTAGTACAAATTTCAATGAACTATACTGTTCAGTGGAAAGCAGTGGTCTGTAGACAGGTGGTCTTTCTATAGGGATGGCCTTTCTGCACAGGCTGTCACTAAAACTGTTTGATAGTATTTTTATTTTTTGTTTATTTTATGTTTTGGTTAATGTTGATATTTGTCAATTCTTTCCAACCAACAGATTCTGAATAAGCGTTTACTTGAGTTCACCCTGGTGTACAATGCGCAGTGTGATTCTATTAATCCAATGTCGGTAGAATCCATTGTGAAAGATTTCAACAAGACTGATAAACTCAAGGGTCAACCTAATCCTGTCCATGTTGAACAGGTAAGCAATTCTATAAATATATTTTTATTGTCGGTACAATAACCTCCCGTAGTTAAGTTGAATTTGCCTAAATTGAATCTTAAGAAAAGTTCAGACTTTCTCTATGTATTTCCTGTAGAAAAATATGTGTCTATGGCGAATTTTCAGGAAGATTTTGCTTCAGTTTATATTGATGATAATGCTCATTTAGGGACAATTATTTAGTCTGAACATATTGATATATTAAATGGAAAAAGAACAGAGAGAATCAGACTTCTGCGTAGCTGGACTTACAGGTAAGTTGAAATACGCATAAGTCACAAATTTCATGGTCCCAACAGGTTTGACTTGTATGAGGTTGACTGTACTTGTATCCTGATATATGTAGGACTATTGTTTCAGTTTTAATTAAACTTTACTGGTGTGTTGCATTTAACATCTGAATAACTATGAATGAGATTGTTTGAGCTATATTAAGCATTACAATCAATTATGATCCGAACATTATTGAAATACAATTTTTGAAATAAAAATTTCTACTTTTTATTTCTTCCTTTTAGAGATTAAAAGTAAAGAGATCACTCCCAGAAGATGAGATAGCAAAAGCACAAGAAGAATATTGTAAGTATATAAGGATGATCGAAAGAAATCAAAGAAACAATGTTTTGGGGGATACCGGTAGGTGTTACAAGTTGATAAATGTGAATAATAATTGTACTTCTTGGAGTATATCTTTTATTCTAGGGCTCTATCATAGTAAAGCAAAGACATGTTTTCTTGTTTATGATTTTGAAGTGACCAATTTTTATGCCAAAATTAAGAATATGTTAAAAGACTTAAAAGTAAAACCTTAAATGTACCTGTTGATTTTTTTAATTGGTCATATATTTTTTTTTAATAGATACATATTGGGAACTTAACTGTTAACTTCCAAGCAAAATATTCTTACTGATTGATTGTTAAAAGTCACTAATTTTATAAAATCATATTTATTGTGATCCAGCAAATGGGATATTTGAAAGGTATGGGGAAAAAAAGAATTCTTTACCTGAAAATATTTCCACTTTTCTCTTCCTGCAGTGAAATCTCATGGTTCACAATTCAGTGATCTCATAAAGAACATGAGAGAACGTGCTTGTAACTCCAAGAAGGCAGGGAAAGTAGAAGAGGTCGATAAAGAACACTCAGGTCCCACTCTTCCTTCAGTATTAAACAACATACCTCCAGTGCCAAAGGATGATGCGATGCCAGGATCAGTTACGCTCATCAATGGAGACGAAACTTCTGGAAAGGATACTGTGTGTGATGGTGTAACTAGAAGTCCTCCAGACCCAAAGAAACAATTGAGTGCTGTCACAGAAGATGTAAAGTCAGTGCAGAATCATGGAGGACCAAGTGCTCAACCTGAAAACGCAAATAGCTGTGATGCTCTCCCACTGGACAATGACATGCCAACAGAAGTTTACGATGTTGCTAGGAAACAAGATGGTGGCAAAGGTAGCCGTCTCAAATTGAAGAAAAGCAAGTACTTTGAAGACTCCACCAAAGGCACCGGTAGTGCGGACAGTCGGGTCTTGTCTCAGGAGGATGAAGCTTCTGTTAAGAAAATATTAGATGAGGGTAGGGAGGAGTGTCAAATGGAGGAGGGTATTGTCATGGCAACCAAAATGGCAGAGAACTCTGAGGAATTGATGGATATGATGGAGGATGAGGTCAGCCCAGTCTTTGGTCAGTGCTCGATCGGAAGCAGTAGCAGCAGCAGCAGAAAAGCTCAGTCTGGTTCATCTACCAAGAAGGCAGATGGCGATGGTAAGACTACTTTTCATATTTGATTTTGCAATTGCTGCAAGGTAATGACTTATCCTCTTTACAGAGCTTCGGCAATATGAAGTGTGCTCTTTTGTTTTTTGTTTTTTCAAATTTGGCACAAGTCGTTCATTTTACTTTCTCAAGGCCTTCTTTCAAAACAGCACTTCTGCATATTATAACCTGTTTGCATCTTTAGCATCAATTGCACTGTTTTTGATCAAAAATTAGTAAATATATTAGAGATCAGTACATATTTCTAGTATTCTCTTTTAAAAGCAAACTCATTATTATAAATTTTCTCCTTTGAGTTTGAATCTGATACTTTGACTTTGATGTTCAGGGTGCATCTGTTAATATCAATTTCCTCTGTATTGTCCATATTAGGTATTGACACAACAACGTTAGAGGACCAGGAGAAAGTAGTTCCACCCAGTTCTGTACCGCCTCTTCCAAACACCTTACTCCTCAATGATTTTGATACCATCTCAGAAGGGAGCAGCCTGGTCACTTTAGAGGTAAATTCATTCTTTCCTTTATCTCGTCGGAATTATAAATGTTTTCATCGGGGCTAGAGCCGCACATCATCAGGCTTGTTCTTTTTTTTTTTTTACTACCATAAGAGTTTATATTATATCTCGTATCCGGACCTGGACATCCATCCCCCGGATAACCACCCCCAGTCAACTAACCCCTAGGACAACCATCCTCTAGGACGACTAGGTACCCCCTCCCTCCCCCCCCCCCCCAGACAACTACCGCTAGGACAACTACCCCCTGGGACAACTACCCCCCCCCCCCCCCCCCCCCCCCCGACGACTCCCCCCTAGGATAGTTGTCTCGGAGGTAGTTGTTCTAGAACGTGGTTAACGTAGGAGTGGGTTGTCTGGGGTGTAGTGTGTAGTTGTCCGGGGGGTAGTTGTCCGGAGGGTAGTTTTTATTTTTAGGGCTTACTATCACGCCTGGTATGTGAGCTTCCCTCTTTGGAAGCCTGATAAATATGTCAATGAAAACAATAAGACAATGATTCCATGCAAAAAAGTGATAAGATTTCTAATCACTGTTGCTCAAAGATTTTCATTAAATCCTCATTTCATCACCCTTGTCTTGTTTGATATTTACCTGCAGTCATTTAGTGAAACTGGAAGTCATGGTGATGTGCCATCACCTGGGGATGTTAACTGTATACCAGAGAGGTAAGAATCCCCCCCCCCCTTAAAAAAATACAATGTTAGTAATAATAATGATAAAAATAAATAAATGAAAAATATATATATTGTGATAATGATAAAGAAAGAAATAAGTAAAAATACAATTAAAAAATGTAGAAATTGTTTGTGAAATTAATAATATTCAAACATGCTCCCAACATTTGCCTGTCCAGACAACCCTGAAACACTACATTCATAAATCGGGAAATTTCGGGTCTTTTAATGCATGCGTTCAGACATGCCTATGTAAAATTCTTAACCATAAGTGAACATCGATTGTGGCAAAGTTGCTGTATAAAATGTAATACTCTGAAGCAAATTTGAGCTCTTTTAGTTTCTTTTGATAGATCGACTCGTCAGTTCTGAATTTGATCTTTTTTCAGCCCCGAAGCAGAAAAAGGCAAGAGGAGCAAGCGTATAGGTCGCAGGAAGCGCAAACCAGAGGTCAACCCAGAGGATGATGGGATAGAAGCGGGGAAGGAGACAAGGTTGACCAGGTCACGCAAGAGGGGAAAAACATCAGCTGACTAATTTCTTTTTTTCTAATCTGCTTGTGATATCACATGTCAGCTTATCATTTTCACCTAGTGCATGAGTTATGGTTTGTTTGTTTGTGTTTAAAAAGAAAGCATGTGTATGCTTGTAAGTAGTTAAAGCAAACTTGGGGACGAACTGACCAAAGGCTTTAAGTCCTCTCCGTACCAAATGGGCACTAGCGCATAAAACAAGGAATCTCCTGGTTACAATGCCTCATGCCATTCCTGGTGGACCGATCCATCATTCAAAGACAGACTCATGATTCAAGGATTAAAGACGAAGTTCCTTCACAAGAAAAGGAATGTTATTTATGCCAATACTAGTATTTTTCACTTGTTGATGATTCATCACGATTCATCACGATTCATCATGCATTGTATGTGAACTTGGGGTGAATTTATGTAAACGTTTGAGATTATATAGAAATAATTATTTCATTTTCTTTTCTTTTCTTCAAACTTTTGTTTTACAATGCATGTACACTGTATATTCTAAATCATTACCTATGATAATACTCACCTATGACAATCCACCAAATTATGTTTGTTCTTTCTAAGTTTTAAGTCTTTATGTCACATCTCATTTCATGTTTATTAAGTGCGATTGCTTTTCTATTACATTATTATCGTACCAAGAGGCATTATAATTACATCATTATTTGGTGCTTTACCATTTAAAAAATGATTGAAAGTGAAGTTCAATGCTGTAGAGTGTAGTGTCTTATGTAATAAGTCTCTGACACAACAAAACTAATGGTTCACAGTAAACTTTATATTTCATTACTAAGTACTTACTACTTTTTAAGGATCTTTCTTGAGATCTAAATGTAGGTTTAAAGGGAAATTCAACCTTTATATAGCAAACAACTCAAAAAGAAGGCAGAAAAATTAAAGAAGTAGACCGGTGAAAATTTGAACGATATCTGACAAAAATAAGAAAGTCATGAATTTTTGCAAGTTGTAATCACTATATGTATGGGCTCTTCAAATTGGCTGAATCAGTATTGTCTCTGTGAGGTAGTGGCTGACAACTAAAATGTCATCTTTCAATATGTGTGACATGGGATGCTCTTTTCTATCTAGAGGATCTGTAATAATTATACTCACAATAATTTATGTTTTGTAGTGCCCCAAGAATGAAAGCACTTGGGATAAAAACAGAAATCAGTGATATTTTGTACACACTAAACGGGAAACCAGTTGTGATCTCACCATTCAAACATTCAAAACTTTCTCATTATTTGTCAGTTTTATTTCAAATTTTCGTAATTCTTTGTATCTGATTTTAAATGACACATTGTTGTAATGTAGCAGTCACTGTATATACCATGAACACATTTGAAGGGTAAAATGTAGAGTAAATATGCAAATTGACAACTTCATGTATTGCACGTCAGCCCATGTGACACAAAGCTATACTTAGGACTACTATGATTACTACTATGATTGTGTATCTTAAAATGAAAGGTACAATGAACATGAATTCTTCAAGTATTCTGCTTTGATTTACACAATAGCTGTGTAAACACATTTAAAGTAATTACACAAGTGTTCATTTGCACAAACATTCAACTTATTTTTGATGTCTTATATTTTGGTGAGGCAGCATGCAATGTAAATGAGTGCACATGTACCTTGAAAAACATTTCAAATGTAATATTTTTGGCCGCAACAAGTAAGTTCTGACTGTGGACCAGGATTTCATGTTGTAAAATGTAAAGTATATTTCTTCAAATTTTTTTTAAACGATACTGTAATGTTTCCAACAATTTTTTTTTTTTAAGTGTAAGAAAGTAAATGCACTTGTAAAGACGGTAAAGACATACATGTACAAGCAAGGAATTTTCATCATAAAATAGTTTAATATCACTTTGTCTGTATAGTTATTAAAGTGTACATTAATATTTTTGCTGACAAATAGTTCATGCTTTGATACAGATGAAGCTTTACAGAAACCTTGAAAAAGACTTCAAAATAAAATATTAACATTCTAGGCTCTACTACACATTAAACTAAAGTACATGTAATCGATGTAGTGATTACCTAGTTAGCAACTGGTCTTTAGCAATAATGTTTTTATAATGAACATATAAGCTGTTCTGTATCATGAACAAATCTTTCATTTATGTTATATTCACAATAAAAGTATCACTTAAACAAAAATACCCTGGAATTTTGTAATGTCTTCATTTGCTTCTCATGAAAACCATTACATGTGCAAACCCCATCAGAGCCAAAATTGAACTTTTAACAGAGAAATGTATGGGCACTTCAAATTGGCATGTTACTGTGATGAAGTGCTGTACCACTTTCCCATATATTTCAACTCGCAAAATGATAAAAATGTCAATACATGTATATCAAAATGTATGATTTAGAAAAGGGGGTCTTTTCTTTTTAAAGGACCTGTAAAAATGTGCTATCCATAACATAGTTTGATTAGTGCCCCAAGGGAGAAGGCACTCGGGTGAAAAGGAGAAATTAGTGATATTTTTGTACATGACAAAAGGCAGAGTTGTCCCTCGACTATGTTGCAATCCACTGACCAATTGCCAATTTGAGATTTGCATGGATTTAGTGACCTTATATTTCTCACATTCAAAACTCCCTTATAATTGGCCTGATTTACTTCAAACTTTGGCCCATCTGTTTCTCTTATATTTCCTTTTCAATGAAGTTATTACAAGGGTTGGATAGCCCTTTAAATTCTGAGGTTGGCTTTGCAATGCAAGTATCAATGGATCAATTCATAACACCTTCGGAGTATTATTTATAGTCAAACTATTTACTGATCAAAACAACACTTTTGGACAGCCATCATGAGGACTGTAGTTCAAACAGCATGCGGATAACTTATGCACAGATATATTACAGCATTATAAACTGAATGTGAGCTGGAAGGAAATTAAATCTTGAGGTCTCTATCATACATGTATGTGCACATTATTTATTTATTGTTTACTATTCAAAAAGACATCAAGCAGTATTTCTTTGAAATCTTGGTAACGCAGAAGTTCCAGCAGAACACTGTTGATTCCCACAATCTCACAAGTTGATAATAAAGTGTTACAAAATCCACTTTCATGTAATTCTGGAAGAAAGGATGTGCAATACAGCAACAATTTCTGTGAATGTAGTATGATGATCCTGATTATGTGTGGCAAATTCAGACTAATTATTTATCATGAGGATGTACAGCACATAACATAAATAGCTAAGACAAGACTACATTAACTCCAAAAACAACAGGGATTGCTTGTCAATTCTTCAAGAATAAGATACTTATACTCTAGTGTCTTCAAGTAAATACGTTCTAAGGGAACAACAGCTTGTTTATCACAACCAAACCCCCTTTGATAGAAACTATTGAATGGTATTAAAGGAAAAGGAAATATTTTCAATTTTATTCCCACAAGATTACTTAGAACACTTTCAATCATGATGTAGCTCTCAATTATTTTTAGAGTTTCACAACAGAGTTCTACTTCACTGCTTCACAGTAATCCCTAATGAAGAGGAATATGCCGTTCATCTCTATTATATACACATCCTTCACACTTGTGGATTGAGCCATGTTTCCATGGATGTCTGCATGTGGTTGCAAGTCTGCTTTCATTACTCCTTCACTTCCATTTGGTGATCCCCGAGTTCAAAGTGTGCTCAAAGAAGTCCATCCATATTCACAGTGAGTGTCTACGGAGCTGCACTTAATATGCAGACACAGATGCTTAAACAGGATTCCATATCAAAAGCCTTAAGCTTCATCAGTCTGACTGTACAGCACTTCTCTAGATAGTCTCACATTCCAGACCTTCTGTCACATGTTAAAACTGACAAGGGTTTTTGACTGAACACTTGGCAGAACATGTCTTCTACAATAATGTAAGACCACGAATGGCGAGTGCTTCATCTTGGATCCCCATCTTTTAAGTGGACTCTTTAATAATCCACATACATGAATAGTCAGTTGGTTAATTTGTCCAGCTTCCTCTCAGAATAAATGAACTCCTTGATACTCTACACTCTTTGAGGGATCTGTAGGATAGTGCCTCTGACAAAGGGTCATCAGTCTCTTCAATGCCTGATTTTATATGAAACAAAACAAGGAGGAAAAGGTTAAATTATTCATCATCAAAATCTATTCATTAACTTAATATAGTCACTATTAGAAGCTGATAACAAAATGCTGGTTCTAATTGCCAGATTAAAGACTATTTAATAGTTGTATTCCTTTGTAATTTATTAGACAGCTTTCTACAATTAGAAAATATAAATCTTCCTCAATATTTTTCCTCATACAGAAGCCTGTATCATAGACAAACTAGATACAAATTAAGAATCACCCTTTTAAATGTCAAATGAGGAAAGTTTTCAAGATGAATTCAATGTATTACTGTATCTAGGAACAAACAAAATGCATACACACCTGGATATACTTTCGCTGTGTCTCGTCATTCAGTACGTCTATTGGAACGTGATAATTAAGGAATGAAACACAAACATGATGTCACAACAAGTATAATAGTAAAAGTTAAATCGTCAATATCATCCATTTAAAACGAATATCTTTCTATCTTCACTTTCATGTTCAAATGGATTTAAAGGTCTTCAATGGATTCAGACTTTTTTTATACACTATATTTATATGTCAATATCTACAAAGCAATACGTATTGTGAATAAATTTATAGTTTATGGATTTGTAACTTTTAGAGACCTGCACTTGAAGAACAAGAAACTAACAAATCAGGGGAGTGTTTCACAAAGACTAAGATCGACTTTAAGATGGACTTAACTATGGTAGGCCATTCATGTCACAGGTTGCTCTCACCATAGGTCTCTCAATTACGATCTTTATATAATACTTTTTCCTTCAATAATGAACTATCAAAAATGTAAATTCTGTAGATTTGCGACCACGATTTGTACGTCTCTTGAGAAACCAATGCCAGGAATGGTTAGAGGAACTAGTGGCATGAACAGCCTGCCATAGTTCAAGTCCAACTTAAAGTTGATCTTAGTCTTTGTGTAACACTCCCCAGGACACTACCTTCAGGTATAATATCATAAGAAAAGGATACGAGCAACATTCTTGGAGAAGATCTTCTCTCGTCCCGTACGGACGTGAATACCAACCATAGTAACACCAATGGGCCAGGGAGCATTCCCAATGGCCATCTGAAGATAGGAATCATTGGCCTGTATGGAAACAAAAGTGAGAAAATAAATATAAGCATGGTCCCAGTTTCAAACTTTGGCTGTTATTGTAATGTCGACATTTTTTCATTTTCTTATTTCCACCTGTATGAAACAAACTTAAGGAATAATGCATGCTGGATTCCAGAGCCTGAATGGATATGCTATTCTTATCAGTTTCTTGATTGAGCTTTGTACAGCTTTGAAATCTGTATGATCAGTGAATACCTAAACAAAAGTACTATACCTAGTTACATACTATTCCGTTTTGTAATTGTAAACATTTTGGAGGTGCCAAATCGTGGGGAAAGAAACCCCTCCTTCCTCAAATACAAGAAGAAGGAGAAAAAGAAGAAGAAGGAGAAAAAGAAGAAGAAGAAGGAGAAAAAGAAGAAGAAAAAGATGAAGGAGGATGAAAACAAATACATGTATTATTCCTAATTTCCTAATTCATGGTAGAGAAGTGAGAACAAACACGGCAGGTACGCGAGAGGGGTGTCAGTTCAGTTCATTACAATAAGTCACAGTTTCCCCTGCATATTAATCTGTCTATAAAGTACACTGCAACTGAACAATCCTAAACACAACAGATGTACGTAAATCAACATTTTTTATGAACATCTGTAGATACTGATCATTGCAGTTACAAATGACTGTTCAGTGAAATAAATTGGAGCTAAGATTCTGTTGCATGTTGTATTATATCTTTAACAATATTTACGGTTGACTTACTTTCACATATTCTCTCTCCAACAAGAACTTGATGATCGTTATTAGACTGTCCAAAATATCTGGAGAAAGGGACTAAATTAATAAACAAAATTAAAAAGACAGTAAAGAATGTAACATTAAAAATAAAAAATACTTCAAAGAATGAAATTTGAAGAAGGACAGAGTGAGAAACATGAGTTACTGGTAAGACTTCGAATTAAAATTCCCTTTACAAACTTAACCATATTATCCATAATTATTCAGGTTTCATACTAACTTTATTTCATTAAAACACAATACATGTTTCTTTGGATACCGGTAATACAATTTGATGTTATACTACACTGTGCCATGGATGTTGGGTTTGAACATGTACTTCTCTGTTTATGTTGTAATGACGATCACTTTGAATAAAGTGGATACATACATTAAACTAGATGGAATTTTGACTGCGCGCAGTCGAAAATGATGCCTCCGCCATAGAGCAATTGAAACAAGTTTGGAGTTTAAATCTCCAGTGGTTCTTGAGATATCATGATAACAATCTCAATGTATGGAATTTCATAAGTTGACCTCTGTGACCCTTGACCTTTGACCTACGTGCTCCAAAATCTAATCAGATTGTCTTCCTATGGTGATACACACTATCATTAAGTTTGAAGTTCAAATCTCCAGTGGTTCTTGAGATATTATGATATGGTGATACATACTATCATTAAGTTTGAAGTGAAAATTCTCCAGTGGTTCTTGAGATATCGCGATAACGATCTCAATGTATGGAACTTCATAAGTTGACCTCTGTGACCCTTGACCTTTGACCTACGTGCTCCAAAATCTAATCAGATTGTCTTCCTATGGTGATACACACTATCATTAAGTTTGAAGTTTAAATCTCCAGTGGTTCTTGAGATATTATGATAACAATCTCAATGTATGGAATTTCATAAGTTGACCTCTGTGACCCTTGACCTTTGACCTACGTGCTCCAAAATCTAATCAGTTCGTCTTCCTATGGTGATACATACTATCCTTAAGTTTGAAGTTTTTACATCTCCAGTGGTTCTTGAGATGTCATGATAACAATCTCAATGTATGGAATTTCATAAGTTGACCTCTATGACCCTTGACCTTTGACCTACGTGCTCCAAAATGTAATCAGATTGTTTTCCTATAGTGATACACACTATCACTAAGTTTGAAGTTTAAATCTCCAGTGGTTCTTGAGATATCATGATAACAATCTCAATGTATGGAATTTCATAAGTTGACCTCTGTGACCCTTGACCTTTGACATACGTGCTCCAAAATCTACTCAGATCGTCTTCCTATGGTGATACATACTATCCTTAAGTTTGAAGTTTAAATCTCAAATGGTTCTTGAGATATCGCGCTAACAAACTCAATACAAGGAATTTCATAAGTTGACCTCTGTGACCTGTGACCTTTGACCTACGTACTCCAAAATCTAATCAGATCGTCTTCCTATGGTGATAAATACTATTCCCGAGTCTTAAGTTTAAATCTTGTGATAACGGTCAAACGGGACGGACGTACAGACGGACAACCCGAAAACATGATGCCTCCGGCACTACCTTCGGTGGCGGAGGCATAACAACTGAAATATTCATACCCCTTGCAAATTTGATGTTATTTGTGTTTTTCATAACTAAAGAATGAAAGGTGGACTGGTAATTGTAGGGCCTTTGTTAACTATTTTCAGAAGTAAGCTTCTATACGTCACATTCTCAAGATAAGAAATTTACGACAAATCAATTTTACACATATTAAAAAAATTACTAAACTTGGTAAGGGTATGAATAATATATGAAGACGCATGTACCTGTATAATTTATAACAACACTGTAACAATATTAAACACAATCCAGCCATCTTCATCATTTGATATCTTACAAACCATACAAGTTTCAAAAGGAGCATTTCATGTATATACAATCTCAACAGTGGAGTCAGTCGACAATGTAACGTTAAATGGCAGATACATGAAAATAAGATCTCTTACCTTTTTCTTCAATTTAGAGAAAAGTGGTTTGAGGTATCCTTCTGTTTGACTGTAGGTTGCACTTTGTAATCTTCCTTTCATGCTTCTCTTGAGATCTTCTGGTCTACGATTCAGATCCTGAGCCCAGCCTTTCAGCAAAAACTGGATAATCATAGGGCAGAAAATTTCATGCGATCAAACAATGCATGCTAAGATGTTCATATCAACAACAACAAAAATTAACTGAAATGTTTTGTATTGACCTTGGCAGCCAAGTTGACTTTATTAATAATTAAATCACATCAGCATTACTGATATATCCATAGTTTGTATGGACAATTATAATTCTTAACAGGACGATATTAATAACTTTTTAACAAAACTACTGGTAGTCATACTTTTACCATGTTACACTGTATAATTATGTATAGGGTTTTTCATCCAGTTCATACATTTGCACATACAACTTTTGCAACTGATGTAAGTTGTGAATGAATACAATGTCTCAATACATATTGACATTTGGAAATTTGTTTTACACCCTACAGTGTATATTCATTTTGCATAACCATATTTTCCCAAATGACGAATGAGCCTAAAGTGTGGGTGAATAATTGAGCCTATCGGAATGACAGGATCCAATATTTATAGGGTGGAGTGGACATTTATGGCAAGACATTGATCTACATTTGCCACTCTCCACCCAGTTGTTAAATGGGTACCCGGTAGGATGCGAAAGTTAATGTGTCTGGATTAGCAAGTGGCGCTTGTAAAATGGCGACTGGCTGGAATGCTCCCCAGGGAGTGGAAAATGTGCATACATTGTGTTGCGGGTAAGCTTGAATCCGATGACCAGGGTAATAATATATGCTGCGCCTAGAAACAAAGTATTAGGCGCATTATAAATGTGAGCTATTATTATTATTATTATTATTGATCAATAAGCATACCTTGATGTAGACGAGGACAACTTTATTATCCACCACCTCGTCACCCTTGCCGATACCTTTAGCCATCTCTACGATGGAGTCTATCGTGTTTCCATCGTCTTCATACTTCATGTCATAAGCACTGGTCGGGACGTCCTCTCCCTGAGCCTTGACCAGTTCATCCAAGTACTGCTGGTCAACTTTGTCCATAGCTTCCTTGAAGTCATTCCGAAGACCCTGAAGAGAATTGAAGAAATTTGAAATATCAGACAGTTAGTTTCTTTTCTGTACAGATTGTATGCTTCATGCCTACTGGTGCTCACGTTTATCATCTTCAGCTGTGTTTGCTTTATATTGTGCACTTTGATCAGATTTTTTAAATAGCAGAGCATTGTAGATTAACCATTATTATTATTATCATTATTTCTGACAGTGCAACAATTTAAATACATCTGTACATCACTGATACATGCATCATCTGGACATCACATACATGTAGTAAGTGCATGAGACATACTTCAATGTGATGGCAGAAAATGTGCATTGAAAGATCTCTGTAAGAAGACATTGAACAGCAAGAGGGAGAGAGGTTGGAGAGGGGGAGCTAAAACAAAGGGGGCTGAGACAGAATGTGATAGAGTGGAGAGATAAATAGAGAAAAAAAAATGGGATGATTGATGAAGAGAAAAGAGAGAGAGAGAGAGAGAGAGAAGGCCTTGAAATATTACAAATTAGAAGGTATTCAAAGAATAAGAAGACAATGCTGGATTTGAAAACAACATGCACAACCCAAATAAGCTCCATCTAAATGCAATTGCCCTATCTTACCTTGTTGATTTCTGGGGCAAGCATCTCTATTTTCCTCTGTCTGAAGAAAGCTTCTGTGTCTGTCTCTCCAAACAACCTTATAGGCTCTGACCTTTCTCGCAATCGTCTTATCACCTACAAACATAGATTGGGTGAAACATTAATCATTCCTAATACATGGAGTCATCAACACTTAATGCACAAAAGTTAATCATTTATCGAATAATGCCTAGGCTACCTGTATTTCTTCCACCCTTCTTAATTCCTTGACTTCTCTCCTTATCCTTACACAGCAGTGAGATAAATGTGCTACTATATGCTGCTTTATTCTAGGTTTTTTTTACAAAGAAAAAGGTGTTAAAATCTGTACCTTTTTATTGGCAACAGGATAAAAACTGTAAAATCATCGTTTTCCACACAATCTTTCATTATAAAGAAGTTACTAACATATCTTGTTTTTGATACATATTTATAGCTACAGCTTTTTATTTTGAAAAAGAGCACATTTAGGCCTTGATGAATGACTGCCCTAAATGAGATATCCGTTCCTTCCTTACCTCTTGTCTTGAGAGTGTTACAAGATTAGGATCATCTGAGAGGGAGTCACTGGGAAGCCTTTCTTTTCTAGCCTTCTTTTTGCTACTTTCTTCATCATCATCCGCAACCTAAGCATGAACAAGAATATGAGATACAATTAGAAACACTTCCACATCGTCTTTGCCACTGAGCAAATCAACTAGTAAATATGAACACAAAAGGGAAACAGTAAAAAAAAAACTAAATTGGATTGTGCACACCACTGAAAGCTATAATCAGGGTTATATAATAACCTTGTTTTCATACTCTGTGTCTACGTGTGCCTGGTAACTGTAAAACGTTTAAACCCTATCAGAAAATAACCCCCTGGAAAATTAACCCCTCCCCCGATCAAATCCATACTAGGCCAACACAATAAAGAGTCCTGCTTTTTTGAAAATGAGGAAGGAGGAGGCCCTTTTTTTCTTTTTCATACACTTTTTCCAAGACATCCGGCCAGGATGTTTTTCAAGATGGCAGCCATTTTTATTAAAAAAAATTTTGTTAAAAAAAACAAAACAAAAAACAGACGGCCTCAAAAAAGGAAGCGGGCAGGGACATTAAACATAGTTTTATTTTATATCGCCCTATAACATGACAATAATTTATGTTCACTTTTTATCACTCACTTTGTGTTTCTTCCAATATTCTTCCTCCTGCTTTGCTTTGAAGTCAGCTCTCTTGAATGTCTTTTTCCCACTCTCCTGGATAATAACAAAAAAGAACAATGCACAATAGATTTCATAGGGCACAATAGGTAACACAAGTCATATTCTGTTCGTTCTTCTGTTGCATTGGTAAACATGGGTAATGAAAATAAAATGAAGGATTCACTCTCAAGTTATACTGTTCAAAACTGAAAGTTCTTGAGTTTGTAAACATGTCCTACAAAAACCATTGTTACCAAATTGCAAAATATATTACTTACAGGTATTTTTTAACATTACAACTACAAGTGAAACCTGAATATCAAACATTAATGTCCAATACAATAGATTAAATTTTGCAGATCTATATGCTTGTAGGATGTTGTAAAATGCACAGTAAAATTTAAAGAACAATACAAACATCCTAATCCTTTGTGTACAAAACCCCCTTTTTCTTTCAAAAGCATGAAGCTGTTGCAATTTTTAGTATAATTTGTTTTCAGCAGCTAAATGTCATTTAATTCAGTGGTCGTGATAATGAGTAGATAAATGCAAATTGATTTGGTCTTCGTATTCTCGAGCTAAAAAATTACGTATAAAATATCAATAGACTAATAACACATTTTCAACTAAAAACGTCACGCAGGTGTCCGCCTGCTCACGACCCACCATCTTTATGCACTTGTATTGTACATCGGTTTGCTGTGAAACCTGTGAGAAATTGTATCCTAATATCAAGGTGTTTTCCGAAAAAAGATCCCCCCCCCCCCCAAAAAAAAAAAAAAAAAAAAAAAAAATTGACACAAAACAAGTACCGGTAAGAAAAACTTTTAAATCATGACCATTATTTGAACATTTGATGAATATTTACTTCATTTTTGGTATGTTTTTATTAGGGTATCTTCACGCCAAAGTTACGGGTCAAAGTCTGGATATGATTCTGAACCCCAGGGGGTCACTCTCATATAAAAGTGCTACCCACCTGTGTCCATCAACCTCTGAAATGGACCCAAATAAAAATGGCGTATCGCACCTTTTTTAAGAAAACATCAAAACGTGTGATCCTGAAGAAGTACCCTTTTTATGTTTTTTTTGTAATCAGCTGCTTGAAAAACAACTCCTTTAGAGCAAAAATATAGACGACGCCGAACCTGTGATAGGCTGTGAATATGGAAAGGTACCCTTTCTTTTGTGTGCGATCAGTGACACTGAGAGTGCTTGAAAAACACCCCTTTTAAAGGAAAACGTCAACGACGCCTTATAGCTGAAAAAGACACACTTTCAACGCTTTTTCTGGAAGCGGGTGCATAGCTAGTCATGTTGGGAGTGACCCATCTGGGTTCTGAACTAGCGCCGAACTAAATATGTAGCATGCCTTGTACTTTTGTAGAGACACATATACAATCATATTGCCCAACACAAAAGTAAATAGCTGGGAATATCCTCTCCAACAAAATGCACACTCTCGCACAGTAATCATGAAAACAAGACAAATATGAGTCAAAAGGAAATCTTTCATTCAGTTAATTTTCATTTTAAGTCTAAGTTCAAACTTTCACTTACCCCGCCGACAAGGTTTGTCTTTTCCAGTTGCTTTTTCTTCCTTGCAATTTCGGCTTTCAGAAAATCCATGATGCTGTTGTTCCTCGATGAGCAGCATATGACGTAGAAACTTGTATTTACACCGTGCATACGTTGAACGCGTACCGTCGCGCGACTCGACGATCGACTTGTCTTCCCAGAGAACATGCCGCCTGCCAGAATGGCAAAATCAGACATATGCTTTTACGTTCGTGCTATTTTCAAGTGCAATATCTTATGAAATGGACAAAGTAACGGTAAAATAAAATCTAAGCGACAGGATCAAAGTCATTTCCATGATTTTTGTTCTAACATCGAAGTTAAATTTTGGAAGATCAGTCCCATACACTTAGATCTGTGTATTGCAATTTTACAAGAGTCAACACTGCACTGCTGCAGCTGCACTGCCCGCGATTGCGAGGAACGATCCTCCCAACTTCATTATGGAAAAGGCGACACATGTTTCCCCACTGCAGCTCTTCCAGTCCAAGGAACCTGTGAAGATGTGTGCTCCCATGGTTAGGTATTCTAAGTAAGTATAGAGTCTACTGAAGGATATATTAAGAAATAAAGTTCATGAGTAATTGCAGGGTGATTGTTCAATTGTTGGCTTTTATTGCAAATTGAAAATGGACCCAAGTGTAGAAAGAGAATAAAGAAATTATTTGAACAATCGGAACTCCCATTTTTTGTTTGACATTCTTAAAATTGATAATCTTCTTACCTGTAGTCGGTTTTATATCCCCTCATTTTTTATTTATTCATATGTTCTTTATATTATAAACGTAACAAGACGGAAAGGTTCAGTCTGACGTCCGAGTCTGATCAATGGTCGTTCTGCTGAGACTATATGCCTGGCTCCACTGACGCCTCTGTGTGTATAGGGAAGATTGACAGTTTCACATCAAAGAATTCCCATACCAGATGTTTAGATGTAAATAGACATTATTAAATTTAAAGTGATAGTGTAAAATATACTTAGTCTACAAACATTTGTATCAAGTTCATCTTGGGTAAAGTCAAAAATACTAAAAATAGATTTTTTAAAAAAAGAAAGCATATTTAAAGAGAGGGTATCATGATTTTGAAATTCAGGAATTGATTGAAATTCTATACTTGACTCTTGATAATTTTGCTTCGCATCTTATGTAGATGTAGACGTAGTTTTTTTAAAGTTTTTTTTTTTTACTTTACTGTACTTTAATCCAGTGGTGCTGTATATATAATTACGCTTGTCCATTTATCATACTTGTACATGTAGATGTCTTCTTCAGTTATACATTATCCTTGTCATTTCGAAGAGTTGTGGAGATAACCTATTCAGGAAGACTATTCCACAAATCCACAACTCTGTTGCTAAAAAAAAAAGCTTCCTCATATCAAGCTGAGAGTAGGCCTACTGTTTGTCTAGTTTCATTTTGTGACCTCTTGACCTCCTCTGTGACAAATAAAAAAGATTATTTTGTGTATGACAGTGAGCACTCATTTTTGTTTTGCCTCAGAAAATTTAAATTTGAAAATCACACCCCCCCCCCCCTTGAGCACCAGGGGAGGGGGCCCTGTCTTCTTTTTTCTTACAAATAAAGGTTGAATTAACCTGTTTTTACATGTTTTTTTCCAGGGAAGGGGTCCCCCCTCTCCCCCTCTTCCATCCGCCATTGGTCTTTGTACTGGTACATCGATTGTATTTTTTTGCCTCAGAAAATTCGAAAAATTGCCCCCCCCCCCCCCCCCCCTTGAGCACCAGGAGAGGGGGCCCGTCATCTTCATTTTTTAAAACAAATAAAGGTTAATTTCACATGTTTTTACCCATTTTTTCCCCAGGGGAAGGGTCCCGGGACCCCCCCCCCCCCCCTCTCTGGATCCGCCACTGGTTTTTGTACTGGTACATTGATTGCATTGCAAATGCACTTGGAAATGTTTCTCATAAATGTTAATCACATTTTTCTATTTCAATTTTTAACTCTGCAATGTGCTCTCATGTAGGCTGGCATTCAGGACCCTCGTTCGAAGGTAAGCTAAGCTTGTATTCACTCTTTCTTCCACACTTGTGTAAATAGGAGAAAAGACCTTTAAATTGTTTAATTCATATTACCAACACACTTTAGAAAAAAAATATGTCTATGCCTTTATCTTGTAAATTTGGTTCTTTGTTATTTTGTTCTTTTTCCAACTCTCACAAGTCTTTACTAACTTTTTGTGGAAGGGATCTGGATTGATCTTTTTACAATCAGCCTGATTTAGATTTTGGGCACCCATGTGTCCTGGGCTCCTGTTTAATAGTGTCGAGCCTTGCTTTATGGAAATTTGAACTCTTGTATGGATATTGATCTTTTTTTAATGGTGAATAGATAGGAAGGCCCTTATGCAATAATATTGAGTGATTCTCCAAACATCTTTCTTGTTTCTGTTCTGTATGACTAATTTATGGATCTTTTACAAGTTCACTTGATTCTGACATGTCACTGTCAGTTGTCAAAATTTATGTAAATAGAAAGGAGTGTCATGTTAGCATGTACATGTATCTTTGTACATATGATAGGGATGTTATTCTTTGAAATATTTTCTTTATAGTTACGATTGTGATCTGACGTTCACACCAATGATTGTCTGTGACTCATTTCTCAAATCTGCGAAAGCAAGAGACAGTGAATTCACTTCAAATGAAGGTACAGTATTGTTGAAATCTTATAATTCAATTTTTTAATTTTTCCATCGCATTACTTTTTGGGTTATATTTCACTTAATATTTTTTTTAAAGAAGGAAGGGATATAAATTTCTTGAAATGGATCTAAAAGATTTCCTTATGTTTCCCATTAACAATTTTGAGGAAATTATTTCAGAAGATTGGTAGAATTCTGTTCCTCTAATGGTATGTAAATCATGTTTGAGAATTGAGAATATTGAGGTTGCAATATTTAGTAAAGGTCATAAGAATATTGTATCTGTATGTTGCTAATTGCCCATAGAATAAAAGAAGAGCTCTCATAAGCATCTTGTCTTATTTTCTCTTTTAGGAGACAGACCCTTGATTGTACAATTTGCTGCAAGTAATGCCAAGGACCTTGCTGATGCTGCTGAATTAGTTGCACGGTAAGTATCATCTTGTCAAGTTATTTTAGGTTGGTTGAGAAGAAATCAACTGAATTGATAATACCTTAGAACTAAGCCCACATTAAATTTATTTTGTTTCTATATGTTTGAATCATAAGCAAATATATTTTATGAATAGACAGGGGAATAAATCAAGAATGAAAAAACCACCATTTAGCAAAGATTGGCTAGATATATTGTACATGTAGTTCTAAAGTTAATTTAGAAGGCGAGAGAGGAATAATTTGTACATTATAAAAATGGCAGTCCTGTGAGTATGTAATTGAAACATAAGACGGACCACTACTAGAAAATGTTAACCCATTCCCATTTGTACAGACTTTATGACAACAAAATGAAATATTCTGATGGACAGAGCATCATGAAAAGGATAGGATGAGACAGATAAAGATAGAGATTGATTGATATGATTTTAAAAGAACGGAATATGAGCCAAGTCAAATACATTTTCTTTGAGTCGGAATACCTTTCACAATTACTCTGAAGATCAAATTATCTTAGCATATTGGATATGTCCTTGTATTTTTCAGATACACTGATGGTGTGGATCTTAATTGTGGATGCCCTCAGCGGTAAGGAGACTACCAGTACTTACAATTTTTGGAAAATCTACCTTTTTTGTTGTTACTTGACATGGGAATTCATTGTAAATTGTTCTTTTTGCTTACTCTTGGTTTTTATTTCTAAATATATGTATCTCATTTATACAGTTGTAATACTGAACGATGAGTTGCAACAATTTTCACAGCTGTGATGCCATATTTGTTAGGTTATGCAAAGTGATTATTATGATCCTATCAACGTCACAAGATTTCATTAAAGGATTAACTCTTTGTTTACGTTGGTCAACTAATGGAACAAATGGTGGACTGCCGTTGTCAACTTTTGTCACATGTACACTGTGTTATTAAGAACATAAACACTTGATTCAATATTGCAGTCAAGGATTTTAGTTTGCCGCAAATTTAGAGGTAACATACTTATTCATTTGACAGGCAGTAGTAAGAAATCAACGTACAAATGTACTATCTTTCATGGGTATTTGTCTATTCAAGTAAATTACCTTTAAGAATCAAATGATTAAAAGCTGCATTATGATTCTAGTTTTGTTCTCATCATAACTGAATTGCATTTTGCAGATGGGCCGTGGCAGAAGGATATGGTGCCTGTCTCATCAAGCATCCAGACCTGATCAAAGACATGGTCCAACAGACATGGAACAGGGTAGACCGTTCAGACTTTACAACATCCATCAAGATAAGGCTCCATAAAGATATCAGGTGAGTGGTATATGAGTTGTCTGTGTTGAATAACGGGTAGACCGTTGGATGTGATATCCAGGATTATTGCCATTGCTTAACAGCCTTAGTGCTAATAACAAGTATTAGGGATGTCTAGGGAAAATGCCAAGATCAAATTCTTCCCAACAGGAGTACTGCAATTCAGTGTAACAACTTTGTCAGTGCTTATTTTCAATGTGCAAAATTGATTTTGGTCTTCACAAATCATAAGGTGGATGCCAGAAAGCCACACTTCACTCTGTTTGGACTGTGGGTAAACAATTCTTGTTCATAAGCTTGGTGACAGCTGAAAATTAGCTTTTCCTTGTAAACAGAATTTCGGGAAAGAACCATGGGATATGGTTGCTGAAAGATTACTATTCTTGTAAACCATCTCATCGTTTCACTAAACCACTATAAGTACTAGTTCACCGACCTCCCATTGATTTTCAGTTGGATGTTAGCGTACTTGTACTTAAAATGATTTGGGGAAACGATGCCAATGATGATATCAAGACATAGCTACACTAGGTTTTGATATCTTGTCCACTACTAAATATCACTGGAATACATACCAGAATAGTTGGGATTATGCAAACTTCTTGGGAAAAAAAAGATAGGGGATTGTTCATTTTTCTTTCTGATAAAGAGAGGAGTTATGATTGGATGTTGGGAATTATTTAGGTATGTAGAGTCTTGCTATCTTAGTAGGATCCTTTTCATCTTGTTTATAAGATTTCTAAGTTTATGTTATCAGTCAACACTTGTATGTATGAACTAAATAATTGTCTATGTGGCTGATCAATCAAACTATCAAGTCTGGCAGCATTTGCTACAGGCTATATTTCATCAGAGATATACAGTTCGGGTTGCAATTGTGATTCAGGTTATATCTAGGGTTAGGATTATGTGTAGTATTTGGTCCAAGGTTGAAATTAGGTTAGTATTAGAAACTGAGCATGAAAGAATTGTTCCCTAAGCATGAGTCATAGAACTGTCCATTTTACTATTAAACAGGGAGACTGTAGAGCTTTGCAGAAGAGCAGAGCATGCGGGCGTGTCCTGGATAACAGTCCACGGTCGCACCAAAGAGCAGCGTGGAGAACCAGCCGACCATGATGCCATCCGCATCATCAAGGAGGGGGTAGGTGTTCCGGTGGTTGCTAACGGAGACGTCAAATTGATGGAGGATGTTAGGAGAATTGTGGAGCAAACTGGTGTGGATGGTAAGACTTACATCGGGATGATATAAGAAAAATTGTCTTCAACGCTTGCCTAGTTAAAGGGATCGTTTAACAATGTTAAATCCGAGATACACGGCCCTACATGTTCTTAGTGTCTGTGATATGGTGTAATATTGAAGCCCTAAAAAAATTGCGCTTCAAAATGATCAAGAAGTGCCTCAAAAAAGTAAAAATGTTTGAGTGACCAGTTACTTCCCCAATAGACTGTAGTGTTATGAAAATCGTTTGGCAAACGGTTTTCAAAATTTGTAATTTCAATCATAAATATCTTGATAATCAGACAGGCGATAGGCTTGTAAAAGTCATGGGCTTCCTGACGGTTTGTAACTATCATTGCAACATGAGCTAAATCCACTGAGAATTTTGTTTCAGAATCTGAGACAAAGTTACCGGATCCCTTTAAGAAATGTCTGTCTAGACATAAAGTCCATTTGCTTCTACCGGGTATTCAAAAGAAATATTTTTACAGGACACAACATAAACTACTCTCATCCAGTTTTCAGTTGAGAAAGTAAGTCATAAAACTTATCTGCCTAGACACCAAATCAATTTTTTTTTCATTTTCAGGAGGAATAATTCATTAGATCAATGTTGTTTGTAAGTTGATTACTCAAGTGAGTACTTTCCTGTCCAGTAACTTTGTTTGCTCATCAATGGAAAAGGTTCTTTTTTAGAACCTAACCGGTACTTATTTTTATTTTATCGGTTGAAAGTCATGGGATGAAATATCACTGAGGAATGCTTACCGGTAGTCAACTTGAGAGAATCTCAAGTTATTGGCAGCCTTTAGTGGCTCAATGATTTGCTTTTGTCATGGCAAATAGTTAACAGTTCTCTATTTTTCTGTCATCAATATCAGATATATCATTCTAGTGTAAAATAACATACTCTGAAAACATTGTTCTGAAGGTACTTAAAGATAAAGACCAGTTATGGTCATGCGATTACATTGTGCAAGAAACGTTGTGGAATTGATCAGTAAAGGTTGATCATCTAGCATATAAGTATTGGTGTGTTACTGCAAGGTTCTGGAATCATCAAAATGATAAGAAATTTGGCCCAGTCTTTGTAAAGTTACAAGCACTGGACATAGAAAGATGTATATGGGACTACGCACACGTGCTCGACACGTGCGTTTATCTCTCACTCACCAATAGATAAACTAATTTACCAAATATATCAATTAGTAGGCGGTTTCCCGGCAAATTGTTTATCATCATATATTGGTAATAAATGCTTCCATTTCATTTTTTGAAATTGGGGAGTTTCCAATACTGGTCTTTACGTTTAAAATGGCTTTTTCATGTTTTGTGCAGGTGTTATGTCAGCCAGAGGCATATTGCGTAACCCAGCTATGTATGCAGGATATGATGATACACCTTTTCAATGCATTCAGGATTGGGTGAGGCTATTAAACTTTTCTTTGTTTTCTCATGTGTGTCAATTACAAGATAATTTGCGTGAAATGAAGGAACGTTCAACTTCTTTGAGCTTTATTTGTTTTAATAATTGTAAGTGTAAGTACTGGATTTGCATTGTAGGGTTATATTGCCTTGTCACAGCATCACTTTAAATTGCATTTTGTTCTGGTTTGTTCTGGTTGAATGCATAAGATCTGATGTGGTGATATCAGTGTCAATTGACACCAATTATGCTTATTCCTTATGTAAATCAACAGAAACACTATCAGATATGTGAATCTCTCATGATTATTTTATGAAATGCGACTGTCAAAAGTAGCATTGGCTGAGGAACAAAATATTTCCTTCCTTGCTTTTGCAGGTGGACATAGTGCCAAGTTTAGGGTGTTCATTATCAAAGCTATTTTTCATCACTTTTAATTTGTATCATGAATTGTAAATCAGTAGAACTGACAGTAAAAATATGGTTTCTTTCTTTGCAGGTGGACATAGGTCTAAGTCTAGGAACCAACTTGACCTATTTCCATCATCATCTTATGCAAATGTTGGATCAGTACTTGCCTGGATCCGAGAAGGTGAACTTCAACTCCCTAACCAGCACAACAGCCGTACTGGATTACCTAGAAACTAACTTTGGCATTGGTTGGAACCCAAACAAAAACTTTTACACCAGGAATAAAGAGGACCTTGGATGTCATTCTCATGGCCAGAGCAGAATTTTAGGGAAAGATCATTTTGAAAAGTTCATTGATGAATGTACAGAGGATAGTTGACCCTTTGGGTATATTTTATAGACCACACACTTCAAATAAAAGTTGTGAGAGATTGGCATGTTCTGTAATAGCCTTGTGTCGCTAAGTGAAGAAAACACATAGTAGTGAACAATGCAGCTGGTCAGTATTACACCTTGTTCACCATTATTTTTAATAAAACATATATATTTTCCATCCCATAATAAAGTCTGTGAAGGAAATCTATCTGTGTAGAATATGTGTTTGTATGTACCGGTAGTGTCATTTAATATAAGACACATTATCAATGTTCCCTCTGTTAAGAGATAAACAAAAGATCATAGTAATAGACGAGAGAGGATACAGTTTTTGAAAATTCTCATTTATGAGAACTTATAAAGAGAAATGATAGTGAGGAAAACATCAAGATATTTAATCAGAAGAATAAAATGAGAAAAAGGGGTGGGTGAGAGGTCGAGATATATATATATATATAGAGAGAGAGAGAGAGAGAGAGAAAGAGACAGGGAGAGAGAGAGTGGAAGGGGATTGAGGGGAGTAATGCTAGACTAAGCAAGGAAGAATTGAATTGTTTTGTCATTTACAATAATTTCAAATCCCAAATGTGAATAAAAACTATATTTTTTATGCTTTCAAATCTTTAGTTGCCATAAATAGAACACTGAAATACAATGAGTTTCCTTTCTTCCGTTTTCCCCCTCACTGTGTGAATATAAATCTTTATGCTAGATCCCTCTTTCCTCCCTCTGTATTATTCTCTCTCTCTCTCTTTCTCCCTCTCCCTCTTCCACATCTCTCTTTTTTGTTTGTAACTTTTGTTAAAATTGCGCAGCAGTGCAAGTACCGGTATAGGAAAACAGAATCTCTATAACTTACTCTTCTTAGACAATTTGATACAAGACGTGAGCTCAGAGAGGAATTTTTTACTGTCTTGATATTCAGTCGTGCACCATCCTATTTTTTCATGGGATTGTTCCTCAAAGTCACCATTATCATACACTTCTCATGCAGAGAACTAGAGGTGTATAAGAAAAGAAAGAGAGAGGGAGGGAGGGAGGATCAGTTCACTTTACAAATACCGGTACTCTTATTTTGTCATTCATAAGAATCACTCCAGCAGCACAATCTTTTAAGTTTGTTACCCACATGCCATTGAAAACTGCAAATTTTTAAAAAGTGTACTTGTTTGGACCGCACTTCACATTTCTTGTTTCTTAAAACACAAAGATATGTAAGTACTTGCAGGACCTTTGTCATGGACAGCTACTTTTTCATCCCCACCTGCCATTCATTTAGATAATTGACAACTCCTGCAAGAAGACTGCCGCTGTTAATAATGGTCATTTACGTCGTTTACATTCTCAACAGGCCACCCCCTCCCCAATCCTTGAAGCAACGAGGTAACAATATGACCAGTCACAAGTAATCTGGACATTTTTTCAGACCTTGTTAATACAAGACAAAGTAAGGTGCCTTATATTACACACACACAAATAATAAACACCTCGGTGTAGTAGGGAAATATTGCAAAATGTCTTGCAACAAAGGCCTCAAGTATGTTTGTCCCCATGTAGATGTGTGCTTAAAGATACATAAATATGTAGTGCCCTTAGGTTTAAATACGTCACCTTCTTTTAAATTAGCGAATTTTAAAACGGTATACCACATCATATGTGAGCAAGGCTTTTTTTCTAAGATCAATGAAAAGGGAAAAAAATTAATGGGTATATTGACCTACATTGAGGCAGGGCTCTACACTTTACATGCTTATATGCAAGTGACCATTAACAATTAGGGAAAACAATTGAGAGGGGGAGGTCTTTATTATTGGGCCCCCGATATAAATACAATATTCTAAAAGTAAACAAACAGGTAACACCTTCATCAGTTTAACATGATTTTATTTTAAAACATTATTTACAAAGGAAAGATTTTGTGGAAAAAAAGATATGCTTACAAGCCTACTTGGTAGGTTGTTCTGTAATATACAAATTAATGTTACAGGAATAAAACATAAAACTTGATAACACCAATTGTACACCAATGTTTTAAAAAATTACTTTAAAACAAATTTTTAGAATGATATCACATTAGGTATTCATATCTATGTGTTAATTGTTATTGAACTACCGGTATCTAATAAGAAATGATCTAATAAAAGTACCTTACATACGCTTTAATAATATACCAAGAAACAAAGTACATGGAGTTTATTGAAGCAGGGACATGCTATGTCCCTGATTGAAGTAATGAAATAACATGTAACTGTGGGTATTTTTTAAATCGGTCTTGACCCCTTATACATAACCAAATTACATTTAAGCAGTTATACCCTGTATTAACCTTCATCATTTCTAAAGTCAGTACCGGTACTTCCTTTTTGTAATCTTTGGTAATCCACACAAAGCTGATTCTACGTCTTCTTTTTCTTCCATCTCTCCAAAAACCATATGCCCAATTGAAAACTTGATGTCAACATATACATTACAAAATTTAGTTGAAGGAAAAAATTAGTGGTATGTGTATAATTGTATTTTGAATACAGAGGACTACTTTTAATAGTTGTCATCAAGAGATAAAAATAACACAGTTCAAACAAGAAACACAAAATATAAACTGATTCAACTACTGAGTCATGCTTTTTCTCATTGATTGACAATACAAACTGTGATGCTCTTGATCTCACTATATCATAAACAATGTCCCTTCAGGAAGTCCTTGTACATATTAGACAGGGATGCCATTTAGAATTGATCAGAGGGCCTGAAAATCACCTAGAATGAGCTATTTTGTAGTACACAAAAAAACCTAAACTATGGTCTGAAAGTAACTCACCAGGGCCTGAATTGAGGTTATTGCCTGAAAACTGGCATCCCTGATTAAACCTTACACAATTTGTGCTCCATCTCAAAACAATGTACAATAAAAAAAATATATTAAAAATAAATAAATAAAATTGTGACTAAACAGACTGAATTAATGTATCCGTTGTGTGAGTGTCTTCCTATCTTCTTGCAGCTGAGGCAACAAAACTCTCTATTGTTACATGATTGATGTTTAGAACATAAGAAATACAGTTTATACATCCTAAGTTTTTATACAGAATGGTGAACGCTGTCTAGCCATTGATGTTCTGAATGCTATAATGTCCCCGATCTCAATGGAGGGGAGACAAGAATCACCCCGTCACCTCGGACAAACAACATCTGAATTGACCGTTTAGTACTCTGAAATCAAAAAATAACAGAGAAAAATAGTAGGAATGCAACATTTAAATGACATCTGTAAACATGGTTACTTAAAGCTTATATGTACTAGTGTATGGGAGGGATTATACTGCCCTGCGAGGTCACTGGACAGGTGGTTATCTCATCAACTCAGCTCTCAATTAACATAAGAAAAAGAGGATCATGGGGGACCAATGGTCACCGATTAGGCATTTTTTTTCTATATAGAGGGAGCAAGTAGCTACAAGTAGGACAGTGTGGCTTTAAGGCAAAGTGACTTGTCATTCTTTTCCATTTCAAAATCTACATGATTAAAAGAAAACTTCTTCACATAATAGGGTCATAAAACATGGTGATATTTTATCAAAGACACGCACACAATGTCATAATTTTTTTAATTAGTATATAAAATTCATTTAATTATTTTCATTTGCTACAAATAGACATGTTCATCAGAACTGCTCTCACAACATAAGGGTATCTAAACTAAAAACAACTTGAATGGAATTTTAAAGAAAAGACATAGTTGAACAGAAGTTGAACTCTGAAATTAAAATTTGAGAGAATTGACTTTATGATGGTCCTGAAGATAATCACGGATGTATTTTTATGGAAATCTGGTTTTGAAGACTCTTTTCATTTTAATGACAATGAATAACAAAGGATAACATATCAAGCAACTGAAAAATGCCTTTATCTTTACCTTGTATATTTCTTCATAAGTTTCTTCATCTATCTCCACGGCTGTCACAGTTTCTTCAACATCACCAAGAATCATGTTGAGATGCTGATCATAAGCCTGATTGCAGAAAAGACAAACAAGAAATTACTGTACAATTTCGAGGAAACTTACTTTTTAAAGCGAATAATAAAATGGGGCATCGTTAATAGTTAACATTTGAGTTAACATTCTAAATTTATTCAACTATTCACCACAAATTGCTAATGAGCTGATGGACTGACAACAAACCAAATTTGAGAAATTCACAATTTCACATTAAATTTACATAATATGGAAAATTATGATTTTTAACATGATTGTATGCCCATACATGAGAATCAGTGGTACAAGATTACAAAAATGAAATCAAAGAATGAAGAGCTAAAAATGGAAAACAAAGAAAATGTTCTCACATGAAGTCTGCCTTTGAGTTCCCTATCATTCCTCATCTTGACATAGATCCTTTCATCCAGACTAAGTCTGATGAGATCTAGTGGTTCTTCCACGGTATTGGCTGGTTGGCTGGGCTGAAAGACAAAATATTTAATAGGAAGTTAAATACAATTAAGTTTAACATGAGCAAAATATGCTTGATTGATCCAAATTTATAGTTTAAACAGAAAAACTAACATTGTAACTAATATTGGATTAAGTTCCATTGTTGGCAAGATGAAATAACAAAACAAAAATAATAAATGGGTTCATTTCCTGCAACTGGGGAGATAAAATGATGGTCAGGTCAACACCATTCTTTAAAAAAAAAAAAAAATCATGCTATCAGCATTTACTGATTCAACATGGCAAAAGTTAGGAGTCAATAAACAAGGACAAAGAGAATGAAAGAGATTAATATCATTTTTTAAAATCATTTCTCTCTCTTTTTTTTTGGGGGGGGGGGGCAGGTTAGTCTGTCATTTATTCAGACCCTGATCTAATCCCACATCCAATGCGGGAAGAGAATGAAATAAATTAATATCATTTCATTCAATTATTTCTTCTTCCTTTTTTTTGGGGGGGGGGGGGAGGTGGGGGTATGTCTGTCTATAAATTCAGACCCTGATCTATTCTAATCTCACATACAATGGGAAAAGAGAAATAAAAAGACAATACAAAAATAAATAAGAGGAAGAACAAAAAAAGTAGGCCTAGACTAGAATCTATTATCTAGATCTAGAAAGTCTAGTCTACAAGAAAAAGGGAAAAAAGAAGAAATAGATCTACAATAAAAAGGGAAGACGGAGAAGGAGGATTTTAATTTTTGGTTTGACCTCCAGTGATAAATCCTGCTCGCTTGCCACACTCGCGCTCAACTGTCGTTGCCACTTCGGCGCTAGTGTAGCAAGGTATCCAAAATTTCAGACCCCAAATTTTGTGGTCATCATTACCCTAACCCTAACCCTAACCCTAACCCTAACCCTAACCCTAGAGATAATGATAAACACAAAATTTGGGGTCTAAAATTTGAGGTCTGTTTTAGTAGGCTATATTTTGGATACCTTGCTACACTAGCGCCATAACTTCTCCTCGGCTCAGCTCAGCTCAGCTCAGCTCAGCTCAGCTCCGATTTGGTCCCAGAAGCCACACAGGCAGAGCGCTCTCCCTAGGCCACTCGGCCCGGCGAGCGCTAAGCCTCACAATTCACAAGGGCCCAGAAACGCGTGACCGAGTATTGCTGTGCAAAACACACTCATTCATTTGTGTAGAAATCGACTCCCAGCTCGAAATATTCTATCATTTTCACTTTGTTTTATACTTCATATCTTAGCAAACCAATATTTAAAATTTGGCATTCGTACATGGCCTTGAATTCACGCAAACACCTCGTCACAAGCACAATCGTTCACTCAATATAGACTATATGCCAACAATGATAATTCTTCAACTTACGGCTTCTGATTCTTCCGCCATAGTTGCTGCTGACCTTAGAAAATAGTTTATGATCAAGCCAATATGTTATAATTTCGTCACGGCTGTAAAAAACAAAAAATATGTCATATTCTGATTATGCTTCTAAAATGTTTATATTTGATTGATTGTGTTTAATTTAAGGTAAATTTCAATTGATATGATTATGTTTACCCTTTTTACATGGATACGCGATTGCATTTCATTTTTTGTAATTGAATAAGACTAGTAAAATGAATTATGCAACATCTACACATGTCATTCCTTGTTTATAAAGAGCAGAGCTGAGATGATCCAGGGATGGCGAAGTTCCAGTTTCTCTGATTAAAGCAGTGGGAATTTCAAATGAAGCAGAGAGCAGAGAACAAAATTGGAGAGGATTCAGGGACAATAGTTAGCAAGGAATATACTACAAGCAACAAAACAACTTTCTATTGCACGGCAGCCTGGTAATTTTTAAAACCGCTATAGATCTAGATCTAGGAGTCTATCACTTTTCATGTCTGTTCTGCATGTACTTGTGTTGAGTTGTTTATTTTGTGCAATAAGCCAATATGATTTACTTTAATTTTTTATTTAACGTATGTATGTGAATGTGTGTATGGCCTGGGTTTTAATTTTCTTTTCTCTTCCTCTTTTTGCATAAGAAATATTGTGGTTTGTATAATATTTGTCGTCATTTGTCATTGATTTCAAAGTGCAATTCAATGAATCATTGTCAATCAATGACATTGATTATTAAATCTTTTGCCTTTTTGGGCCTCTAAAGTGCATGCTAAACCATCTACCGGTACATGCATGGTGTGTCTATAGTAGTATTAACTTGTTTTTGAATTTGTAATTTAGATATGTTTCATGAGGCACTAGAATACTGTTGTCAAATAATAGTCATTTTTATACTTTTCATTTTCATTGTTATTACTCGATTTATCATTATCCATCGATCATGACAATAATGAACCTGGCCTGGATTGCAAACTAATAATCTGAAACCATCTTCATCTTGTCTCCATCTTTGGATTTTACAGATATGACGTTAGCTGTTGCATCAAGAGCATCATGGCAAAACGTAAGGTGTCTGGTCCTGTGAAGGCATCGAAAGGAGGCAAAGGAAAAACCAACACAGAGCCTCAAGACAAGAAGAAGGAACCGGCTAAGCAAGATGTAAAGGCCAGGTCAAAGGTCAAGGAAGGTCTGAAGTCTTCGGTCCAGGATGAAGAGTTAGCACCTGCTGAAGTCATTCAAAATGGAAGGCGAAGAGGCAGGAGCGCCAAATTACAGGCTGTAAAGAAAATGGCAACCATGCAGGAAGATATCAAAGGGACAGAAGGCAGCGGTGATGATGATGATGATGATGATGATGATGATGATGATAATGTTTGCCTTGATTTAGAATATGATGATGAAGAAGATGAAGATGACTTTGAAGCAACAGTACGAATAGAGAAGAAAACAAGGCACAAACCTCTCTCTAGTGAAAAACTTAAATCTCAAGGTAAAAGCAAACTACCTAAAGAAGATTTGAAAGCTCAGGTGAAACAGGTGGAGATGAAATATGAGGAACGGTATGTATCCCAGGCTTCACAAGAGCAGTTTCTTTCATTAAGTGAAAGTGATTCTTCTTCAGAAGATGAAGACATTGGAAGTTCGAGCAAGGTGAAAGGTTCTTCGTCAAAGCCAATCCCTGATAAATCTAAAAGCGTAAATGCTGCAGCTGATAAATCAAAGGTGAGGGAGATGAAAAAGGAACTGAGTGGATCCTCTCCTGTAGTGCCATCTCATTCAGCACTGAAGTCGATGTTTGATGACTTAGAAGATGTCCCAGATCTTGAAGGTTCTCAACCAAGGAAGGATGGAAGATGCATTCAGTCCTTGTTTGATGATGTTGATCAAGAAAGTGATCTTGGAGATTTAAGGACCCATGAAGAACAAACTGATGCAAAACCAGTGGTTGCGTCACAGTATTTTGCAAACAGTGATGCGGAGGAGTGTAGAAGTCCTGATCGGAAAAACCTTACCCTTAAGGAGAAGCTGAATGTAAATGATGCAATATCTACTGTCAAATCTACTCTCTCTGATGAAATTAAAAAGAAGGAAGATGATGAAAGTGAATATGAGGAAAGTCCTCCAAAGAAAGCCAAGAAACAGATCAGGAAGAGGCCGGCCACAGGTAAACGAGCTGCCAAAATTGAGGAAAAGAAGAATGAGAAACAAACCAAGAAATATAATGATCCTAATGCTTCACCAGCTACTTCACAGTATTTTGCAAACAGTGATGCGGATGAGTGTAAAAGCCCTGATCGTAAAAATCTTACCCTTAAGGAGAAGCTGAATGTAAATGATGCAAGATCTACTGTTAAATCTACTCTCTTTGATGAAATTGAAAAGAAGGAAGATGATAAAAGTGAATTTGAGGAAAGTCCTCCAAAGAAAGCCAAGAAACAGATCGGGAAGAGACCAACCAAAGGTAAACAAGCTGCAAAGATCAAGGAAAAGAAGAATGAGAAACAAACCAAGAGAGATGATGATCCTCATGCTTTACCTGCTACTTCACAGTATTTTGCAAACAGTGATGGGGATGAGTGTAGAAGCCCTGATCGGAAAAACCTTACCCTTAAGGAGAAACTGAATATAAATGATGCAAGATCTACTGTCAGATCTACTCTCTCGTATGAAATTAAAAAGAAGGGAGATCATGAAAGTGAATTTGAGGAAAGTCCTCCAATGAAAGCCAAGAAACAGATCAGGAAGAGACCAACCACAGGTAAACAAGCTGCCAAAATTGAGGAAAAGAAGAACGAGGAACAAACCAAGAAAGATTATGATCCTAAGAGACCAACCACAGGTAAACAAGCTGCAAAAATTGAGGACAAGAAGAATGAGAAACAAACCAAGAGAGAAGATGATTCTAACACTTTTCCTGCTACTTCAATGAAAAGAGGAAGAACTAAAAGCCAGTCTACTACATCAAATACACCTGTAGTGAAACCAGAAAGAAGAAGAGGAGGAGGAATAGTAGATCAACCTGATGTGGGAGATGGTGTCAAAAGTCTCGAAAAGAAGAGGAAACTTTCCACTGTGGTGAAAAACTCCTCGGCCAGTACTGTCAAGAAAGTTGGAAGAGGAGATCAAGTTGATGTAAAAGATAGCATCAACAGCCCAGTAAAGAAAGGGAAACTTTCCACTGGGGTGAAAAACCCCTCGGCCAGTACTGTCAAGAAAGCTGGAAGAGTAGATCAAGCTTATGTAAAAGATAGCATCAACAGCCCAGTAAAGAAAGGGAAACTTTCCACTGGGGTGAAAAACTCCTCAGCCAGTACTGTCAAGAAAGCTGGAAGAGGAGACCAAACTGATGTAAAAGAAAGCATCAACAGCCCAGCGGAGAAAAGGAAACTTTCAAACAGGATGAAGAGTTCCTCAGATGATGCGGTCAAGAAAGCAGGAAGAGGAACAACCAAGGGAAAGAAGGAGACCAAGAAGAAGGTCAAGAAGATGGAGATTAAGGTGGAAGAGGAAGATGCAGATATGTCATCTGATGATAGCCACTCAGACTGGGAGGAAGTAGAAGGTGAGATAATCCATGATGATTTTAGAAATTGATAAAGATTTACATGGAGGTGATCAGGCTATCTAAAGTGAGAAATAATGTAGCACCTTGTTATGATGAATACTGTTATAAAAAATTGTTATAACAAGGTTTTTTTATAAATCTAAATAATCATATCATATTTGTACACTATATAAACATGGTATTCATCCAGTACAGAACTAACAAGATCTTTGCAGAAACTTCAATAAATCTCTTGCATTCACTTGCAATACTTCTCAGTTTTCAATGTTATTTACTAAATGCATATATTTGCTACATAATAGGCAATGAAAAACAAATTAATCAGTTAAGAACAAGTTTAGTCTGAGTTGTTTTGATGGCAATACAACTGAGAGATGGTCTCACCATCTCACGTCGCATTTCTAGTGGCAGTGGTGGGATTTAAATCATGTACTCAACACATTGTATGTTTGGAGACAGAAAGGCATAAAACACATATATACAAGAATCGATCTCCTTCTGGCTCTGAACAGACGAGTCTTTGTTGTAATGCTAATTAATTCATAGTGATTTGTCTCTTTATTTCCTCTCAGACACACCGATGAATGAATTAGGAGAACCCATGCTGGAGCCGAGTCCCGAGAAGGAAGCCAAGGCTGAGACAATGTCCCTAGAGATTGATATTGATCTACCAGGAACATCCAGAGCAGGAAAGAAAAAGTAAGAGTGCATTATAACAAGGAAGTAACAACAAAATCAACAACTTATTTCAAGTATTCACGTCATTGTCAAATATGTATTGTTTATGTTATGTTAATTACCCTCACATATTAAGATGAAGAGCTTTCATCAACATGAAGTGGTTTTCATTTTTTTTCTTCTTCAAGAGACTGTCATAAAATGTAAACAAATATTCAATAGTTGTGTGTGAGCAATCGCATTTGCTAAGATACATTTATTCTGTTCTTAATTGATTGGTGTGAATAGTAGATCAATTTAATGGCATGAGAACATTTAATCTATTTACCATGAAGAAAGTACATTATAAGCTCCTTTTAAAGCTAGTGAAACCTCTTTGAAAGTGAAAGTTGATTGTGTGACAATATATATCACGGAAAGAAATTTACTTGTGCACGTAGCATATTAACACTGCAAAAATTGAAAGAGACACTTCTGTATTATTATTCTTAAGCTATTACATAATTATATTAGCTTTTAATAGTATAGGTGTACAGTGTGAACTAAGAGTGTGTGTTTTCTTTTGAATACCTCCTCATATCCAGGAAGAAAGAATATAACTGGGCAAATTATTTCCAGTGGCAAGTCAACAAATATAACAAGGAGAGACAACTAGAGCTACACAAGGTATACAAAGCAATAATAATAACATAGATTTTAAAAAAACCTTCTTAATATTACAGCAAATGATAACTGAAAGATGAAAGATGATTGCATAAGGTAAAGCAAAAGGGTATTCAAGATTGTAAAAATATATTTTGTTTAATTTAATTGTGCTGGATAAGATGAATCTAAAAACAGACGTAAACATTTTTAAAATTTGCAATAGTCACATACAATTCTTGACAGCTTTGAGTGCAAACTTAGCATAATATACAGTCTATTGACAATTTGATTTGAAATATAAAATGATGATAAATTACATTCAAATCAATTATGTATTCTAAACATTCAGTAAATGACACATTATTCAGATTTTCATCGTTTACTCTCAGGAATTGCATTATTGCTGTATGGAAAGTATGGAAAGTATGGTATGAAAAAGAAAATGCTAACGAACAGTATAAATAGGTAAGAATTTTCTTCCATCCAACTTTATTTTAATACAGGCTCATCTGGTTCTGCTTCTTGCTAGTAGTTTCCATAGCAACAAGATTTGCAATAAGATGGAGCTTCAGTGCGTGGCTCTCTCCACCGTTCCAGTCGAGATTCTATCAAAGAAACCGAAACAACTCAATATAAACTATCTTAGCAAAGTCCTTAGCTGGTAAGTTGACAGTATTACTTTTTTACTACAATTCCATATTTCCATTGCTGGGTTTTTATTTTTATTTAAAGGTATTACAAAGTTTTGGTATGGGGTCATGAATTTGGTTCAAATGAACATATTGAAAACATAGATTTTTATGGTCGCAGCTACCATTGTATGGCAGGCGCTATTTAAAAATTATCAGAATTTACCTGGAGCACTGGTAAATTTTGATATTCAATTTTTCTCGAAAGCAGAAGTGTTTTAGGGGCTAATTTTTTTTAGTGCTTATAATACATCCACAGGGGCATCCAAATATTTCAAAATACCGGTACCATCCAGAATCATGGCAAAACATTTAACACGTGATCCACCTATTGCTCATCAAAATGAATTGCCAGAGGATATCTTTTGAATCAGTGTAATGATTGAGTAATTACCTGTATATGGTGCATCATGTTTTGTTCTAAGGTTCAAGAATTGTTTTAAGATCAGATCTGATCTGAAGGAGGATTTGATGACATCGCTTGATTGGATTCTACCATCCATGTTTGCAAAGAGACAAGCAGCTTCAGAGAGGCAACTAGTTCATGTAAGATGCAGAAAATTGTAACCAGTGTCTTCTGTTGTAGGTGCAAGGGAATATCATAGCGTTCCATTACATGAAATTATTTTTCAGTTTCCTCAGACTTTAAATTGATAATCAAGAGAACCAATTCCCACATTGTCTGTCACAACCTGCACCTTGTACAATCCATTCATGACCAAATTTCTAATAATTTGGAGATATTTGCAAAATAAATTCTACCTGATTGTGGCAAAGGTATGCATTGTCTAATGTTGCAGGGGAGCTTAAGTGCCTCATAGATTGAAAACAAAATCCAGTTGGCTTTTAAATTTGGGAAGGTGTTGTACTAATATACCCAGCTGTCTCCCAAGTCAAAAGGCATTCACTGCCTATGATTTTCAAAGGTTAGGTTGGAGCCTTGATGAGGAGAATTTCAATTTTAATTTAAGATCATAACAAGCTTTAATCTCCATATTCCAGAATTTTTGTGCTCTGATTTGACTCTCTTTCAGTTTTCTTTATGTTATTGTTCCCCCATGTTTATTTCATCATACTGACATTGACAGTAATATCAAATATAAGTTTGCTGAATATATGAGCTTAGTGTAAATATGGCCTCATCAGAACACCCTTTCTTTTCTCCCTACAGATGTTTGCAATTATTCTGAGGTGCCTAGGAGTAGATGTACGTCTCATTTTCTCTCTCCAGCCGTTGACCTTTAAAGCCAAGAAGCTTACCAAGGTAAAAACTCATTCCAAAAGAAGAAACTAAAATCTATTGCATGAAAACAGAATTTTGAAAGTTTGAATACCATAGTTGGAATGATATAAAGTCATAAGACCATTTTTAATCAAAATTGTATTCACAATATTCTATAAAAAAAAATGAACTATTAAAGTGCAGTGTGAAAAATTGTTTAAAACTTGGGCCAGAGTTTTGTAAAGTTGTACCTCAAGGCTCAAGTTTCCTTCTTCTTTTTGTGTGCAGAAATTCAAGAAAGCGAATGAGAAAGCTCCAATCAAGAAACCACCGAGTCAGAGTTTAATGAAGGAACGAGAGAAAGTGCCTTCAAAACAGTCCAGTTCTTCTGGTGACATCTCATCTCCTTCAAAACCTCATCAATCACCCAGCAAATCTTCTTCAAACAAGTCATCAGCGAGTGCTCTAAAGAAGCATTCCACAAATGCAAGCATGAAGACAAATCTTCCAAAATCCAGACAGCAGCCTACCAAACCTTCTTCAAGCAAGTTATCAGCAAGTGCTCCTAAGACACAATCTACTTCATCAAATATGAAAATGTCTTCCTCAAAAGCAGCTCACCCGCCCAGCAAATCTTTATCCAACAGTTCATCATCTAGTGCTACTGCAAAGACGACATCCTCAGACACAAAGATGAGTCCTTTAAAGTCTGGTCAGCGACGTAACAGCAAAGCTTCATCAGGCAAATCATCAGCTAGTGCACCAAAGACACAGGCCACTTCATCAAACCCAAAGACTACTTCTTCTAAAGCTGTGCAAGGAAAGGGTAAAGCACCCAGTGGGCAAGCCATAAAGGAGCAGAAGATGGCACCAAAGAAAATATCTGGGAGCAAGATGAGATTAGATATGAGCAGGAGCACTGGTAAGGAAGGAGGAGAGAAACAGCGATTACCATCCAGTGGAGGACATACTCCGAAGAGAACCCTTAGGGTAAAGAACAACACCAGAAGGACAATGGCTTCAAAGATGAACCCAAAGTATGACCAGCAGGATGAATCAGGCGATGATGATCACAGTGACTATGAGGAGGAACTGAGGAAATCTGCATCCAAGAGGAAGTCAAGGGCACCGTCTACAAAGGGATCCTCCAAGAAGAGAGCAAAGATGGCATCATCAGTGTCCAGCATCGAGGAAGTTTTATCTGACAGTGACTTCGATGTTCAAGTGATGAGTGTCACCAAGCAACCAAGGAAGACTGAACCTAAGAAGGGTGGAATCAAGAAGAAAGCCTCGAGGAAGGTCTTGTCATCTGATTCTGATGAATGTGTTATGTTGGTAGACATCTTAGATCCAGGTATGTATTACATGACTTGATAATAAATAGATGTATTTGAGAATTTTGAGTTAGATGAAATAATGTTGATTTAACTCTTTCTTACCCACTCTCCCAAATTGAAAACCACAAAATACCTGCTTGGTATTAACAAAAAACCCAGTATTGATTAAAATTTTAACATTGAAACAAACTTGATGTGATATGTCCAGAATTGCATTTTCCTTTGCAATGTTAAGAGTTCCTTTTAAATGTGAACTTGATAGACATGATTAATATCTTCACACTGAAATGTATGAGTTGGTGTAAGAAGCGTGTAGCTAATAGCTTGTAACTGCAAGGAAAATGCACTACATGTATATCAAGTACCTTTTGGATTGGATCAGATTGAAGTGTGTTGAACTAGAATGCATTACCTGTAGATTTTGGAGAAAAGCTACATCTAGGCAAACTCTACTTTTTGAAAATCAATTATGACTTTTTGCACATTATGTATCTTACAAATGTTTACATATTGTCATTGTTGGTAAAAATTGAATTGAATGATAATCTAGTTTTCTGATTGAAGATTGATCAATGAACACATATAAATCTGATTTCTTATCCTAAAATTTGGGGATACTTTATATCATTCACATAGGCTCTGATTGCTGGCTTGAGGTGTATCTATCTTCTGAAAAGCGTTGGATGTGTGTGGACTGTGTGAGAACGCTGATTAACAAACCTGAGATGTGTGAGAAGAAAGCAACCCAACCCATCACATATGTTATCGGTGTGGAAAACGGTAAGTAGATACCAGATCCCCAATGCTGTAGAGTATCATAAAATCACTTTGTTCTGCTGTTCAGTTATATACATATCCATTCCATGTATTTTGCACTTATCATCCAGATAGCATTGGAATATTATGAAGAAAAGAAATGAAATTAAATCTTGATAATTTAGCGCTCAGAATAGAGTAGGTAGCTTTATAGTCGAGATGTGCTAAATGGAAAGGGATCAATATCAGTTGTTCCTTCAAGTTCATGCATCTCTTCATCTAGTAGAATTTTGGTTAAAAACAATCTTGCGATATGAACCATATTGTTGTAATGGTTCTCTTTAATGTACCTCCCCTGTGCTCGACGTTAATGACAGTGTATCTGAAAATCAATTCTATCTTAATCAGTTGACTCCTGAAGTCTCTCACTCCCATAGGCTTAATACAGGAGCCACCCGGTTCCCGTAAGCAATGGGTTAAGGTACCCCTGATATGATTCCAACAACATTAGTGCCAGTTTCAAATGCCAAGCCAGGTCAGGCCCTTCATGTGATTAAACATTGCCCTCATTCCATCAGTATGTCCATCAGTGGTCAAGTAATGCAGTCCATTCTTTCAGATGTACATGTATTATGGCTTTTAAAGAAACAATTTGTTTATGAAAGCCTGATTTGTCTGTCTTTTCTATTTCTAGATGGTTGTGTGAAAGACGTGACCAGAAGGTATGCGTCCAAGTGGATGACAGAGACTCACAAGATAAGACCTGTTGATGAATGGTGGGAAGAAACCCTGAAGCCATATCAGAGCTATAAGGATAGAGACATGAAAGAGGACTCGGATGTTCAGAGTATGTTAAACCTTTGATGAATGTCCATTTCTTGTTTGAATTGATTTTTCTTCTTTTCTTTATCAGATAGATCGTTAGGTGTATTTTGCATTTTTTTTGGTATTTTATTTATTTAATCAAGGTAAAAAATGCCTGCTAGACGCTAGAAGCTGCTTTTCAACAAGGCTGTGAACAACTTTTGAACTCAACAAGTAAACGAATACAACAATTATATACAAAAGAAATCACAAAAATTATCATTCTTTCTAGTAAACTTCATGTTGAGTCGCACATCTATAGTCAAAACCTGCATTAGAAACCACCTGTATAGAAATACCGCCTGTTTATTAAGACCACAATCTTTGTTTCCCTTGATCAGAGTTGGTGATTACAGTTTTGTTTTGTATTGAAGAAACCTGCACATAAAGACCACCTAGTCACCTGCTATAAAGACCACTTTCCTTATCTCCCATGAGAAGTCTGTATGATTATGGAGGTTTCATGGTACACATTCATTCTGATCACAAAGAATTTGCTCATAACCTTTTTTTTTCTTCTCAGGTAACCTAACAAACAAGCCGCTACCTACATCTGTAGGAGAATACAAGAACCACCCACTGTAAGTCATTGATATTAGAGATATATGCACATCTCAGTGCGCAATTTAATTGCCAATTAGCAATTTTTTAAGCTTGTAAAACATTTTAGACATTGTGATAAAATCAATGTATCTATGCAGTATAGATGTAAGATATCCTACCAACCAATTAAATGTTTTGTGGGGCTTATTCCTCCTTAGATATCATTTATAATGATTAGTTTAGGGAGATTTCATTATGATGTGATGCATAGTCATCCGTTACCTACTATATTCCTTAATTTGGTCACCCTCTCATATGTGGAGAGTTTCAAATTTTGAGCAAGAACATCAATCTTATACGTGTATCGAAGAGATATTACTTTACATTATACAACACCTACGTGGATCCCTGTCATTTGATTGGAGGATTGTTGGTCACATGATATTCAATAGATGGTATATTGCACGGTCGTGCATTTTTGGTTATATGCGCCGTGCATTTTTGGTTATATGCAGACTGTGTACCTCTCTGCCGTGCGCGCGCGTATCCCTGCGTTTATCTGACGCGAAGGCAATCTGAATGTAATCGAGAAGGCTTGAATCCAACTTGAATTTATCTTTAATATAAGGAGTAAAGCATAATTTGTTGATTAACGTTCTATTAGATCTTCTTCGATGTTGTATAAAACAAATAATGAATGTTTTTCATTCGTTCAATGGTGCGAATATTTTCATTCGTTGAAAGATTAACATTAATTCTATTCAACTCATGAAAATATTCGCACTATTGAACTCATAACCATTCATTATTTGTATACTATTTATGTACTCTTAATTGTGTAATGTGAGGAATTATAATGTAACTATGCTATTCAACTTCATGTTTTGCGTAGATATGCCTTGAAGAGACATTTACTGAAATTTGAAGCTTTGTATCCAGAGTCTGCCGCCATCATGGGATATTGCAAAGGAGAACCTGTGTATTCCAGGGAGTGTGTACATCAAGTGAGTATTGATTGTGTTCTTATATTTCAGTTTGAATATAAGCAAATCCTGTTCTGTCAATACTTTTATTTGTCCAAATTATAAGTACCTTAAGCATTTAGGATGATCCTTTGGACGTGATCATGGGATTGGTCTGTATTGAAACCATCTGTTGGAGCTTTGTAAACATGTCATCCTGAGAACCTTATCATAATGGAGGCTAACATTTTACTTTTAATTGTTCCAAAATCAAATCAAGATTTAGACATTTATTATCCAAATGACATATTCTCATTCTCATTTTGAACAAAATGTGATGATGCTTAATGAAAGGATATCTCTGGCCTTGCAGAGAACACTGGTTAAGACTAAGAAGGAGAACTGGCTAGTATTAGTTCTGTAGGGTCTTGCATTGTTTTTATCCAAAGTATGTTAATTCTGATTGCTAGACCATTGTTCTTCTGTCAGCTCATTACTTAATATTTTCCCAATCATACTATAATCATGCATGTATGATTTGACTGGATGTAAGCATAGCATGAACCATTGTCACAGTTCATAGAATTATTTTCCAATATCTGCATATTTCTCCTACACTTACAGTTGCACACAAAAGAGACATGGATGAAAGAAGGAAAAGCCATCCGCATCGGTGAGAAACCTTATAAGATGGTCAAGCCAAGACCAAAATGGGTAAGGAAACTGTTCAAATTATTACGATAAAAACTTTGATTAATGCCGTGTGATAACAAGTATACCTTCAGTTCACTGATGATATATTCTTTTTTTATTTGTGTATTACTTTTCTGTTTATGATTTAACATGTTGGATTAATCTGTCATAATTGTGTTTGTCATAGAAGGATAATGAAGATGAGCTGTATTTTTCAGAAATTAACATACTAATAGTGTTTTGAGATGATGCATTTTAAATAGGTTATAGTTTGTCTTAGCAAGGGATTTAGTTTTTGATGCTGTTGTAATCAGTGGCAAATCCAGGATTACCTAAAGGGTGAGGGGGGGGGGGGGGGGGAGGGGGGAGGGGGCACACTTCTAAAAATCTCAGGCAAGCAGCGACAAACATTGACTTTGTTTTTTTAAGGAATAATGGAGGGGAAGCTTGCCTAGCAGTGCTCCACTTAAATCTGCCCATCATTGTCATGAACTTTAATTTGTTGCATATAAGTTACCTTAGAACATCGTTGGTTCTATATTGCAATCGAGTTTTAGCAGGTGACGGAGATCATATATTTTGTAATGTCTCCCACAGAAAAAAGGACAAGGTATGATCAAGACGGAAGAGGCTATCCTGGGGATATATGGGGCCTGGCAAGTTGAAGATTACATCCCGCCTCCAGCAGTAGATGGCAAGGTGCCTCGTAATGAGTATGGAAACGTGGAGCTGTTCAAACCTACCATGCTGCCTGCTGGTACTGTTCATCTCAAGCGTAAGTAATGCTGGATTATACTCTGTCAACACGACTCTAAATTGACCAACAAGGGACAGAATCTTTGCTATTTGGGGTACCTGGTAATGTGATTTTATTGCAGTCTATTTTTGGTCTGTGTCCATCTCATAGGTGTGACTTGGGGGTATTAGATGATCTAGAACAGGAGCTTGTAAGAGATGTGGTAGGAGGGGGGTGGTATCGTTTTATTTAGCAAGTGAGCTTGGGATTTGGTGTGTGGCAAGTTGGAAAAAACATCCCGCTGTGAAAGCCTTATGAAGTGAGCTTAATTAATATTAATAATAATAATAATATTCCGCTTTTATATAGCGCCCAATACATCGATACAACGATGTGCCTAAGCCCTTTACAGACTATTAACCCGGTCATCGGATTCAGGCTTATCCGCACACATTGCATGCACATTCTCCACTCTCTCATCATTACCGGTATCGTTTCGTCTTTTGATACCTATTTATAGTCCGCTCTATCCCATTTTGACATTTGCACCACATCGTTTTTGTAGAAGAAAAGCCCATAATCAAGCATATTTTTGTAAGTAAAGTCAGTTGTATCATTTTATATCCCACATCAAATGTCTGTTCTCCCTTAGTTCCTGGTCTGAACAGAGTTGCTCGTAAGCTGAACATTGATTGTGCCCCAGCTATGACAGGCTGGGATTTTCACTCGGGATTTAACCACCCTGTGTAAGTCAAAATAAAATTTACATCGTTTTTTCTCTTCTTTATCTTGTTTTTGATCAATGATGTTAGTTCCTGGATTGAACAGGATTGCTCGTAAGCTTGATATAGATTGCGCTCCGGCCATGATGGGATGGGACTTCCATTCAGGCTACATCCATCCTGTGTAAGTCTTAGATACTTTCCTAAACCTAAACATCTTAGTAAAACAACTCAAGAAGTGACTCTTATACTGGCTGGAAAAAAGAAACACAGAAAATATGCACAGAAAATCTGCAAGTTTTTAAAAAAGAAGATATTTCTAATGTTTTATTCATTCTTGATCGTTTGTTAGCCATAGAGCAGCATGTTCAGTGCTTTGTGTAGCAATGTAGGATAAAACAAAACCTAATCTATCCAATACACATACATGTATATGACACCAGCATAGCAAGAGTTTGACGTGTTACACCAATCTCCTATGGGAACTGGGAGACTTCTGTATTACACTCTGTGGGAATGAGAAATTCAATAGTCAATTGGTTAATTGACTTTGAATACCTGTCTTGATTGGGATTTTTATTTTTATTGATGTAATTTAATTATTTTTGCATCTTGTTTCCTTGGTGATGTAGAATGGATGGATTTGTTGTCTGTGACGAGCATGTAGATGTCTTGGTAGCAGCTTGGGAGGAGGATAAGGCAGAGCATGAGAAGAAGGAAAAAGAAGTAAGACTAGAGAGAAGTTATCATTCTGCAATCTCTTGAGACACCATTGTTAATATGATGGTACTTGTTATGTCATTGAGGGGACCAATCATGCAATAGTTATCTATTTATGTACAGCTATTGCTTTGAAAAGAATTATACCTGGTATTCTATGGGTTAACGGTTAATGAATAAGAAGAAAAGAGAGGGTAACATTTTTTTGTTCACACCTCACACAAAACCAAATTCCAACTTGATTTCTGTATGTTAATAACTTTATATATGTCTTCTATTTCAATCTTTTATCATTGTTTGTTTTTTGTGTGTTTTTTTTCCTTTTTTCTGTTTTTCTTTTTCCATTTTTTTTCTTCAAATATCAGTAACTGTCTTAATAGTTGTGTTTTTATGTGAACATGAACAAGTTTTCTCCATATTTGTAATCTTTGTTCAGAAACGAGAAGCCAGAGCCATGAACCACTGGAAACTCTTCATCAAAAGCCTTCTTATAAAGGAAAGACTTAAACATAGGTATGGGGAGAATAATCCCAACTTTGATGCACCAGGTACATCTCAACAATCAGAGAAAGATGGAAGAAAAGATTCCAGTCCAGTCAAGGCTTCATGGCCTGAGAACAAGATGACTGCATTCACAGGAGATGAAGGGAATCTTCTGCCGTTTGAGAAGAAAAGTAAGAAGAAGAAAAAGCGATGATTTTCCATTTCCACTAGTTGTAAACTTGTATCCACATCCTCAGTTGTGTATTCTAGATGGTTCTTTTCAAAGATTACCTTGAAATTGTATTCTTACTCTGTATAGTATGGAGACACATAATCTCGGCTAATGATTATTTTTACAGTGTTTAGAGATCAAATACACATTTTCAGTATCATGTGAAAGTATTCATTATGATCAATTTCATTCAGGTTTGTGAATATCATATTCAAGATTGTAGTCCAAGGACTAATTTTGTCATTTATAATAAAGTTATGTGGCATTACATCACTGACCAATAGAAGAAGCAAAGACAAATTAAAATCAGTAGTAATGGAAAGAGCAACTACCTGGGAGCTGTCTTTTGTATAGCTTTAGTATTAAAAAGAAGAAACTACTTATTTTACCTGTAATTTTGTATGGATCACATCTTTTATGCAAGTATGCTCTTATGAAATGAACACATACCGGTATGCTAGTAAAATTTTCAAACTTTTTCTCAGTACTTTGGATGAAGATATGTAACTCATTTAATATTTCTCATTCTAGATCATTGTTTAATACCTCAGCTGTTGAGTACTATAGATCATGTATTTTATACAATGTTCTTAGATGATTGACAGAATAGACTATCACTATAGTTCTATATATTTTTTTGAAATATGTATATACGTGCTTGTAAATAGGATATATCTTAACACATCTAGCTAACATAGGACAAAATCATGTGTTACATGATCCAAATGTATTGAATAGAAATACAAATGTATTGAATAGGAAGACTGATTGATATGTGGTACTACCTGATTCTTTCCTTATGCTTTTTTTTTTAAAGAAAATTTTGTACTTGAACGGATACCTGAAATTGGTCTGGGTAATTCTCATGGCCATTTTGTTGTTTCTAATATATGCTTGTAAATACCAGTATTATTTTTATACAACCAATGTGCCAAATAAAATACATATAAATATATATATTCCTAAAAATCATTTAGTCAGTATATTCAGAACATATTATTATAGTACATTGTATTATTTGTAGGGTGCTATGCTGTTGATCCAAGTACATGTATTTTCATGACACCGACTTAGTAATACTTTACACAACTTTTCAACACTTTGCAAGTCAGACTTCTGATTTCAAATAATGAAATGTACTGCGTAGATGTTTGTTTTGTAATCATGAAAACTGAATTTATTTGTCATGTACCGGTACTCAAAATAAAGATTTTCAATCATAATTTAGGTCTCATGTTCTCTCTATACTGATAAGTCTATGTCTTCTCTAAAGATATTGCACAATTGTGTCATGTTTTTACATTCATTTAGAAAGTTTCTATATGTGATAGCCTTTATTTTGCTGTTGATTAGGATGGCATTCATCATTCATCATTATGAACACCTTTAACTGTAAAAATTGATGCCTTCATTTTCTTCTTTAACCATATATTTTCATTACTGCTCTCCAGATGTGGCCTATGTAGATGTGATAATTCCAATTGAAGTTACAAACAAAATTTAATTCCTCTATTTTCTTGAAAAAGATGTTACTGTATCGATGATTCTATAGTTTGCTGGCCAATCTTTAAACATAAAATGATTTAATTTTGCTTTTTGATATTGCAGAAAATTCTTTCATAATTCCATCTCATTCTTCAGATGTATGCTTTTGAATCATTAGTGTGCCTTTTATGTTGTCTACTTTTGATGCCTGCTCTGGCTTGGTGTCTTACGAGGAATACCAGATCTAAGAGATGGGGACCTAGGGCTGGTGATGGGCTTGGTGGGGCTGGTATGCAATGTATCTACATTGACGCTTGGGACCCATTTTGGCTCCTTGGTGGGCGAGGCTCCAGTCAGCGCGGCTCCGGTCAGCTCGGCTGAGGGATCCCTTACAAGGGTCAGCCAGCGGAAGTCGGCTTTGACCTTTGACTCCAGCTCACTCAGCTGAGATAAGGTGCCTGATTAGGGAGAAAGGAATATAACATGAAAGTTTAACCATGTTTTTATATTCTCGTTATATATCTGATGATTGTATGAATGTGCAAGCCCTCTTGGACTCTGAATCAGACAACATATCCAGGAAAATGACACCTTTTGTGTCAATTTAGTGTTCTCCTTAACATGATACCATAATACTTGGTAACATTGGGAACACCAAATGACAAATTTTGTTGTACTTTCCCATATGCACCATGCACACTAGTAGTCATTACATGTTCTAGAATCGTGGTGAACTGACTCAACTGACAAGCGATTGTCGAGTTTACTGTTCCATGAGAATGGAATGTTCTAGACGACTGATCATTTTGTCAGGATGCAATTACTTACTGCAGACCTTGAGTCGGTCATTGTCTTGAATATGTACTACTGCTGGCTTTAACTGTTGATAAGGACTGTCCATCCCTATAAGCTTCATTCTAGACTTGCTATATCTTCGGATGATTTTTATTCAATAGAAGGCATAATTAGTCGACTGTTCAACTCTCCTTATGCTGCTTGGTTACCATGCACTCACTTCTGTGTGGTTATTAATGTTTGTCTCATGAACTCTTACTCACCTTTGGCCACAATAAAGATGAAGTTCCTGACGCCATCCAGATTGATCTTCTCAAGACTGAATTTTCCAGTGACGGACTGTCTCAAAGTCTTCATTCCATCTTGAAAAACCTGTGCACAATGAAAATGTTAAATGATAGAATTAGCAAACTATGTTCTCTACTCTCTCTCTCTCTTGCCCCTCCCTATCCTCTCTCTCTCTCTCTCTCTCTCTCCCTCCCTATCCTCTCTCTCTCCCTCCCCCTCCCCATTCTCTCTCTCTCTCTCTCTCCCTTATTTTCCCTCTTTTCCATTTTGGTTTGATTAGATTGGGATATTCATGTGGATACAATATTGGTATGATGAAACTGGTAATGGGCAATAAAGTGCATGCAATTTCTTTTCAACTTGTTTTTTCTGTCCAAGTCTATCTCTTTATTCTTTTCTTCCTTCTTTTATTTTTTTTAATTTATGATAATTCTGTTTAACATCTGCTCTCTGTTACATGTATTCATACAACCAGAGATCACCTAATCTATGCATGAAATCATCCCCATTCTATGCTTGCCTCATAGTCCAAAGTCCGTTACTGGTAAACGTCGAATAAATATGACAAACCACCATTCATTTAAGTATATGAAGTAGTTTCCTTAATCTGAGCAGCTGGCATTTTCTCTGAGATTGAAATTGAAAATGATTTACACTTGTGTACCTTATAGTCCAAATAAAATATTTCTTTCAGTTTTGTAAGTTCTGTCAAGATCAGCCAATGGAATATCAATATTTGTCCAGAATACCATCACTATGTATTTATCATTCATGTGACATAATTTCTCAATGCCTCTGCGGTCATCACTTACCATGAAATGATGGCGCTTAATCGCTGGAAGTTTGTAAACTGAGATGTTGGTTTCGGATCTCACTTCTTTATCTTCTTTTTCATCATGCATGGGTTCAATCTTTGACCCTTCACCTTTCCCCTCTTTGGAAACTTTTGGTGTTGTTTCTTTTTCAATCGGTGGGCTTCCATGTTCTTCAACTAGTTTGAATGATTCATCACTATCCTGTTGCACGCCACAAAGTTTTATGTATGATTCCTGCCAACAAAATAAAAATTTATTTATGATCTGATATGGTGGAGGGTATTATTTACTTTCGTCAGCTCATTGATCATATAATTTATTAATGGTAATCAGATTTCAACAGATTTATACGTATCCAGGTGTGGGTAATTTGCCTTCCTACAATAGTGCATAATTTTTCTTGAATAGGACATACTTTTATAATGAGTAAAATATGAAAATCTCACTCTTTGATTGATATATGGAATAAATAAATAAGAGTAAACACAATATTTTATATGTGGAAATAGGGAAGCAAGAGATTCTTCATAACAAAATACTTAATCAGTATAGTATACGAGCATTTCGAAAATATAATCTGGGTGTTTTTTTCTTACCCAGTGTTAGCAAAGCTACATAATAGTCATAGACATGAAATTACATTGAGGCATAAGTTTGGTTACAATATTTCCATGTGAGATCTGAAGAAATTTTTAAAAATTTATTCATCCATCTTTTTTTCAGCATAAAAATGTATCATAATTTGTGGCTGTACCTGATTGATAACCTTGATTTCCTTCACCTCTTTCGCATCTGATACTTGGCTAAGCTCCTCCTCTTTTTTATCAGCGTGGGTCTAAACAATTTTTTATAAATGCATCAAATTAGGATTATTTTAAATTTAACAATTGTCTGTTAATTCATGTGGACCATGCAGGGAAACTAAGAGATAAGTTCAGAGCTGTAAAGGCTATTATCGTTCTAGTCATTATTCTTCACCGTTGTTATATATAAAGTACATATCCTTTTCATGGGCATGTATGGAATCATAAATTAGTAACCATAAACAAATTACAATGAAGTCTTTCTCATTTCACTAATATTTACTAGCTTCTAGTCTATGTTTATATGCTTTTCCTTTAAGCTTATGTTAAAGCCCATGTTGGCTGTTTAAACTCCAAAGAGCTTTAGCTATGTGTAAGAATTATTCCCTTCTGGCTCATAACAGACGATGTATTAGCTTTACTTGAACTCACTTTCACTTCCAATCAGGGATGAAAGATCTCATGATTTGAAGTAATGGTACAAATCATTTATTGCTCTTCATATATCCTGACATTATGCCATATCCACTCCTACTAGAAAGGATTTTCATTTTTGAAAGGGCAAATTAAACCTTTGTATGAAGGTTCATTTTGATCAAAGGAGTCGTATACGTGGAAGTAGAAAAACTAAAAGAAAAATCAATGAAGTATGACACAAAATTTCCAAATCACGATTCCATCATGATTTCTGTTGCCAACTGCCATGATAAAGTGAGAAAAACTGAATATTCTAAATAAATTTTAGTAATCAAATTAGAAAGGTAGTCCATATTACATGTAAAATGTCCTACATCATAACTGAATTACCAATAATAGGTTCTCCATAAATATACCATGCTAAGGCCCAAATTTTTCATAAATTTGTCCTTTTAAAATATTCTTGTCCAATTTATCTTAAAATTATAAGACATCTGTTTCTCTAATTGTCCTGCCTACTTTCGGGATAGTCTGATAATTATACAATGTCTTTCCCATTTAATGATACCATTGTACCCCCACCTGTGTTACTGCATCAATTCCTTTCTTTCCCGAAAAGATGGCGTATGAGAGTAGACGACCCATAGAGATAGCTACACCTGCTACCCATATACCAAACAGCACCCCATTGTGGTAGACGTTCGTACTGGTAGGAAGTGTATAACAAGAATAATTTTTTTTTTTTTAAAGTTTGTATTTACACTATCTAAGTTTTCTTCTGAGGTAAACTGGGGCAATTTTTTTTTTTTTTTTTTTTTGGGGGGGGGGGGGGGGTTCTTGACTGCAAATGTACAGTGGGAGATGATGTAAATAACTCATCAAATTTGTGTTATTGTAGTTTTTTTAGTTATCATGGTTATTCATAATTTTCTTTGATTATTTTCACATTTTTCCTTGACTTAATTCATTTCATAACTGAGAGTACTAGATATATTGTCAACGAAATTCAGACCTAGGCTCCCACCCATTGGCATCATAATTAGGAATGATACAACCCATCTCCACGTTTGCTGCCTCGGTGATTACCACTCACATCCATCACATTGATCACACTTAGTGGAGGTCACACACGAGCATCACTTGAAATGTGCGCCCTAATTCTAGGTGACTACTGCTTTGAAGAAGAAAAAAGCGACGAGTCCTTGAAATATGCAGCTATTTCTCCCTAGAGACATGGCGCATGTGTCGCAGATATACATGCATTACTATTGTTATAGCCATCGGTTAGAAAAAAAGATTTGCATTCTCAGCACCTTCTTTATTTAGCATTTAGACTAATCATTAACACAGATCTCACCCCCTCTCTTTCTCAAGATACACATTACAAGGATATGAGAACTTAAAAGTTGTATCCCCCCTCTAATCTCTCCCCGTCTCACTCCCCCACCCTTCCCCTTCTCTTTCTAACCCCCCCCCCCCCTACTCCCTCTGTACTGTACCGTAATTATATCAACGACATTATTTCATTTACAAATAAAAGGATAATAGTACAATTTGCAATCTAGTCTAGATCTAGGCCCCTACCTCATTTCGTCCTCTTCGGCAGCTGCGATGACGTTAATATCTACCGTCGCTTTCTCCGAATCCCAGGTAGATCTAAGTCCAAATAGTTTCAGTGCTATTAAAGAACCAAGTCCAATAGCCAATTTTTGGGAAAGCATGTTTCTACGATGAGATTTGTCAACTTTATGTGCTTACATAGCCTGATAATTTGCGTTGATTTGGGGAAACTGCACAGGTTGTTGATGCTTTTACTACTTAGTGATGATTGAGTTGCCAGTGCAGAGAGTGCATGCATGCCGTAGTACAGTGTTTACATTTATGGTGTACACATGTCAACAATAAAAAGTAGGTCAGTTCAGTGTGCGTAAAAGGTGTATCCTACGCGGAAATTCATTGATGACGTCACGGCTACGCGCAAACCCATTGGTGACGTCACGGCTACGCGCAAATCCATTGATGACGCAAACCGCCCATTGGGTTTGAACTGGCTGACCTAGTTTGACTTGACCTTGGCCAGGCCTTCTTCAAGCCAGCGAATTTGGATATAGCTTACAATGCTAATCCTGGTAGATCCTGGGGCCCTTAGTTTATTTTCCTTTTATTCTTTTTCATCAAAACGTCTGCAGGAACGAGAAAATATTCTATATTTTTTATTAGTTAATTTGAAGGACAAATACATCATCTTCACATTGAGTTAAAGAGTAGATGTGTCTATTGGACCTAAGTTTGAATGAATTATTTAGAGAATTTTTTTTTCTTTTTTGGCAAAATGTCCATTTGCCGCACACGGACTACGGGTTTGGTAATACACTGGCTTCAATATTAGAGATGAAAAGGAAGCCATGTCGGATAAACGTCAAAGACGGTGATTGAGTCAGTAGACGAAGGTAGAGATTAATGATGAAGAAAGCCCCTCAAATATTCAAGAGAAATGGAAGGCCTGAAGTCGAATTCTATCTCGGGGGAATTGTTTATAGAATGCATCCTTGAACCCGTCTGCATTTTCTACCGTCTCGGAAACTTGGTGTGCGCTTTTTACACGTCTTCTGACTGAAGTGGCTTCATAATACTTTTCCCCTTATCCCTTCTTTTCTGTGCGAAAACAAGATGAAGACAAGGGAACTGATAAAGGATATCTTCCAACGAAGATAAAGACAAAATATACAAGTTAATGTTTTAAAAAACACGACCTTATAGTTATTTATTTAATTACGTTTGTATTTAAAAATGGATTATGTCAAATTTCTCATTGTTTATTTGTCTTTTAATCGATTCTTTTGAGTTCTGCTCACCTACTAAGCAAAGTAATTAACTGCCGTCGTTAACGATCATAGTCGTAATAATTACTTGCACAATGAGGACTGTTGTCATCACCATATAGAGTTGTCTTTGATTTCCATTTTTAAACAGGAAGCTTGAAAACAGAAGTTTAATCAATTTTCAGAAGGCCGTTGGTGGAGCCAAAAAATTCAGGGCAGATCAAACATTTTGGAAAACATCCGATTGGGTGGATAATTTGAAAGGGGCACAAAAGCAAAGTAATGGAGCAATTTTTGTGCAAGATTGGGTTTTTGAGAGGGGCACGGGCCGTGTGTGTCCCAGTAAATCGACCAGTGAACACAATGCAAAAGATAGACAAATATTCTCGAAGAATTCTTGCGTCCCAGAACTAACACATCTCATTCAAAACACTCAGATACAAAATAAACAGATGAACACTTTTTTCACAAATCAATTCGCATTTTAATTATCAAAGCGTATTTCATAAAGATACTGCTCTACATTCAAATCGTTCATTAATTCAAGCACCGTGTCCCACGGTAGGGTTTTTTTCTTCAAAAACATCATACATGATCTTCGAACATAATGGCACAAAGGTAAATTTATACACAAAAGATTTCTATCAAAATTAAAATAAGGGGTTATAAAAATGACTGTTCATTGACATCACTAAAGCTTTTCTGGATAACCTTTCCGTACTCTCTAACGATAAAAACTGTACCTTGCTAATTGTTCAATTACAAGCTAATACATTTGCATAGTCTTACGATTATAACGTCACCATGGTTTCAAAGATCTCTCTCTCATCAATATTACAACCATAAATTCATATTTTAGATTTTTTTTTCATTCCCTGACAGAGATGAATAAATCATAAAGATCCGTTCGAGGTTGATATTTAAACAGTACAATTAAAAAGGAAAAGTGTCATAAACATTCTTCTTTCTTTGGCTACGCTTTTTATTGAGTTGATTAATTTTCTTTCAGTTATTATACAGACACAGTATAACTGGACTGATAGTTCATTATGATGTTTTGAGTATATAGATGTTTGAGTCTTCCTGTTTTGAATTCAGAATCATCCTTCATCTCTTTTTGGTTTATATTTTGGAATGTTGGACTCAAACGCTTTAATGGAATGATACATATCATTGCAAAGCTGATCCTCCGATCTCTGAAAAGTGACCACATTCCTTCTGAATGATTAGCTGGAGATAATACTCACATTTATTTCTATGAAATTGCAACCCATTTATAAAAGAAAATAATAATGTTTAAATAAGTTACAGCAGTTATATACATACACATCGTTACGTTAGGAACGAGTGGAAAATGAACAATTATATGAAATTGCATTGAATTTGATTTGCATTGCAAACGATCTGTTAGCAAATCCATTCCATTCCCATCAATGTTTTTCTACAAGACATGTTGGAAAGGTAAAGCTAAAAGGAACCTTTTTTATATGGAAATTGTAAAGCTCTAAAAATTGTTTACTGCTATCTTTATCCATACTTAAAATAGCGGCATTCTAAACGCATTTAAAATTGTGCATTTTTATATACTAGGAGACTAGAAGAGTTGACGTCATGGAGTTTTGATGTCTTTTCTTTTAGTTCTTATTAACTTAATATTCTGCTCATTAAAATCATTTTGTGGGGTGCGTGCTCACCAAAGGTGCAGAATTTTTGATGAGCGGAGAACTACTTTAGCGCTCACTAAAGGTCATTTTGTTGAAAGCAGGAAACTACATTTGCCGGAGACGCAAAGGTTTGGAAGGGAAACATCTTTTTTTAAACAAATTTAATTAAGTAGAAAATAATCAACAAGCTAATACAATCAAGAAGACCATGATGATTTTATCAAATTATACATTACATCACTTCAATGATAACATTTTTTTGTCTTCAATTTGATGACGAAGCATTCGACCCAAACCGTTTTAAAACAAAAGGATATAGATCTATTTCATGGTGGATATTTCCAGAAATTTGATTTTTATACTTTAATGATTTCTGTGATAAAAAATATCATATATACAAAAAGTTTGTGACGAAGTATTCAGCCAAAACCCTTTTAAAAAACAAAACAGGAGTAAAAACTACTTCTTACTGGACGTGGGTTCGTATTTAGATTGCACAACCTTTCCCTAACACACTTACATTTCAGCTTAAGCAAGTATTATTTGGCTTTCGTATATTATTGCAGCTATAAATCATTTCAACTTTGAACTCATTTTTAATTCCACTTAAGCGTGGAAGAAAATATATGCAAAAATTCAAACAAATAGGCACGTTTCGTCTCTTTCAACATTATATAGTACAAAATAAGTTATCATATACACAAAGATACAACTTTATATTGATAAGATACCACAAGCACATTATCGCGTATATTTACAAGCATGAAAAAAACCACCAGAGACAACTTTTTTAAACAACTCAATTAAATATTTCGTACTTTCGTTGTCTTTTAAATCGTATAAGGTTAAACATTGACTAGTTTACATAAAAAATAATATCAAACACAATAAGAAACTATTGGTATTTCTATCACACATCTCTTATACATATACTTCCTCGTATTACAGGGACCCATATCGCAACGCGTTATGAGACGAGACCCTGCTACATTGTTAATCTGTGATAGATCGTGATAATTTCCTTAAATTCATTTTCAGGAAAGCTCACAAATTATTTGTCACCGTTACCAGAACTCAACGTTCTCTTTGTGTCCATGCATCAAGATGCAACTTTGCGATTGCACCGCAATATTCGTCTGGAGTATGGAAAATTCATACATTCATATTCAAAAGAAACCGCAACAAAAACATCGGATACTATACGACAAGGAAGTTGCTCTCTGCTGGTACAGCGGTTGCATCACGTGTAACATAACTCCATGTGGAATGCACTTATGACGAACATCTCGGAACACCAGACGGTACTTATTTGTGTTAATGGACCCCTATTTTTTTCCATGAAGTTTTTCTCGTGGTTATTACAGTGCGCTTTGATCATGCATCTCCGTCCTTCCCTAAACCACTATCGTCAAACATAAGACCTTTCAATCGCTCCTGGCCTAGTGTTCGGTTTCCACAATTCATTTCCTGGTGGCTCTCAGTTTGCCGAGTCTTGGCAATTTGTGGTCTTCTCTGCTTACCTACCTACCCCTGCTCGCAGAAATTTAGTCTGATTCTAAAGAGAGAGAGGGGAGGACAAGGAGGAATGTCTGGGAACTTTGGAAGGTACTCGGATGCAGAACAAGAATTAAAAAGGTCACAAGCGAAGATTGAATAACCTTCACCAACTCAAAAAACGGTTTCAATAACAAACGTCTGGGGCAGGTAAAGTAATGACAGTAAACGTTGGCGTCCCTTACAATCATCACCCTAATATAATATATATTGTTTCTGTCTGAAATGCATTCACCGGGGGAGAAACACATAAAGAGAGAGTGTGCACAAAAAGGAACCAAACTTCTATACCCATTCAATGTTTATCGATCTACACGGGAGCAATCATTCTAATGGCACGCTGTTTTATCGAGAATCAGAAAAAACAGCTTCCACCTCCCTATTTGTCTGACTTTCTGTCAGTGAGTCTGTACTCCAAACTGTGGCTCCTTTTAAAACATTAATACCTTCTAACAAACACGACGGACAAGTACACTGATGGACATGACGAATGAAGAATGTTACTGTCTTGGAAAGTGCATTGCTTAATTGTTCACATATTCTTCTCTAAAAAGGGCGTGGTCGGAAATCCCCTCGCACTATAAAATATGAAGTTACATGAGCTTTGCTGACTTGCTGAAACACTCATTATTCAAAATTCCTTGATCACATAATTTCGTGAGACCATGAATTTAATGGAGAACTGTAAAATGTTAATGTCAGACTCCATGCATCACAATGAAAAAATAAACGCTCTCGGAGCTGACATTGAAAACATTTATTCAATGTTCGAGTACTAGATTCAACAAGACACCCCAACCGGGCCCACTGTCTCGACCACTATAGGTCTATACCATTCTTCAATAACGGATGTTCAGAACTTAATCTTCTTAAAAGAAAATTAAACGATATATTAATCATTTTAAGAAGAGAATATGCGAATAACTAAATATCACTCCTGCCATTGTCTCATTGACATAAAATTTATGTATGTATATTTTTAAGAGTGCCGCCCCCTCCTCTTTACAGATCCCTAGGCATATAACCCTCTATCTATACCAACCAGGTGCATTCAGCTGAACTCGTCTGGAAACAGAGACAGACGACTCAAGTGTACGTAACTTGAATTCCCGCCAATTTCGACCAACCGTAAACCAGCTGATATTTGAGGACCTCAGTCGAGAAATAGGTCGCAATGTTCAAATAAAAGAGACAGAATATC